AGCCATTGCAATGGATAAGGTCAGTGATGAGATTCACTGGATACCTGTGCAAACGGGGTAGAGACTGCAGAAGGAATGGGCATGAGTGGAAGGGTGGTCGGGTGAGTATCGGTGTGGCGATCACAACCTGGCAGGTGCAGAATAGAAAAAGTGCTCTACCAGTATAAGTGAGTCTTGGCTCTGCCTAGCTGCTACACTTGCAGAATGCAAGAGCGTTCGACCCTAAAGGGGAAGCAAAGAAAGCAAGGATCTACAAAAATGAGCCTCCAATGGAATGCACTAAGCGCGGGAAAAGCGCGAGAAAAGCGGTTCTTGATGCAAGATAAAGTCTATGTCAAGTGGAAATATGATTGTTGGTCTATAGTGCGGCTCTCTACTGCCTGTAAGTGGTAGTAGATGGGTGGTAAGAAAAGTAAGTAATGCCTCTTCGGCTCAACACAAAGTGAACCAGTGTGATGTAAGCAGTATGTAGTGCCTACTCGGCCTAAGAAAATGGTGCCATACAAAGTATGTAATAATGAAAGGTAATGGGAAATAGTAAGAATAGCGAACTAATACATACCAATGGGCTGGTTGGACAGTGGATGGATGCTCCTGGATGATGCACGAGAAAGTGTGCAAGGTGCGCGCGCGGGAATGCTGCGCATAGTGTGGGAAAGTAGCGCGCCTATGGCGCGTTTCGTGGGAAAGCTGCGCTCCATGGTGGAAGTCATAGTGGATGATGGTGTGAGTTGTGCCGTGAAGGCCAGTTGTCAAATTCGTAATATGGGCCCATCTGCACCTGCTCAAATGCAAGTCTCTACATCGGATTTCATCTGCTAACATAAGGCGCAACCTTCCACGTATTTACAGATATAGGTTCCCATGGATGGCCACCAGAAGTCGCGTTTAACCAGTTCTTCCATTTTAAAATGACTGGGGTGGCCTGCAGTTTCATGATCATGGGTATGTGTAAGAATAGTATGTGGCCGGCAGGACGGACATAAGTGCTATCTTTATAGTATAGGATGTCATCCTTAATCGTCCAATCAGAGAGAGCTGATTTCATAGGGGGAAGGCATAGGCCGTTCAGTGTGTCTGATGCAGCTTGTTACAGTCTAAGTGCGCCCCTATTCATTTTCTTCTCTTACACTGTATTACATCACAATCACTATCAAAGCCGTTGCTAGATGACTTATCTCTGACTCATTGAACACCTGCCCTAAAGCAGTTGTCGTTCACTATATAAACTCGTCTTGTACATTGTATTTACTCACTTTAATCTTACTGGGTTTTACATGGAACTTCCTTCACTTAAGACTCCCAATCTTAAGTCGTCTGAACTTGATTCAAGTCGAGGACACTCTCCTTGATTTGTCTTATGAACTTCTACATACGTAGGAGTCTTTGAACCGACCTTAGCCGACATCGCCTATCGCATTGCTATACATCAGAACTACCCCAGTTCGTAACAAAAGATTAAAGTTCTTATTGAACCTCTCCACCACGAGAGGCCCACTTGCTAGTTAGCAAAGACGACCCCTTGGGTCAGAAAGTATTGGTGGGAACGTGATCCTAACAAACCCGACTCGCCAGAAGAATATCATGAGGCCACAGGTCCAGATACAGAAGACAGAGAGATGAGAACCATCCCCTGTAGAAGAACCAGAAGACAGAGAGAGACGAGAACCATCCCCTGTAACCACCGAATCAGATCACCATCCCACAACTTCCACCGATGAATTTCCAGAAGAACAACCACCCCAAAACCTAACAGCCAACCCAAGTCTCAGAATGTCTACCATGACATCCTCTGCTGAACTGAAAGCTGGAGCACCCACAGTTCATAATGGAAGCCCAGATCACGCCATCAGATGGTTATATTTGGTGAAAGCGTATTTTAGGGTTAACTCCTTGGTCTATAACACCGAAGAAAAGAAAGTCATCACTGCACTCGCCTATATGACTGAAGGAAGCACAGAAGGATGGGCAACCATGTTCTATGCGGAAGCTGATGATTCCCTCCCAAACCCCTACAGAACCTTCGCAAACTTTGAAACAAAGTTCAAAGAAGCATTTGCCCCAGCCAATGCAAAAGTAGTCGCCCTGAACAAGTTAAGAACCCTCAGACAAGGGAATGATCTTACGTCCTATATCGCTGAATTCAAAACCCTTGCTTCGCAAGCCAGCATTAAAGAATCCCAAGTTTTGATTACATTCTTCAATGACGGATTAAAACAAGGGCTCGTAAACTCCATATGCAAATGGAAACCATCCCTGACTCCTTCGACAAATACGTAACCACAGCCATCCGATTGGATAGTAACTGGCAACGAGGCGCGGCCCTATGCAATAACCACCATAACTTTACCAAACCTTCCGGACAATGCTACATTCCTAGACCCTCCATCGACCAAAACTGCGACCCCAATGCCATGGAGGTAGATCATCTTACTGAAGGAGAACGTAATGAACACTTCAGGAAGGGACAGTGTTTTCACCTGCAGCCGTAGTTGTAGTATTAGACCTAGTATATATGGTAGTTGCCGGTTTTGGCATAGACATTTTTGATGGCAATTACCAGCAGCGCAGTTTGACCTAAGGGCCTGGCTTCTACCACACACGGCTGAAGCCATCATCCTAGGCATCCCATTGCCTGTTGAAATACCTACCCCAATATTCCCTTCGGAATATTCATATAATATGATATATATTTTGTAAATATAGATATATGTACATTTCAATATACTATATTTGGTCGGTTTGCGCATGGGGGGACCTGGACGCTGACCAGTGACCACAATCAGCTACAATCAGTCGATACTTTCGTCCTTCACTATATTTGACATTTCACAACGATGGAGTGAGTCGGTTTGATTTCTAATGGTTTTCACTCACTATTCTACCTGTAGAACAAGCAGTCCCGTGCCAGACAACACACCTGTGGTGGCGCCGTCTAGCCCATTACCCATCCCAGATCCGATCCCCACACCAGCTCCTGGAACCAACAACGACGATCCCAATGCTTATGTCGAAAAGCTGTTTCGTAACTGGGCAAAAAACTCGCGCCTAGAGTTTCTCAATAGCCATCTGTCCACTTACCGCGATCACGTCAATCAGGAAAGTCAAGAGCAAGCGACTATGCATATGAGGTGGTGGAAGAGTATTTTAAACATTATCACTGGAAGTTGAAGATATTGGATGAGCCCTCGGGAAGTGAGCTATTGCAACAGAGTCAGATGAGTCTCTTTCCCCAATCGAACTCAAGCAAAAATCGCAAGAGATTCTTGCGATGCAGAAGGTACGCGTTCCTACATGTATTTATCTATAGATTTTACAACCCTCAAGTAGGTGATCAAGAGCTGGCTAGATTATCGTGCTAAGTCCTCAAAGAAGTTGATCGCACGCCACGGCAAGCCAGAGAACAATGAATGGACTCGACTTCTCAGCCAACTCTCTGGGGTCTGAAAAAGCAAGCCGAAGGCCTTACAAGTGCACCAGCGGTGGTTGAAAGATCATTTTGAGACTGAAATCAAGGCCCATTTCCTCAAAAAGTGGTGCAAGGCTGGGCTACCTAGCAAGAAGATGGCGGCCTTCCATGATGAGATCACACACAAACACTTCAAAAAACTACCCGAGTAAGAACAGGATCGTTGGAGGGATAAAGTGCAAACCAAAGGTAAGGCAGCAGTCAAGGAATGGAAGGATCACCTCGAAGCTCCTCCTTCCACATCTCCTGTTGATAGACAAGCGTAAGCGTTCAATTCCCTTCATTTGTATCTGTATTGAGAATTAAGTTAGGGCTCTGGATAACTTGGCAACGTTTGCTGGGCCAATTCTTGCTGGTATGTCCGGAACGCTTGGCATGCATGTCTCCCTTTTAGTCGGTGGACCCGAACCTTGCAAGCGAGGCAAAATTACCTTTGTCAGGTGTGTTTTTTGATGTCGTTTTAACACAAATTAACATCACTGGAAGTATGCATGAGGGTGTTGACCTGGGTCTCAAACATGCAATTAGCAAACGCAAGATAGGACGAAATTCAAGACTGTCATCAAGTCTTTTCAAGAATACCTATCGCATGCCTATAGTATATTCTTCATTTCTATCATCTCACTTTGTGCTGAACACCATCAGCTAAACAGGATTGCGATTCCCATCGCCTCCTGGACGACGCGGATGACCTGTACACTATTTCGCAGGAAGGCGACCAATCTGATGCTGAGGAAGATCCTGAAGAGCAAGCGAATAAACCAACAACGGCCAAATATAGATCCCGAATGAAACCAAAGCAGCAAGGTACCAAATGGGGATGTGTTTCTTGGAGTAAGCCTTCTTCTGACCCTTCTGAGATGGACGAATCATCGTCAGAATCATCTTCCCCATCCTCAGGCTCGTCTTCATCTTCCTCATCCTCAACTTCGTCAAGCTCCACAGACAGCGAAGAAGAACTGTTTCCAGGCGGGTACTTCCATTTTCACCACCCAAAGGAAATTATGGTGTCACACACTTTAATCCACGCCACAAAGCGGCGGCTCTCAAACATCTCAGTGCAAAGAAGCGCCATCACACGTCCAAAGTGCTGGATCGTGTGTCCGAAGTGCCGGCTCACTTATCCAAGGTGCCGGACGACACGGAAGAAATTGATGAGCTTGATGAGGACACCTCGGTTAACAATGCCATGATAACCATCGATCGTCCTCCAGCTCCACTTGGTCAATGTGTCATTCAATTTGTCATACAAGTGTACTGAACTGATATCTCCTTAGCAATCACATCCGCTGCCATAATCGAGTTGCCTGCTGACACTCCCACCACCCGCCCACCTTTCAATGACAACATGATTGATCTGTCTCTCAGAAACGACTCTGGGATGGCTGTTAATCAACCGCCTGCTGCACCTGGTGAGTATTGGCGCTCAGCATACTGACCTCGGATATGTTAATATTATTTCAACACAGCAACCGAGATTCCTGATCTCAGAACTCAAGATTGAATCTGCAACCCCGTTGATAATCACAACATGGATGAGACGCCCTCTGCCAAACGAGACACAGAAGGGGCTGTGGATGATCGTCACACCCCTCTCAACACGACTCTCGATGAACACATGGTTAATTCAAATCGGACTGCAAACAGTATGTAATCGATGCTTCTCCTGTGCACTATCAGTCACTCACGTTACATACAGCCTCTCCTAATGGCAACCTATCACTCAGCTTGCCTACACTCCCATCCAGCCCGCCGTGGTTCAGAAATCCATTCCAGCAGTTGATGTTCCCCGCCCCGACTTCTCCTCAGTTGATCCAGTTATTTGACAGGCTGGTGCGCCTTGAGGATGCATCGAACTTCGCGAACGAGAAAGCTGCCTTGGGATGCGAACATCGTCCGATCGAAGTCCACTGGTGGATTTCCCGCAGACGTAAAGGGAAACCAACCATACCCGATCTCAACACATTCATATCGCAATGGTGGTCCTGGTGGCTCACGCTTCAACCGGAGTGGGAGAACATGTCAGGCGCCGACACTCACGGCAGGTGCAATTCTCCCTTGCACAGATGATGGCAGTTGGGACTCCCTCAACAAACCAGGCGCAAACGGCATGCTCTCGGTTGTAGCCACCTTGAAATGGTGGGCAGACAATGTCGGTGGCAAAGGTTACGAAGACTCACACTGGGAAGACACTGTAGACGATGTCATGTGGGTTTTGGACTGACTCATAGCAACTCGGTCCATGTCGAAGTCTGTGGCTTCCGGTGGCAACAAGCAATGGGGTCGTTCTGACATACAGGCCAATGCATCATCATCGAAGAGGACGCGTAACCGGGCAGTAATAGATATGTACTCATTGATTGATCACTAGGCTAGATATTGAGTTTCCTCTTCGCTTGAATACATGTTACGTTTGGGCTGCTTTGTATCTTACATGAAGTCAATGCAACATGCAATTATTGAATCTGATTTTCTCCCGCGCTCGCTGGTAGATCATGGCAACAAGGATATTATCTATTCTAAAAATGAGTAAGTCCGAGCTAGATTCCAGGAGCCTCCAGCCCCAAGACCTTCTGGTACATGGTTTCCCCAAGTAAATAAGCCTCGTCGAGGTCACCCCAAACGGCTAGTCTGTAAAGATCCTCCAGCATAGCTACCAAATGCCCAATGAAGTTAGAAACCTCATCAGCGGTGCGCCATTCATCACATATGCCAATCATATTGAAAATCTTGTCCTGCCCCTGCTGTGCCCATATCAAATAGGGCTTGACACAGTCAAGCCCATCCTTGAGTATCTCAATGTCCCCGACGACACTGGTGCACAACATCATAGCATACTTGCGGAGGACGTCCTCAACGTAGACTGTGGGTATCCCGGAAGGAACGATTGCCAGGACTTTATTCTTCGCATCACATACAAGCTCCAAACAATCAGTTAAAGTGACACTACAGTCAATCGTTAAGGATGCGATTAATTATCGTCGAAAAGAAAATGATCATTGCCTCGAAGTCAACCTCATCTGAGTCATCCGGCAGGACCTTCGTGTTAGACTCGCTGATGATGGAGGGAGTATTGTTCGTGCGACTGAGATGATGTCTCAATAAAATAGTGTCTCAGTGCCTAAACACTTCAGTTACAGGGAGAGAGGTAGTAATAACAACCGAACTTACTTTTCATAATATCTTCTGCATTTCTCGCGGCAGCCTGCTGTCTGGCTACAACAGTGTGATGAACAGTAGTGGGGCGAACCATGAGGAAAGATCATGGGTGTGACGAAACGAAAGTAGCACCTTTATATAAGGAAGTTGATTACCGTAAATCGATGATCTGTGACAAGGGGCGATGTACATAGCAGTAGGGCCCGTGAACTGAATGCAAACACAGAGTCAATAAATGGAAATAATGAATGATATCACTTACTGAAGATGCCCGCTTCAAGACCTCAAGTCCATATCATTTGATACATGGCGCAGAAGGTAACTGCGTTGAGCTACATAGACTCGTGTTTCGGTGATCTGGATTTGATGGTATGACCATAACCTGGCCAGCCTGATTTGCTTTCACAACACACAATTGCTCATGGGCAAATCAAATCAATCAACTACTGTTAAAGAGATACATACTATGTGTATTCTGTAATCTTGATAATTTGATGGTAGGGCTGCTAGATTGACCCATGTTTCAGTGATCTTGATTCGATGATAGGACCATAACTAAACTCTCAGAAAGTCAGCGCGCAAGTCCGATCATACATTCATCAACGAAATAGGTACATCAATGAACTACTATCAGCAAGCTACATACCAGGTCACAATATCCTGTGATCTTAATGGTTTGATGGTACAACTGCTAACTTAAATGTGAGACTGACTCCTGATCATGAGTGATCTTGATTCGATGGTAGGACCATAACTAAACTCTCAGAGTTCAAGTTAGCGTGTTGTGGTGTTCAAGCTCGGGCTAGCCTTGCAGAACCCCATTTCGCTATAGGAGTCAAGCAGCCTAGATATCCACATCGCATCCATACACCACTTCCTTGCAAAGTCTCGACTCACTCGACTCACCTGTGTTGCACCGGTCTATGTCTGACTTGGCCGATACGGTGTAGAGACTCGCGTTTCTGCAGGCACATATGGGCACATTTCGCACCTTTTCACAACTCATGACAATTGGCCTTCAATGCACGACTCGCACCATCAGCTATATTCGACTTCTATCATGTCCCTAGTCGTTTTACACATAACGCGCAGCTTTCCCGTGAAACGCGCCATAGGCACGGTACTTTCCCGCACAACGCGCAGCACTCCCACACGTGCACCTTGCGCGCTTTCTCGCACTTAAGCGCCCTGCATCACCCTGCATCGCCTATCATCCAGGAACGTCCCTCTATGTCCATCCACCTCATTGGTACGTCATATCCCTTGCCTCGTGGTTTGTAACAAGCATTGCAGCGCTATTACATGTCATTACGTATTCATAGCGCTTATTGCTCCTATCCCTTCCGCTTCCGATGCGATTTCCATAGTATAAAGTTTGCTGACTTACTACTCCATCATTATTACTCCCCTTTACTGTACTTCCCTCGCTATTGGGTTTTACTCTAAAGTAGTAGTCACCACTTGGGCGCACTTTGTGTATCCAATGGTTATCGTTATCCGCCTATACTAGACTATTATCCATGCTCGTTATAACACTCGCTCTGCATTTGCACTCGCTTTGCACATCCACTTCCTTATCCGTTTCCTTATCCGGTATTTTCCGCACAACGCGCGCCTCAGCGCTCACGTTCCCACGCTCGCGCTTACCTTAGTGCGCTCTCTCGCGCTTCGTGCTCACTTCGCTTTTCTTCTTGTGCTTTCGCGCATCCATTGCACTTCAAGGGTCTTTCTTTCATCTGGTTCTGTGTTCAGTAGCAGTCCCCTTTAGGGTCGAACGTTCTTGCATTCTGCGAGTATAGCAGCTAGGCAGAGCCAAGACTCACTTATACTGGTTGAGCATTTTTAGATATTTCATATCAGCCCAGCCAGGTTGAGATCGCCTCAACGGATCCGTGGCCTCGGTCTCTCGCAGAAGAGCCAGGGTTGTCTTAACCGTCCCTTGCTCGTCGGATCGGCCATCGCGCACCTCGGCCGACCATTCCATCCCATCGGTACCAAGTCCTCCCATGTCCTACCCATGTCCACCTATCTCCATTGGTGCATTTTAAGCTCATTTTACTGTTACTGAACAAACAGCAGGCATTATTACATGTATTCCCATGGCCACAGCACTCGCGAGCCTTATTACATATCGACCCGAGTACCTCGCATTTCACTACTACTCTCACCTGTGCGATTCCGGACGTTCATGCAGTTAGATAAATAAGACTCAAGTTCGTATTATCCCTTACTTCCCTTCCTCGGACATACCTGGTACCATTGTAGGAGTCACCTTAGTTAGTCCTTGATTGTGCAAATTGATCCCCCTTGCTTTTTATCATCGGACGTGCCTTGACCGCTCTAAGTGCACTCTATCTAAGGTTTCTTTACCTAGGCCTTGTGAGATCCGGACCGCTACCGGTAGTCTTACATCGGCAACCCATACCTAGTCTTACCTCATCATACCTAGTTATACCTGGACTCTCTTTACCTCGGCCTAGACTTACGTGCCGCTCATCGGCATCAAACTCCCCACCTCGCATCGGTATCTCGCGTCAGGGTGTACCATCGGTATCCCATATCGCGTCAGACATTCTCGGACTCAGACCTTTGGTCGATCGGATATCTTGGGCCTTAGAGCTTAGTTCTTCCTTTCTCTTCCCTCGCACTATTAGAAGGAAGTGCTTCAATAGCAGTCCCCTTGGGTCGAAGTACTGCACTCGCACCCATTAGGATTTAGTAAGTTAGTTGGTATATCTAGCTGACTACTATTTCTTTCACCACAGCGTGAGTCCGATCATGCATTCATCAACGAAATAGGCACATCAACGAACTACTATTAATGAGCTACATACCAGGTCACAACTTGAATAAGCTGTGATCTTGATAGTTTGATGGTACAACTGCTAACTTAAATGTGAGACTGACTGTCACGCATTGAACATTCACTACGCACAATCATGATGTTGGAGCTAATCGTGAATCAACCGCACACTCTTACTGATCCAAAGCATTGTCCAGTTTCAGATAACGAAGATACATGGCAAGTAATATTAATATTGTTCATTTTCACAAACACTGAGCTAACACATAATGTTATGCATGCATATGTGATATCATACACCGTGACCACTCAAACACAAGATTCATTATGTAAACAACTACCATTCTATTCACAACGGCATCACCGTGTTGGAGCTCAGCTACACACTCATACCAATCTCAAGCTCAAGCACCCTCAGATAAAGGTTATTCTTTATTTTCTGGTGAATGAGCACTAACACACAATGTCACACACATCATAGACACAACACAAGATTCATTTGTAAGCAAGAAATACAAAGTGTAACTAATTCCGCGTTTCGAGTCTCGACGCTGAATAAACACTGAACTTGAAGGAACAGAATACTCAACAATATTTCAACATATTTAAGAAGATTGGACGTACATGATCACTCAATTGAATCAACATCTGTTGTATTGTCAGTGCCTTCAGTGGGAATGGCATGATTCGAAGCTGCCGTTGCAGCCACAGCTGCGTGATATGCCTGAAGTTGTGCATTAGAATCCTGCTCCACTTCCTCCATAATGACTTCACGGATCATGGTATGGAAACATTCATTTTTCATTGGATCAGTAGTCAATAACTCTACAACAGTGACTGCTATAAGCTTGACTAACAGGTGGGTGAGTGCTGGATTCTGTCAATGATAACCAATCTCACCGCAGCAGTCTGGCATGCAAATTCGAGCTACTTGACTACCGCACGGACCACAGATGCTTTGAAGTTTAACATCTGTATGTCCACACTGGAAGACATTCCCGATGTTGTGTGGAGTATTGCTGTCAGGCGAGGGAGGAGGCATAGGAGTGGTGGAGATGTTGGGCAAGGGTGGAGGCGTAGGTGCGGTGGACATGTCAGGTGAGGGTGGAGGTGTAGTAGCGGTGGACATGTCTGAGGGTTTAGGTCGGTTGGGTTCAAGTTCAATTTTTCACTTTTAGGCTTTAAAATATTTTAACAGGGCTTAGTCTGACTTCGGTGCATATACGCGGGGAACCGAATGAGCAACAAATCAACCAGGAACTTCTTGATATATTTATCTATCTACCAAAGTGATCGTCTGACACCCTATTTTGTACATGCTTCTTTTTTGAAGCACTATGACTCGAAGGAGGGAGGAACTTACTCGCGGGAACGTGTGTCTACTGGTAAGCTCTAGTATTATTTCCCCCTCGAACAAGCCTTACTCATGTCAAGGAAAAGAAGAAAATATGTGGCGTACCACAATGAGTCTGACTCGGACGACCATACGACAACAGCTTATGCCAGGATGGTAGCAATGTCAACCAGCAGTCGCAGGCAACTCATCATACCTTGCTCCCTGACAAAAATTAGGGCGAGTGATGGGGTGGAAGACCAAGTTGGGCCCCTGCAAATGGATAATTGGGAGTCAACCCTTGGTGATGACTTTGTGTTTGACAATGAGATTGAGTCCCAGCCCGTCATGGTGGCCAAGGCGCCAGCAAAACGTTATGCGAACTCGGTGAGATTTCAATATTTTTCCCTTTGCAAACTTAACTCTTTATAGGATGCACCTTTGCATGAATGGATGGGTATCAATGAGTGTGTTGGATTCCGTGAAGAATATCTTCTCGAAGAGCTACATCTGGAGGGCCGTGGTATCTTTGCAACGACACCGTGTTCATGCAGCAATATCGGTAATACTATTCTACAAGAACACCTGTATCGTTGTGAAGATTGCTTTGGACCGGAGATTCTGTGCAAGTCTTGTTATTTATTAAAGCATGCACTGCCATCCTTTACATATCATCAATGTGAGTGTTTCAAAGTTCTGGTTGTATTTCTAGTTTTTTAATGATGCGCAGAAATGGAATGGGATTCATTTTGAGCGCACTACCTTAGCTGACATGGGCTTGAGAGTTCAACTGGGACACGAAGGCATGCCATATTTATGTCTGCAAAGAGGGCATATTTCTTTTGTTGTTATTCACACCAATGTGATTCACCAAGTAAACGTGGATTTCTGTGGGTGCCATCAGCGAATTTCTCATTGCCAGCAACTGTTACGTTGTGAGTGGTACCCAGCCACCCTACATTTTCCTCAGAGTGCCTGTATGAAACGGGTTCTAGAGTTCTTCCTCATTTTGACGTGGTCAAGCAAAGTATCCGGCTACGAGTTCTACGCAAGTCTTGAACGACTCACTGACAACACAGGTTTGAATGTAAGGTATGTTATTCCACGGCCTATGTCTGACAAATATTGACTGCAGTCACAGTCCCGGTACAAAGAATTTATGAGGATGGTTTGTCAATTTCGGCACATTAAATTAATGAAGCAAGCTGGCCGTGGCAATATAACAGGCGGCATCTACGAGACTGAGCCTGGTACATTAGCCATCAAGTGTCCTGCTTGTCCGCAACCTGGCGTATGTCGGAATTTCCTAATTTAGATTTCAACGCCCTGAAACGTGTTTCAATGCCCAAATGCAGTGCACGTCTTTAAATAGGTTGCTATAATAGAGTTACCATTGTCATGATCATTTAAATGACGGTTGCAAGCTCGATTGCAACAGCCTGGCAATCACGGATGAGTCATGATAATTACAACTATAACATTGTATTGAGATTGTCATCATTGTCACAACCGTCATTGCGAAGTTATTGCAAGTCCATTCAAACAGACAGGCAGTATATGGTAACACCAATATTGTTTTTGTAAGACGGATTACAATTTATTCAATCTGGTACTAATACAGGATTCAGATTTAACTAATAAGGAGTAATATGATTCAAGTCAGACGACAGCCTCGCTCGTCTGCGCCCTATGATATGCAAAAATCACGATTCTCTCAACTGAATCAGACTATTAATCTCCCGTGATCTAAACATTGAGACCGTTATTAGTATCGGGCAAGACAAACATTCAACAAAATAAAATGTACCTTGCTTTATTAAATTAAACACTGACGGCAAACCACTGTAGGTTAATACTCGGAGGCCCAACGAAATGCGAAGGTATGAAAGGTATGGTTGAGGATGACAGGTCCAGGAAACATTGATTTGTCGAGGGTGATGAAGCTAATAGTTCTCAGATTCTGAATCTGTCTGAATTGAAGTTAACAATAATATCAAGTGACGACAGGGTGCAAGAAAATCGATACCTTGTCAATGAAATTTACACATTCCGTGGCACCATTTCAATGAATCTAAAGCGAGAGAGCAGGTTGAAGTGAGATTGTAATAGAATTGAGGCGAGGAGTGTCTGATGTTAATTTGGTTGTTATGAAAAGTAAATGATGGAGCGAAGGTTTTCAAACGACATTGTAATAGTGGGAGAGAAAGGAAGAACCAGTCCAGTTAAATTTGGGTACTATTTAAATTTGAGTCTGCATCGGGATTTGAAAAACGATGCAGCTCCCCTGGACCAATTAAATGGCTCCCCTAATACAATGTATAATAGAGCTAAAGAATGATCAAATGAGTCTAAGAGAAAATGGAACATTGAGGACAACAGGATAACATTGATTCAGAAATTATTTGCGAGACCGAGTTGTGCGAGAAACTGCAGCTGCTTGTGGAGCTGCTGCCTTCTTCATGGACCCTCTAGTTTTTGCCCGCCCTCGTCCACTGACACTATCTCCAGCATCCTGTGTGTTTGCCTCAACAACTTGTGCATCAACATCAGCAACCAATGCATCACGTACAATATCAGATTCAGGTGCTTCGGGTTGGGAATTGATGATGGACCTTGCATCAATGGTGCTTAGACTTTGGGTGACAGAAGTAATGGAAGGTTCTGGATCAGCAACCGAAAGTGCAGCAGATATTAGAGCTGAAGCATCAGATTCATCATCCGAATCGCTGTCCATGTCCAGCGCCACAAGCGCACAATTGATGGCATCTGTATGATCTTGTTTGGCCAGGTCAACAGCAGGTCCTCTTGCAGCCTCGAAGATATAACGGTTGATGTTGGCAACAATTGAGACAACGTGCTTGGTGGTCCATTTCAAAACAAGAACTTTCTTGTAGTTGTAAAAGAGAGTCTTGTAATTAATACTCGACTTCTTCCCAAGGCCAGAGCTTGAGAACTCGGTGTCTGGCGAGAGTAGAAATATCGCCTGCCGCAACAATACATGATAAACAACTGAGGCTCGAGGTGTGAATGATTGAAATGCTGACTTACGATAACTGCCGCCCATGCTATCGCTCCTGGCGTGATTTGATGAACGCTCCATTTGAGAGCATTGGTATGTGCGCCGCCGCCGCCACTTGACCTGTGGTGGAGTGAGGTAACACCATGCAACGAAGCTTTGAGAACCTAAGTAATCATATCGCATTCAATAAGATAAATCACCAACACAAGAACAGTGCTACTGATAAGACTTACTCGGGCTAGTAGCTCCCAGTTCCCGAACACCGTCTTCAGCGACCCGTCTTCCTTCAACCCCGGAAACAAGACTGGCGGAAAAGTCTTGTACGTCTGGTTTGTAGCAGATGAAACGCCAAGTAACTGTTGGATTTCGGGAGTGGTGGCTCTCTCGAAGTTGGTGTTGGTGAAATACTTTGAGGGAAGGTCGAAAATATCACCAGCAACACCACGAAGTTTCTTAATTTCATTGGCATGAGCGTCAGGAATACTTTTTAGTACCTATTGTCGTATTAGTGATTCAACATGGCAACTCTGGGAATAACAAGCTACATACCACATCACTGAAATAAGAGCTTTCCATTATCTTGTGCAATGATTTGGGGAAATGTTGATAAAGCTCGTGTAAGAATGCGGAGTCCTGCGTCACTGCAGTCTTATATCGGTCGGGGCTATCAAATGGAGTGGGAGTTTCCGGGAGTTTCTTGTTGAGAAGCTCGCTACTAGGAAACATCTCTACCATCATGCCATACTTACGAGCATAGATAGTGATAGTGTCCTCATGAACGCTGAGTTCATGTTGAGTGTCCGCGCGCTGTTTTCATTTGGGCTTCTCGGCACGCAAAGTCTTATTCTCCTCCTTGATACTCCTGTTCTCGTCTTGAAGCCGCTGCATTTGAACCTGCAGTGCTTTAAGCACCTGAAACAAATCAAGTTAGCAAATAGCCCCAACAAACGAATCATATCTTACCTCTAGAAGCTCCCCTTTAGAAGCACTGGGGGCCGGAATAGAGATATGAGTAGGATCACCACCCTGATCATCAAAGTCACTGTCTGTGTCTGAGTGCGAGTGCGACTGTGTAACGTGCGACATGGCTGCCCAACAGTAATAAGCTTTGGAGAAGAGTTCTGTTGGATGGGAAGGCGACAACACAAAATTAGGATCAATACAACACTTTAAATGATACTGCACTATTACCTCGTGCATGCTTGACATAATACCACTTGCAGCAGTTTTACACGTCCATAGATGTAACCGAAACCTTGTTTTATAATCAAGACATATTGGTTAGTGGTCCATCAGTTGTGAACTTTGAAGTACGTACCACGAGTAATAAAACATGTGTGAATGTACGCATATCAAACACCACCATCTGGTGTTCGTAATAGGTCAGGCAATTTAAACGATGTTAGACTGTAGGGTATGGTGTTGCAAACATGTACATCTGGTGTCACATCTTGCGGACTGTGAATACAGACAAGCAATTTGCTGTAGCCTGATAACCGTTTGAATTGAGGAGGTGCGTGTGAGGAGCCCACAGCAAAGAATGCAGTCGGATAAAGAAAGCGATGTCCTGTGGCCAGTTTTAATGAGTGATTCAGAGTCCTCCATGTTGGACACTGGCTGAGACTCATGGTCCGTGCACATGATCGAATCATAGGACATGCGATTCACGTATTGACCACTCTAAAGCACACTTTGGATGCCTCCAACAGGGTTTTCAGGCAGTGATGCAGAAATGACAGTCAGTATGATCCAAAGCAGAGTCAAGCATCTCGTGTGCCAGTCCAGGTCTCCTAAGAAGTCGCTGAGCATGGAGTTGACAGAAAGTCGAGGCAATGCCTAGCCCACGAGACACGTTTGCTGTGAGTGTATGACTGTGAGACGCTACTTGTGCTGGTGCTCGAATCATCGCAGCGGCAGTATCCATAGTGGCGTGTCCATGACTATTGCAGTTGTACAAGCCAATGGGTGGACCTTAGACTAACAATGAGACAGAGGCTGAATATGAGTGGCGACAACAAGCAGCAATAGCATTTTATAGGTGCATCTGCGAGTGCACTGAGGCATGGAAGTGATAGAAACTGGAGGCATCACTGTCAGCACCTCTCCTGCGAAGTTGTTTGTAGATGAAGGAGAACGTACCATCAAGAGAAGACATGGGCAAAGGAAGTCTGAATCCTCCTGCAAATCAATCTTGGCAGGGATGCGGAACACGTTCTCCCACTGTTTAATGAAGCCAAGCCTGTCAGATCCACCAGACTTGTGAAGCCAAAGTCGTCATGTGTTGACCAATGAAAGTGCTGGTAGTCATTCGGCCTGCTGGATTGCCCAGTCCCTTAGACTGAGCGGCACATGTGATTGCAAGTAGAAATCATGTGCTGCTGGATAGTCAGATCAGCACATGCGATTGTAAGTAAAAGTCACGTACTGCTGGATTGCCCAGTCCCTGAGCGGCACATGCGATTGCAAGTAGAAATTGCGTACGGCTGGATAGTCAGATCAGCACACGTGATTGTAAGTAAAAGTCGCGTACTGCTGGATTGCTCAGTCCCTGAGCAGCACATGTGATTGTAAGTAAAAGTCGCGCACTGCTGGATCGCCCAGTCCCTGATTGGCAATGAATCCTGTAGGATAGTTACCAGACCTATCCACATCGTTCCTAGTGTCACATAAACATAAATTAAATAAAAATGGAGGTGGTAGCCGAGCAACATAGATATAATGATGCCTGGTAGCTATATATTAATACAAATCAGACATGTCAAAGAGATGCCACTCACCAGTCAAATGCGCACCACATGCTTTGCCTGCAGATGCATTTCCTTCACACGAAGGAACATGTCCGTATCAACCTGTGTCGACAATGAAGTAATCAAGGTTTTCGTTGTGCACTAGAAGTGCCCCGCAAATGATAGACCTGATGGAAAAAATTCCACCTGTGCCCGTGGTTTTGCTTGAACTCTAAAAAGGTTGAGGTGCTTGTCTTTTCAAAGCCGTGCGCCTGTGGGAGCGTCATATGGGTGGACAAGAGCAAGTGGAATCACATTGTCTCCAACTGGGCACTCAAAAGCAAGAGCAGGCGTCCAAGGATGACCTTTTGCTTGGTCTGGATGAACATGCAATCGAAACGTGGTGCATTAAAGAACCGTGGATTGCACTGAAGGTAATCTGTATATTGTCGCCAGTCCACCATTGACTCGTAGTTGACACGCAGAAGTCGACATGTAGTGATCTGTTTTGTGTGATTAGTGTAGTAAGGGCTACTACTGAATTGAACAAACTTACTGTGTGAGTCGATAAGAGATGGACTCTCCTCCCATCTGGTAGGGGTATGTTGCTTGCAGGTAGAAATACATTTAGAAACGAGTTCAGCTTAACACGGAAGTTGGTAAATGTGACGTCATTCTTGTGGGAATTCTCAATGAGACCAAAGGTCTGCGGAGCTTCCCTCGACCCAAATTTCACATGCATAGACCCATCCAAAGGGTCAAAATCATGCATTAAAGGGTTCGTTGACGACTTGGAGTCAGGGTCATCTTCGTTGGCATCATTGTCGATGTCGTTGATGTCGTTTGCTTGGCTTTGTGATGTCACCCTTGTATATTCATCCAAGTCAAAGATCTGACGACGGATATTGTCCGCAACGAGTAGCCAGTGGTCTATACGAAGAATCTGTAATTACGATGCCCCGTGAGTAGCTAAATGCAAAAGTAGCCTTGTATTACCCACCTGTTCTGCGAAGTCCTTAAAGTTGGTCTGCTGCTGGTACCAGTCCTTCAATGGCCCGTGCATTTGCTCGCTCGGCTTCGTATTGTAGTTCCTTGTGACCCCTTTAGCCTCTATATCGTCGAATAGATGCGTGGTCATGTGGAGTTTTGGAAAATTCCAATTTTTGTCGTCCTCCTCGTCAGTTGCCATGATATATTGCTACAACTACTATAAGTTCATTTGCTAAAGTAGAGGATTATTAGACGTACTTTCATGAATGCTGTTAGGGCCTGAATGGCGCTTCTGCCCTCGCTGATCGTATTCGTTGTGTGAACCTCAAAGGCAGCGTACATGTCGACCTCGAGGTAAAGGCGCACACAGCGAAGTAGAAGGTATCCAAGTGGAGAGGCTTCCTCTGTTAGGATGTTGTGCGTAGCATATATTATCATCTGTAGTGTAATAATGTGTTAGTGAGACAGTTGTGTACAATAATAAAACTACGAACCTTTGAAATATCTTCATGGACGGAGCTGTCTGCAAATGTAACACTCATTACTTGGTTCGGATGCTTCAAATTTCGCCATTGTGGAAATGCTGCGAAACTACAGACATATTAGAAGGGGGGTAACATGTTAGATATTAGCACAATTAAGAGAAAGAGACGCACTTCTTATCAACTTGGGCTACTTTTGCCCTTCCGAGGCTCGTCAAGCGCTTTTGCAACTCAACCCAGTAATGATGTGACCAAAGGCCACCATGGTTGTAGTGACACCGGTCATGCGACAGTGCTTGATGGACATCTGAATATTGGATGGCCCACAATGAATTCTAAAAAATAAGTTAACCTAAGAGCATCACAAATAGTAGACACAAAACTCACAATAACATCATGAAGTCCATATTGTTTGAGAAGCTCCTCTAGTTCTTCGTAGGTGTCCTTTTCCCATGCAGCCAATACAATATCCCGCGATGTGTCGGCGATTTGGTGGGGATATCATTTTGACGTATCCCAAAGCTCGTCTCGAGGAACAAGACAGATAGGACATGACCAAAGGCTCATGATCCCTCGAGTAAGTGACATAACACACCTGTAAATTATCATTAGCGAACACACAATGTAGAATGATGGTACAAGTAAAATTGCAATTAGTACTTACTGTTCTTCATAATCAGCCGATAAAATAAGTAGACAAAGGAAAAACCACCGATCAATGCTATCTGGGCAGGAATACCATTGTCCTGTCCTTGATTTTGATGCCAACGAAGAGGTGATTCTCATGAATGACTCGTGCCAGACCGCGTGTTTGAAGTTCACCCAGCTTGACTTTCCAGCATGCTCTTTATCTTCTGGCACCTAATAAAACACAACCCCACCATCAGCACCGACAATGAGACAAATGTTAGGACATATGATTGGCAGCCATCCTACAATGTAACCACCACCCATACCTCGTCCATTCCGAATGTCAGTAGGTAGATTTGCTAAGCACGCGACAACCGGGTATCCTTTCGCAGTGCCGAACGACGATAACCTTGTTTTATCGGCATATAAGATGAAAGCTAGTGGCTTTGCATCCTGTGGTAGTTGCGACTACAAATGCACAATGTTTCACATATATAAAACAAGAATTAAAACTACAGGATACATACTTGCACATTCCAAAAGTCTTCCACGGTGTAAGGTTCATCTACAAAGCGGACAAAAGTTTGCCCATCAAACTTTGATAAGCGCTGTGCATCGAACACAAAGTGAGGGAAGAGGTGAGGATCCTGAAGTAAGTCAGTAGCAAGATCCCAAAGATCTCTGTAGTATATATCGAAGTCCCGCATCTCGCCATCGTAAGGCACCGAGATCACATCCTTGGTGAACTGCGCTTCAAGAAAGGTCAAATTCTGAGTCCATACAGCAAAAAATGGATAAAATCACCTTTGTGACCCGATGGGATGCTGCCTCCCACCTGGCGTGAATGTCTTTATGGTTCCTCAACGTAAATTTATCCTTTCCAAGAGAACATTGATGACAAATTTTGATGAGACGGTCCGTCTGTTCGTTGTTCAATCCGACCTCAAGAGCAAGCTCAGCAACTTCAAATTCAAGTTGAGATTGAAATGGGCGCCAAGGGTGGTAATTGGGGGAGGTGTTAGCTGAAGAGGCCGCAGGACAATGATGTAACTCGTTAAATGGATAAATTTTCGCCTCAATGCCACAATTTGGGTGGTGTTCGACCTTGATATCATCAAGCGAATAGGTGGGTGGTGCTGCAGCGTCCATAGGTTCAGGTTCAAGATGGTCTGAAAAATCGATAGCATTATTGATAGTAGTAATAGCGATTCAGATTCAGAGATTGATTGTCAATAAAATATGTACTAGACTCACCAATCAAGCTGAAGTCCATGTCGAAGTCGGTGTGCAATGTCGTGCTGGTAATCTCTCGGCTCGACTAGGAGACAGACAAGTAAAATAAACAGACATTGAAATAACAGTAAACGTACTTGGTGTGTGAGTGCGACTGGGTTGAGCTGTCCATTGTCCATCAAGCACAGAGTTCAGTGCTGGAATACTAATCATCAGCTTTAAAATTGGGCTTGAAATCAAACACACCTTTTTCCTGCCGAATAGCATCCACAACGACCTGATCATGGCACCGCTTGTCCGCGTTTGTCTCACAAGCTTTTCGGTGAGTAGTCCAACCTCATGGCTTGATGTCCTGACTGCATAAATCGCAGAACCTTGTGCGGTTGGGGGCCATTTTGGTGATAGAACTACAGGATTATATACAGAGACCTGAAGGATGGAGGAATTGGGTTGAAAGATCGCTGTTGGGCGCTGATGGAATGACAACGGTAAGGGCATATGCGTGTGATGTGATTTGAAACTCAGTAATCAGCATTATTTTACCATTTCAGGGCGCAATCAGCATTACCTTATCATTTCAGGTACCATTTCAATGGCATCTAAATAGGGACTCATTGCAACCGCTTTCGCAAATTTCCGACATAAACTTGCCGGAGGACTGGGACAAAGTAGACGGATCAATGAAGTAAGATTTTTTTAAAATATTCACTGCATTCATTAAATGTTCCCCCCTCATAGATTTCTCTACTATCTAATTATCGCTATGGATGCCAACTTCCACCTCAAGAACAGGAATCAATCTTCTACTACTAGCGCGGCCGATCCTGGGCTGCACACGGGTCTGGCATACTTCATTCCTGACAAACCTTACACAGAGCACATACTCAAGAATGCAAGCCAAGCTGATGTAGGTTTTTTTAGATCTTCACTCGTGTTGTACATGCTTAGAGGAGACCGACTTACTAGATTAGCACTTGTTCAGGGTTTAAGACATTGGCACACGCTGAATCGAAGTACTCGAATGGGCTGCGAGCGACTGGCGTTGGTTATGTCTTTGCGCACGCCATGAATTTGTTCGACCTCAGGGAGTTGGAGACCTCCAAAAGGGCGAAAGGTATTTTTGTTTAAATAATCTATATCCAATTGTCTAATGAAGAATTCAGATATGCTAATATGGATTTCATCTTTTTCTCATCCATCATACCTCTCCTCCTTCTCTCCGTCATCATATCTTATGACATTGCTTGCCAATGGAAGCTCAATCTCATGAAAAGAATGGGCGAGCTTCCAGAACATCTTCGGATGCCAGCAGCTGTCGCTCTCACATCATTTTCTTTTGGAATCCCTAAGTTTCACTGCCCTGCGCATGAGGAAAAATGTGCGATCCCACATTCCTTGAACCTCATGCCAGGTGTAGGATGGACTGATGGTGAGGGAATCGAGCGCAATTGGGCAGAGATGAATCGTGTTGCAAACAGCACGAAGGAAATGGGCGCCAGTTATCAACACGATGTCCTCGATGACCATTTCGGACATCACAACTGGCGCAAATATACTGGACTAGGTAAGATTTTTTTCTGTTCCCGCCAATGCATTGACTCATTTGATTTACAGGACTCTCACTACGAAGAAAACTTCTCAATGCCGTCAAGGAAAGTGGTCGCCACCAGTCCTATTTACTTGATTTTAATTCGACGATTGATGATGCCCATCAAGGAGAATGGACTGCGATGATTGAGGCTTGGGAACACGACAAATCAAGTCCAAATCCATACTTGCTTAGCAGAATCAGTAACGTCTATCTATACTTTTGAATTTTTTTTGTTGAAGCTGACTCTGGTCCAACAGGCCTTTCAGAAGCGCAAGTATGTGTTAATCTTGCAGACAATGAAAAGATTGCTATCAGGAATGGGCGTCAACTTCCTCACGAGATGACTCCTAGTTCTTTCATCAGTATGGGCCTGGTTCTCGAAGATGCGCAGTGAGTTCTGCTTCTGCAGTAGTCTGAGACTGTCTTCTGATCATTGCCAGGCGACGAATCAAAGTTGATCTCACATCATCTCTTAGTGCAAATGGGTATGCCGAACTTCACCAACGCTGGGTCACACTATGACAACAGCTAGACCACTTCTGTGTCATACAGAGAATATATATGGTAGGCATCGAAAGCTGGATTGAAGAGTGTGACAAGAACTCGTCTGATGATGTCGAGGATGAATCTCTGGTTACCATCAATGCTCCCTCCAAGCGATCAAGAGGCAATATGTACCCACGATATCACTCACATTGAGGCTGAGCTCCGTAAGGGGCAGTGTCGCGATTCACTCAATAAGTTGCGCAGGCAACTACATACCAAATCCCATTTCATCAAACACTGCAATCTCGATTTACGCGGACAATGAGCCAACATTCGCACAACTTCCTTTCTCACCCGCTGTCTTCTTAGATAGATGATCTATAGATAAACACCTATAAAACCAAATATCTCCACTGGTCAGTGATTCAGACAAATACCAATGACTGATAACGTGGTCGTTCGTGGGTGGCTGATTAGCAATACCTAAGCCACTGTCAGCAGAAGGTGCCTAGTGAGGTCAGTAATGTGAGTGATCAATCCAACAATGCCTGGACAACAGGAAACAACAAAAGAAACAAATATACCTTCTCGTACCAAAAAGATGCCCAACGGCAATCTTACTACAAAGATTCGTGCAAAGCTACAATGGTCACTCCCACAACACAAACAGGTAGGATCACTGGTCAGGACTAGTCAATGCTCAAAGAACTTTCAGTACTATTGAACCTGCTGTCAAGGAACTCGCTTCGAGTATTAAACAGAAAACAGGAACGGACATCCTTGGTGTTCGGCACCAAGTCCCCTTTCAATGACTAAAGCCGTATGGCAATGAAACCCTAGCTCAGTACCACTACTCAGATGTGCGTGGTCAAGCACACAATTATCAACTTCAAAGCTCCCCCACTAAGCTATGCAAAGTCTTAGGTGGACTAAGGAGACAACACAAAAGATTGCAGAAAAAGAAAAAGAGAACTCGGAAAAACAAACAAATGGGGGCAGTACCAGGCTTGGTGGTTGTGGAGGATGATGAGCTCAAACTAATGGTGTCTCACAGAAGAGTACCTTCACCAATCTTCAACAGCTCTTCACTGTTGTTTGGCTACAGTCACACTTCACACTCAAGTACTAGGGGATAAAAACACACACTTTTTATTGAGAGAGAAGGGGCTCTTATATAGACAAAATTTAAGGGCTATGCTACCAGTACTTTAAGGTTCCTGTCAAGTCATCTCCAGTTAAACTGAGTCATATAAGCTAGTGTGAGTCATACTGAATCAAGTTGAATCTTTGGGAGTCACTTCAGATGGTTGAGTCACTTGGTATATAGATGAGTCATCTTGACTTGTTAGTCATGTGATTTCTCATGACAAAGCAGAAAAGGTCTGGACACTGATTATGTAAGGTACCAGTCCATGTGTTATGTTGGTGTTTGTTTATTACATTTTCTGTTAGGGGCTGAACTGGTGCGGTGCTTTGTATTTAGGGTTTCCTGCATGTTCCCACAGGACAACTTGTGTGGGAAATAATTTTCACAGTCACCTGACATGTGAGAAGTTCATGCTGAGTCATTTTTAAGCCAAACGAAATGAAACTGAATCCAAGAATAAATCTCCGAAAATATTCATTCCTGTAAACCGGGTTTGCAGAAGAATGAGGAGAAAGAAGCAAGTCCTTTTCCTGGGCCAGGCTTCTTATGAGAATGTTATTCAGCCACACCAGACTAGTTTGGTGCAGGTCACTGCTTTGACAGCAAAATCAATGCTGCTGCTGGAAAGTACCGTGTCGCTCAGTCAGCATTGCTAGGACTGGATGGAATCAGCGAGCTGGAGAGGGAATTTTGATGTTTAGAGGCGAGGGACATTGTGGCACCTGTTGACATGGTGTCGGGTGCCAGTAGTACCACTGGAATGCGCGGAAGGACAAGGTCCAAGCGAGACGCATCTCACGGATTAGGGCAAGGCTATCAGATGACGTCGTGGATTTGGTTTGCTTCAGGAGTTCAGGACGACGAAACTGATGCAGGGTCTGAACGATGGTGAGTATATTCACTGCTACATTTATGGACTCTTTTCTGATGTGAAATGGTAGTGTTACGTGTAGAATGGGCCAAGTCTCGCGTGTGCAGACAACTGGTGGAATGAAGAAGTGTTGCTTCTCAAGGAGGGAATGCAGCAAACACGACAATTTCTCGCATGGCATGTACAACAATGGCAATCTGTTACTGAGCTATCACACCAGGATGCGCAGATCGTGGCTGGCGCCGTCGCATATGCCCACAGGCAGGCTGCAGTTCAGCGCTCATTACTGGCTCGTTTCACTGCTCTCTAGGGCACTGGAGTTGGTGCGGACGTCCCAGCTGCCGAGGATGAAGTAAATGAATATTTTGCCGAGGATGAGGACAATTTTGATGACGAGGAGGGGTAGGCATCTAGGGGCTTTTGTATCCTATTTTTATCGTATATCATATTTGTTTAATTAGTCATCGTCAATGAATCATTTATTTGAAACCTACATTTAAATATGATTATTAGTGTGTATACCCATAGTAATATTATTTACTGGTGTGAACCAGCTGTGGGTCACGGGGTGGCAAGAGCCACGGATTAGGTCAAAATGTGCTATTGGTAATTGCCGTGAAATATGCCAATGGGAAAACTGGTAGTTACCATTTTACTAGGTCTAATACTACAACTAGGGGTGTCACCTGTCACAAGGTTGGACATCTCTCTAGGGCATGTCCCGACAAGAAGAATGGAAGAACCCCAGTACACCGCAAAGAAGTAGAAAGCAGCAATGATGAGGAAGAAGCAGAAGTCCGTTGTCTCAATGAGGATTTTTGATGTGGAAGACTGGATCAACGTCGGTATCTTCCAATGTACCCATAAGACTTGTATGAAAAGTTGGTGAACGAAAGGAACTTTGAGTTCCACTTTCCCTTATTTCGAAAACTCGTTTGAAAACCATTGAAACCACCGCAGTCATAGACTCCGGAGCAGCCGGAACTTTCATTTCCGAAGACTTCGTCAAACAACACCGAATCCAAACCCATCCCCTCAGTAAACCCTTCAAGGTTACTACCGCTGATGGAAGCTATTCAAGAGTGGAGCTATACGCAGATATTGTGTTCTTACTGTCAAGATAGATGGACGATCCATGATCAGAACATTTAACGTCACTCATCTCGGGAGAAGAGACCAGATTCTTCTAGGAATTCCTTGGCTACGCGCTATGAACCCAGTCATTGATTGGTCTGCAGAATTTCTTATCCTCTCATGAACCACGAAGAGTGATCAAATAGAAGAAGACATCGACAAAGAGAGAAAGAAGAATGGTCTTTCACTCCTATTTCGACAAGAACCTATTGATTGAACCTGGAAACAGTCCAGACTTAGGAAAGCGGAGCCAGTCATTGAAACCCCTGTTGCTTACCCAAAAGCAACCATTGAAGAAATAGTTGACGAAGAAGCACCACACGTCCTTCCCATCCCCGACCTTCTCCCCATCCCTGATGACGACAATGAAACCTTTGATACTAAAGAGGACGTCTGGACGCAAGAGAACTTTGCTGCACCAGTGCAAGAAGTCTCTATGTATGAACTAGATGACGATGAATTCTTGGTAGAATATTCCTCCGACGCATCTGAACTCCGGGTTATCACTAATACTTCTATGGATACACCTTTAACGACCGACGGAACCAGTTACTCGGAACAGAAACCCATGATCAAACCCCTGCCATGGTCCACGGAATACGCGAAAGTTAGTAAGAAAGCCCAGCAATTTGCTCTAGCTGCGGGCTTAGAACAAAAGAAGAAAACTTTTGAAGAACTTGTACCTTCCTATCTCCATGACTTTGCCAATATCTTCACTAAAGACAGACTAAACCAACTACCCCCAGAACGACCTGGCATTGACCACCATATCAAAACAAAACCCGGATTCATCCCCAAAACGTCGAAAATCTACCCCCTCTCTACTGCTGAATGGACCACTGTTAGGGCATTTATTGATGAAAACATAAAGAAAGGTTTTATCTCAGAATCCAAGTCGCTGCAAGCCAGTGGCTTCTTCTTTGTAGGAAAGAAGAGCGGAGATCTCCGACCCTGTCAAGATTATCATTACATCAATGACTGGACGATCAAGAATGCTTACCCGTTACCACTTCCTCTATCCCTTGTTGCACGATTGCACGGAGCAAAGTATTTTACCAAAATGGATGTTTGTTCCAGTTATAACAACATCCGCATTCACCCTGACGATAGATGGAAAGCCACATTCACTACAGAATTTGGACTCTATGAACCAAATGTCATGTTCTTCGGACTTTGTAATTCCCCGGCCATGTTCCAAGCCTACATGAATCGCACATTCCAGCAAGAGATTAATGAAGGATGGTTGGTAATCTATATGGACGACATCCTCATCTTTTCTAATGACCTTGATGAACACCATGACCACACCCATCATATCCTAACAAAGATCTGTGAAGAACAACTCTTCCTAAAACCAGAAAAATGTACCTTTGATGTGCAGGAAGTCGAATATCTTGGTATGATTATTTGCCCGGGTTGCGTCGCTATGGATGTTGCTAAAACAGATGGAATCCGCGACTGGCCAATCCTGACCACCGTTAAAGAAACTAGATCGTTCCTAGGCTTCTGTAACTTCTATCAGAACTTTATTCCTCATTACTCTGATATCGCACGACCCCTTATCAATCTAACAAAGAAAGATAACACGTTCCTATGGTCCACTCCTTGTCAAGATGCATTCGCAACACTGAAGGAGTGTTTCCTGAAATAACCAGTCCTCTGTAATCCTGACCCATTGCGACAATTCGCAGTCACCACTGATGCCTCATTAGTCACTACTAGGGATCAGTACGGGTTACCCGCGGGTATATCGGCGGGTTTTGAGTATTCTGAGGCATGGTCCTTCATTCTGGCTTGAAAACAAAAAAAAATTCATGCAAAATGGACCAGGATTGGGTGAGATATGGCTGGAACAAGTTTTAAGCAAAACCCTGCAAAGCTCCTCCCTCCACATCTGAATCTTTGAGAGAGAGTCAACCAATTTGCGAGGTTTTTGCATTTTCGCGAAAATTGGTTGACTCTCTCTCAAAGATTCAGATGTGGAGGGAGGAGCTTTGCAGGGTTTTGCTTAAAACTTGTTCCAGCCATATCTCACCCAATCCTGGTCCATTTTGCATGAATTTTTTTTTGTTTTCAAGCCAGAATGAAGGACCATGCCTCAGAATACTCAAAACCCGCCGATATACCCGCGGGTAACCCGTGCTGATCCCTAGTCACTACAGGTGCCGTTCTACTTCAAACTGACGAAAACGGTGTATATCATCCATGCAGGTACCTCTCCCAATCCCTGAATCCCGCAGAATGAAACTATCAGATCTTTGATTGGGAGCTCCTCGCCGTCATCCGCGCACTCCAAGAATGGTGCCATTACCTAGAAGGAAACCCACACCCAGTTATCGTATTCACCAATCATAAGAACCTCCTCTATTTTCATACCGCACAGAAGTTGACCCGTCGCCAAGCCAGATGGCAACTTCTTCTCTCATGTTATGATATTGAACTCCGTCACATACCAGGAACCAAGCTCGCCGCACCAGATGCCCTATCACGTCGTGCTGACCATCTCCCTACCGAATCTGATAACGAAAATATAACCCTACTCCCCGATTCCATGTTCATCCAACTCCTTGATCAAGAACTCATGACCACCCTTGTGAACCCTGATCCTGACGACACTGATCCCATCTTCCAAGCCGCTGCTGACACCTTGAATGGCCTCTGTCTTCCTCCCATGAAATCAGCCCTCTCTGATTGGACAATTAGAGATGACGTCTTATTCTATAAAGATTGTGCTTACGTCCAACCGGCCGGACATCATGCTATTCTAGAACGAACTCATGATCACCCTACGGCAGGACATCCCAGTCGCTTTAAAACCGAAGAACTGGTTAAACACGATTTTTGGTGGCCTTCTATGGGAACTTATATCTGGAAATACGTTGAGGGTTGCGCCCTTTGTCAGCAAATAAAATCTGACACTCATCCTACCACCCCCCCGCTTGTTCCTATCCCATCTTCGGTTTCTACTCCCTTTGCTCAAGTATCCATCGACCTTATAACTGATTTACCCCTGTGTAATGGTTTTGATTCTATCATGGTCATAGTAGACCATGGGCTTATGAAGGGGGTAATTCTCATCCCTTGTATGAAAACCATCACCTCAGAAGGTGTAGCGAAGAAGTTTTTCAAATACGTCTACCACCGCTTCGGACTCCAGGAGAAAGTCTCTGATCGAGGTCCGCAGTTTGTATCCAAATTCTCTAAAGCCCTCGCCAAGCTTCTGAAGTACAACATCACCGCTTCCACCACTTATCACCCGCAAACAGATGGACAGACGGAATGTCTAAATCAAGAACTAGAAACCTATCTCCGCATCTACTGCCGTACCAACCCAGAAGACTGGGTCGAACACCTCCCTATGTCCAAATTTGTCCATAATCATTGAAAACACGACTCTCGCAACGCATCCCCATTCTTCCTTATGATGGGATATGAGCCAAGAGCCCTCCCTCATGTACTCCCCGACTCCAATGTCCCAGCAGCAGAAGAACGACTCCGCCTCCTCCAAAAGATTCACGAAGAAGCTATTTCTTGCCATAACCTAGCAATGCAACATATGGCCGAACGATCACACGGAAGGAAGTACCAACCATGGAAAGTTGGGGATAAGGTTTGGTTATCAGGAAAGAACCTCATCATGCAATTACCATCGTGAAAACTCGCTCTGAAACGATACGGCCCCTTTACCATAACAGCGGTACTTTCTCCAATCACATTCACACTCCAATTACCAGAACAATGGAGAGTTCATCCCACATTCCACGCTTCTGAACTATCATCCTATCATGAAACCGAGATCCACGGTCCGAACTTCCATAATCCTCCACCTGACGTCATAGATAATGAAGAAGAATACAAAGTTGAAGCGATCCTATCGCACAAAGGCATGGGTAAACGAAGATGCTATCTCGTATCCTGGAAAGGATATTCTTCCGCCAGCAACGAATGGATCCCTGAAGAGAATCTTGACAATGCCTCGACCATTCTCACTGCTTATAAGAAAGCCCATCGATTATAAGAACCCCCCATCGAAATCATGTCCTCCCCAATCGAAAGACTTCAACTCTGCCTCTTATGCATCCAAGAACTCTCCACTGCCATGAATGCTGCCTCTCAAACCATCTCTTCCCCGACACTTTCTAGTACCACTCTAACCGATGAATCAGTTAACCCCAATTATTTTGATATCCTTGACAACATAGAGACCAATACTCTGTTTGAATCCACCCTCACCTCTGAACAATACACCATTGATATAGATCGCCTTCTCGCTGAACGAGGAGCTCTATCCAGTGCACTTCTCATCAATATTATCTGTGCCGCTAATCTTGTCAGTTGCACTGCCAGACTTATCAATGACCCCTGTCATCAGACCATCTTCCGTCACCTTCACATACGTATTCGCAATACTGCAGTGCGTCTCATGCCTGCTACTACTAAAGAGATCATTCGAGAGGCTATTCATATCGTCACCGAACGAATTGCAATGCACCCAGTCGCTAGACCCCCCGTCCCCCTACATCGCAATTCCCATTCCACCTCCGGTCAAGATACCAACTCCTGTTGAGCATACAACTAGCATTCTCATTCCTCCTGCTGTACCTGTCATACCAATTCCTATTACACCTACCCCAACGACAACCACAATCCGCAGATACCCCACCCGTCGACCTTCCAAGGTCAAACAAGAACATTCCATATCCCCTGCCATTCAAAACCGAGCATTACGCTCCAAGACCCCATCCCCACCACCACAGTCCTCCTCAGTCACTATCATAAAAACTGAACCTGCCGACAATTTCCTTTGTCGCAACTGTGGACTCATGGGCCACCGTCACAAGAATTGTCCCACATACTATTGTCGAGTATGTCGCAACTTAGCACCTGGACACTTATCAGTCTTTTGTAATGACCTTAAAGGAGAACCGGTGATACCTTTGGTTTGGACGGACAAGGGCTTTTATGAAGCTCTTTCTAGATGGGAAGCTGATAAAGACGCTGAAACAGAGCAAATTTCCGTCAAAGAAGACAAGAGGCTCTTCTCCCGATGTGCGGGAGACAACAATAACTATGATGCTTACCATAACTTGGATTGTTGAAATCGGTGACTTCAATGGTAAACACGGGGTAATGTTACAGTCTAAGTACGCCCCTATTCATCTTCTTCTCTTACATTGTATTACATCACAATCGCTATCAAAGCCATTGCTAGATGACTTATCTCTGACTCATCTCATTTCTTATCTCTGACTCATCTCGTTTCTTATCTCTGACTCATATCGTCTCTTATCTCTGACTCATTGAACACCTGCCCTAAAGCAGTTGTCGTTCACTATATAAACTCGTCTTGTACATTGTATTTACTCACTTTAATCTTACTGGGTTTTACCTGGAACTTCCTTCACTTAAGACTCCCAATCTTAAGTCGTCTGAACTTGATTCAAGTCAAGGACACTCTCCTTGATTTGTCTTATGAACTTACACATACATAGGAGTCTTTGAACCGACCTTAGCCGACATCGCCTATCGCATTGCTATACGTCAGAACTACCCCAGTTCGTAACACCCACTGCCTCAGCTCATCTCACAGTCTCACCGCCCAGAGACCCTTTCTAAGGCTGTCAGTTCTCGAGGACGAAGTCCAGGTGGCTTATGCATCAGCAACGCACAATGTCATTCAAGGAGGTCATGTCCTCTATGGACTGTAAGCTGTTCCCCCTCAACACAGCCGAATTTGTTCTTGCGTTTTGTATTACTCTAAACTACTAACATCAACCAAAATGCTAGTTTACAAGTCCATCCTGCAGCTCCCAGACGCCGAATCGCCAAGACGATAATATCAACTTCAAGATTGGTAAGTTTGCAGCTCGTCTGCTGTAATATTTCCGCTCACCTTAACCTGCAGTCATGCTGCACTCGAACGACGCGCTCAGTTTCGATCCTTGTGCCCCAAGACCCTCTTCAGTCTCTCCCACAACCCCAGTGGGACCTCCAAGTCCACCTGCCATCCCACATCCTCATTCGCCTCTGCGAGTGCACAAGCGGCTGCCTCTGTCCACCGGCATTTTCGCTCCCGCCCACAATGCATGTTGGAGTCCATCAATCTTGGTTTATCTGTCATTCCAGCGTTATCAACAAACATGCAATGAGCCGAAGCCTGAGGACATACCAGATCACATTCGAGATCTTGGTTTAGACAAGTTTAGAGTTTGAATCATTAGTAGTAGTAGTAAATCGATAATGATGTATTGCAACTTGCAGCACTTGTTTCGGTGTTGGTATCTGATCTTGCCTTGCACTGCTTTTCGGCACTTGAATTCCATGTGCTTCCTTAGTTGACTTGTCAAACTAAAAGCCAAGTGAATAATTATAGATAAGTTAAAAATAAGTTTTAATTTTCGAAATAAGCTGTGCTAAGGAATGTGTGAATTTACTGATGCTACCTAAATGGTGTACTAAAAGAAGAAGTGTATATGGAACAGCCCGAAGGCTATAATGATGGAACCGGCCGAGTATGTCGACTGCGAAAGACCCTTTATGGGCTAAAACAGTCGGGTAGAGAATGGAATCTTGAGCTAAACAGCCGCTTGATGAGTATTGGATTCAGACGACTGAAATCCAATCCATGCACTTACATCAGAAAGACCGCGAAAGGAACGGAAATAATTACCGCATGGATCAATGACCTATTGTTATTCACGGATCATTCGAGTCTGATGGATCAGCTAAAAGCACAACTCAAAAATATCTTAGACATTACTGACCTAGGGGAACCAAGGAAAATTGTTGGGATCGAGATCACTCGAGATAGACCTAACAGGTCAATCCGACTCACACAGACCAAATATATTGAGTCTATCCTAACAAAACAAGGTCTTCAGTCATGTAACTCAGTAGGTATGCCGCTAAATCCAAAGATTATACTCGAAAAAGAGGCAACTAACCAAGATGGCAACCGAAGTAACAATTATGCCTCATTGATCAGGTCGCTGGATGTATTTGGCGGTAACCATGCATCCAGATATTGCATATGCTATACAAAGACTTAGCTCATTCACTGCAAACCCAGGATTAGCACATTGGGTAGCAGCGAAACGTGTTTTAAGGTACTTAGCTGGAACGCGAGAGCTCAGAATCAAGTACCAAGGTACTTCAAAACTCGATAAAAGCCATATTCAATTTATCGGATGGTCAGACGCTGACTATGTGAACGACCCGAGAGATCGAATATCCGTGTCAGGATACGTCTTCAAACTTGGAGGCGGAATGATCACCTGGAGCTCAAAGAAACAAAATATGGTATCACTTTCGTCAATGGAAGCTGAATATGCTGCGATGGCTCATGCTGCACGTGAAGCAGTTTGGCTCTGAAATTTATTTGAGGAATTAGATTTACCTCAAAATGATCCAACCAGTTCTCCATGGAGACAATATGTCCACACTCGCAATTGTGTGAGACCCACAATACCATGCGAGGTCCAAACATTTCGATGTGAAGGACCACTATATCTGGCATAAAATCCAAGAACAGGTGATTCATGAAAAGTACTGCTGCACTGATGAGATGATTGCAGACATATTAACAAAGCCGCTATACAAGCCGAAACATTGTAAGTTTACAAATGATTTAGGCATGACCTCGACTTGAGGGGGAGTGTTGAGGCTTACAAGCCGAGAACACGCGTGCTTATAAAGCACAAGTAGCGGACTTGTTCTGAGTTTCAGAGAAAACATATGACATATAATATATGTAGGAGATTTCCGAAATATAATCATTCTACGCTCCTATCATCAGCCGTCTGCCTATAACTAACTACTCTCGTAACTCTAATCTCGTAGCCTCGATCCTAAGATGTACAATGACTGCTCAGTTCCAGGCCTTTCAGTGACCTTGGGACGGAATCTGCCATACATTGGTTACTTGCGACGCCCACGGATCTAGACGACATTGCAAGTGCAGCCTCACTCATTCCCACTATTACATGGTCACCGAACTCAGAGATTGTGTCCCACTGCCAGCAGCTTCGAGACACATTTTCAGCCTGTTTCGACGCTGAAGGAAGACTCTGGAGATCGCGCAGTCACCTGTGGGCGAGCTTTAACCCATTTGTGTCTGACTGTTCTGTCAATTGGAGATGATTCCAACACCCGAACTGCTTCCCAGCAGTTGAGAATTTGGAATCAGTGGCTCAGCTTCATTCTTCTACGAAGCTTTGACTAGTGCAAGGCCCTTGCCTGCCAACTGTCAACATTATCTGGCCAGGAGAGGGAGAGGTACTGGGCAGATGTACGCACTGCATTGCGCATGATGATTGCTGCTGCTGGGGACGGATTCATTCGTCCAGACCACGACTCGATCATTTGGCGTGGCCGATTCACGTGGGCCATGGAATCATATAGCCCTCGTCACCTTCGCTATACAGCTGTACGGGCTGTTTCAGACTCTCAACTGGCACTCGCTGACATTGATGCCATACAAGACGAGAATATATGCCAGATACTCCTCACAATAATTTCCCCTGCTCTTCTGACGGCCATTTGTCCTGCTCATACTGCTAGACGTCATGAAGATGACGAACCCGATGTCAACTTCAACTATTGGCGACATGATGCTTACCTACGGCTCATCATGGCTCTTCCAACACGGAGTGGTGTAAACGCCTAGTCACTGCTGATCGACATATCGGATACTGCATAAACAACGTCAACGAGTACTTGCCCGCCCCATTCCTTCTCGCTGCAATATTTGGGCGAGTTCATTCTTCGAATCCAGACACAGCTGGAGCTGCGTTTGAGGCACTTACAACCGACCCGTTCCCGTTCCTGTTCCTTATTACATTGGACTCGAAGCTTTATGATGAAGCCGAATGCATCACCGCTTTCCTGGCTATTGTCGAATGTGTGGAACAGAAAGATATTTCAGCAGCTGACATTAAGCAGATTCGCAGGAATGTCAGTCTAGTGATGGAGGAGCCGAAGAGGCGAAACAAGTGTCCGGAAATCGCGTCTCATATCCGGGACTAATATTCCAGCGACTTAACTTATTTTTTCCGTAAATCCGGGCTGGTACCAACTTACTTACTGCAGTCCCCCGATAGATATTAACTCGTGGTAGGGCGCCTATGATCAAACCAAAGGCCAGGGGGATCTTCAGGGGGGGGATTCTAACATGCCTAATAATCGAAGATAGTTGGTTACAAGACGGCTGATACTGGCTCTGAATCTTAAAGACATGGGAAGTTGCCAAAGGGTTTCGAACACGTTCAACACTCAGAGCAAGGGGTCACGCGTCATGCGTGGTCGCTGCAATACCCTTTATCTACACGTGGATTCAATAGCTCAAGTTTGGCTTCCATCTGAAATTCGGGACAAGCACATAGTTAGCACCTTCGAACACGGTTATTATTACTGATGACAGTTCTGAAACAGTTCCTCCCACCACGCTCGAGCAGTTTGACTGGGGGAGGAGGAGTGCGTAAGAGAGAAGGAGAAGGGCAAAGCAAAGGGCAAGGGACAAGAGGAGTACCAGTCCCTGGGTATATGATGCATTGTTTCGAATAACCACCAACTCGGCGGTTATTGCACCCACCACATCATGCTATCTTGCTGCACATTTTTGCTGTTGGTCCGTCCTGTTCTGCATCCCTCTATGTAGGGTTGGTGTCTTCTGTCTCCTGTCGACATTTTTTCTCGCAGCCGACCGAAGGGTAGTCCTCGTTAATATAAGCTCGATATATGCCGATACTCTGTGGACGTCATAGTACATAGTTACACAGAAAAATTGGGCCCCGGACTACTTGCTCCCATGAAGTATCAGAGAATTTTTCTAGGACGAGAGCCTGAGCAAAGGACTTCACTTCACCTCCTTTCTCAAGTTGGAGCATCATACGCGGGAGTCCATCTCGTACTGTTCCAACATCGGTGGCAAAGTCCAACAGGCGCAATCCTCGAATGTCGTACCGACATGCACACAGTTATTGTCGGCATGCATATCCCAAATGCTGATGATAAGACGTGGCACGATAATAAATGGCGCAGTACCGTTGAACAACTGTACGAGAGACATCACCACCATCTGTGCATGCCTGCATTAGAGTAGATCTCTCTATAATAACAGGAGATAATACCGGAAGGTCGGCCCACATTATCGCCATGAAGATTTGAGTTGCCAAATTACTAACGTGACTCAATGAATGCTTTCAGAGAACACAACAAACGAAGGGGAACTTACAGGACAAAGTATATGACATGATGTCGGACGATCATGACTAAATAGCCATTTGACCTTATTTTAAGTTCCCTCCGCTCTTTCAGGTGCTTTCTAAGGACGGCAATGGCGAGAACAACCAGGAAAATGTCATAGCATATGACGGGGATGGAAGCATATACCGCAGGCATAGGCCCGATGTGGAAGAAAGACGTGCAGTACTTGATGTTTGGAGTTATTATTATTTCTTGCACTGTGCACCAAGGCATCAGCTTGCACAGAATTCGATCAAAGTAGAAATTCACTTGAGATCGCTGAGGGTCGACTCCATAAGAATATATCCACCGCTATATAGAGCGCGACGATGGGTAGGAACAACCCCAGTAAAACATAAAGTATGCACTTGGATTGGTTGTATAGGGCGTAAAGACGCCAGATGAGAATGACTACAGATGCAAAATGGGTACGCGCAAAGATGCGAGAATGTATATATGACTTGCCTTCCGCCAAGCAAAAATATATAGAAAAACCCCATTGCATGAGCAGAAACATACCATAACCTATTTCAATTTCATGGTGAACAAAGCTAGTTTCAGTTGAATACGATAACTCACAACTAAACAAGAGGTCAGCGACAAATCAGGCATAGCTGTAAACCGAAATTTGGGCGTACGGCTGAATCTGGGTCAACCTATAACTCTCTAAAGCAAGAATCGGAACACTCACTGCTTCAGGCATATAAAATAGGCCTCCCCCTAGCGCTGGTCAGTTGATGAGGGCTCGATTTGAATCACGTCACGTACAGCAGGCGCAAGTCCTAGACGTCAGCGTCAACATACAATGTATCATCTGGAGGATACACCAGCGCGACGTACATTGCAATCAAAATACCAAAATATCGAACCTGGCATGGCAACAAAAATGGGAAACCATGAAGCATTTTCAAGTTGGCAGGGTGGAACTCACTGCAAGGTATAGGTATGACATCGCTGACCACTGTCTTTCCTGTATATCCAGTCAGTCGCATCCTGATATCGTTGGGGTTGAGCTCTAACCCAAACAAACGTGATCTGCGATAATATATGATCATAAGTACTCGACGATGATAAACCGACCTCCTCATTACCTCTTTCTCAAACTGAAGCACTAGATAATATTACGCTCAGCCGCACTGCAAGGTTCATGAAAGCTACTGACTGTACTCATAGGATATCAGGGTGATGATTGCAACTGAAAAGATGAAGCTCAGCACAATGATTTGTGTCCAACAAGACCGACGAACCTGATATGTTGTTATTCCACTCAAGAGCATAGAGAGATTCTTCTAATCCCGACATGAAACTCTGCAAATCAAATGGTGAATTCAAGAAGTGAAGGATGGGCTACTAGATTACCCACGTACGATACTTATAGGGCAAGCTGATCGGAATCTTGTTAACTCGTCGACGCGTCAGGGTTGTGACTTTGTGATGTCCTAATGAAAATTGTACGACATTATGTCGAGCTTGCGATACCATATTTTCTATCTCATGGATATCGATGATCACACGGCTGACAACTTGAAGGGTCACCCTACGTCACCGGCGGCTGTAAAGTCTACTTCTTGGGTTAGATTCTACCTGTCCGACTTCTTGTTTATGTAACAAGGGCGGTGCTTATCTCCCTGACATGGCTGGAAAACATTGAATGGAGTCCCACCACCATCCATATAACCTTGACAAGCAAGTGCATGATCTGAAATCGAACCTCGAAATAAGCGAAGCGTTTGCGGACCGTTAACATAGTGACAGTCCTTATGGCAAATTGATCTCATGGAAAGACATGCCACGATGCCTCCGAGGAGGACAGCCGCGATCGGCAAAGTACCCTATCTTACATTATGAGAATATAAGCAACTTCACTATCGGCAGAACAGAAATGACGGCCTGACCCTCAAGGTGGGAGTGGAGAGCAGAACGGGAGCGGCACTAGTACTGGGATGCAGAGGGTAGAGGAGCCATGAGTGAATTTAGTCCTCTGGAATAAATTATGTCATGCTTCACGATCAGATAGAGTACAAAAATACAGAATCGGCCCTGATCTAGTAAGTCAGGGAACTTTTGCCAAGGCTGGAGTTTGAACACTTGAAGCGTGCCTGGAACCTCGCTCTACCCTGATCCTGACTTGATGCTGATTTGGGAACCGGCATGCCAGAATCGTACGCGCGAGGTCTTGTGCTATGATGGCGAAGTCCAACATGTAGTGATGTGCAGGCCCGGCTTGACCTGCATGACCTGCATCAGGGAACCGACGCGAAAAAGATAAACATCAGTAAACTACAACTTTCTCTACAGAAGAGTCTGGCAGGAATATGGAGGATCGTTTGTTACCGTGAACGATCCCTCTATAACGTGCGGCCGCAATTTTCTGGTCGCCGAGCTTGGCGATGTGGTCCAACGGATGTCTGGCGCAATCTGTTAGGTGTTAATGGAATAATTGTGTATATTTCAGTTAATTGTTACCAGGTCTATCTTGAGGAGCCTTGAATAGGAGATCTGGTGTTGAATGCGTTATCTCGAAGGACTGTACCATACTCAAGTTAAATGGTTTACACATAAACATTGCACCGACAGGCTTCAAGGGCTTGAGTATGAGCTTGAGGCCCCCCGCGTGTTAGTGAGACCCATGAGCGCCACTATTAGCGAATAGAGCACTGGTCAACAGCTGAGCTGCAGCGGTACAGGTGTGGCAGGAGGTGGTGAACAATATATGTTACCTCCTTCAGCTTGACGGCGGTACAGACTGCAAAAGAACCAACTCCGACTCGTCACCGGTCACCCCCAGATTATGTAATGTTACGTATTAGCGTTACTTGGTCGAAGGACGGCGTGAACCATTTGAAACGCCTGGTGCTAGCGCTCAACGTTCAACCTCAAAACTACTCTTCCACCACCCAAAAAAGTTTATGACTTCTCAATTCACGCTGATTCCATACGGAAATTTAGTGCCGTCATGACCTCAGGGGACTCCAGCACAACACATCAACAGGATCATCTTGTTGGTCACATCGAATATTGATCAGCCAAACCGATCAAAGCTTACGAAAAATGGTACATTGCCAGTGTCGGCACCGTCATCAAACTAGTAGAAACGATCATCAGGGCAAGCCCTTAGTCACACGTATGGTGTGCCCTGTGTACGAGAGTTTCCCTGAACTAATCGCTCTGAAGTGTCTCTCAATACGAATTCAAACATAGATACAGTTGTTTCTACTTTCATTAAACACCGCCGTAACAGAGTATGACTTCTGATGTATGCATTGTACACTTGTTATATTGAAATAAGAGCGGAGCTGACATTCAGATCTTCACGTATCCGTAGAGCCTGAATGACGGGCACTATACACTGGACCGTACTCCTCTTCGGGCGAGACGAATGCTGCTCCGAACACTATCAACACAATGTCATAGTCCCCCTACACGCTAATCATCCGATGCAAGGCCAAACGCTTATCTTGATTTCTCTATTCTCAGTGTCGTCCACTCCTGCGATATTATCGTCCCGCCATACAATACCACAACTCGGAAGACCCAGCAGCTCTGGAAGCATAACGCGAGTCTGCTACAAGACGTACAATTATGGTCAGCTAAGCGTGGAATACAGCGACAAGGGGCTACCACGCAAGGTCAAGGGCATTTGCAAGGGCAGTCGAGATAGATGCACACCTCTTTGATGAGCTTGCGAACTTTGGGATACCGCGTCTTCACCTCTCCAGCATCGAATGGTATCACTTGCTCGTCCACTCCACCCACCAATGTCAAATCATCAGAATCGGCGTGTGGCAGAGGAGATACGCGACCGCTCCCTTGTGGTGACTGAGCAGCTGACGTAGATCCAGGGGGGGACACGTTGTCATCGGGGATGTAGTGTTCTTCGATCTGGAGCGAATTTTCAATTTGCGGTGCGGTGCGCTGTGGTAGTGGTGGTGGGAGGTACGTAATAACACGTTTCTTTGTCTGGGTGTCAAGCTTCTTCTTTGTCCGTGTCACGCCCGTACTCCAGTCCTTTGAATTTCCGACGGTAATACCAGGAAGACGAAGACTGAATGGTCCTGTTGACAGTATGTTACCGACCTTGAACTTGCTACTCTTTTTCTTCTCGGGTTTCATGACCGTACTCCAGTTAGCGTCAGGATCATCATCGAACGCGTATGCAGAAATTTGGCGATCACCGCGTGAAACTGACGAGACCGCGATATTACGTTTCAGTGAAGACTTTTTGGCACGTTGTGGCAGTGGAGATGGCGTCGGCGATTGGTTGGGACGCTTCCTGGACTCGGGAGACATAAGATCGTTATGCTTTTGCATCGGGCTTGAAACTCTTTCGAGAAATTCTGCCTGAGCCAGTGGAGGTTTGATGGAACTATGAATGGTAGAGGCCAACCACTGCGGCATTGACGGAGGCTCTCCTTTAACCATCGCAGGTGGTACTGTGCGGCAGGACCCCACCGCCGGAACCTGGGGAACGGGCAATGCAGACAACACTTGAAAACGGTCTGCGGAGTGCAGAAAACGTGCATCATATACTACGCAAGCGCACCAGGGTACTCACGATTACCATTAAGACGCATTCCACGGCGAAAATGCGAAAAGGTTTGGTTACACGGAAGTAACCTCGGAGGAGTATTGATATTGATGTTTCTATGAGAAGGCCTTGGCGGGGAAGATTGATAACCACCTGGTCGAAGGTGTGAAGTATTCACTGGATAGTCGCGGCTGGTAAGCGGGGACGACATAGACATGAATGGCACGTTATATCGTGATCGCGGTATCAGATTCATGTCGGGGGTGGGTATATGCGCTACACTTTGTTGCAAGGGAGCTTCGTGACTCATTTGAATGTTGCCGTACTTGCTATCCGGGGTGTAAGATAGCATTTGAACGCCCAGATGAGGCTGGAGTCGGAGATCATGGAGGTCACTCTGGGGAGCGTTGGACGACAAGATAGCCGGCGTGTCCGAAGAACTGGTTCGGGACCCTCTGTCGAGAAAAGGTGCATTATCGTGCCGCAAATAATCCCCTGGTTCAGCGCTACTCATGCTCTGGATTTGTGAACAAACTTGGTCCTTCTGAGAGACCCGGGGTGTATTCGACTTGGCCTTTGTAACTTTGGGTGCCTTCAAAGGAGGAGGTGCACGAGGCGGCTTGCGCTCTGCCTGTATTTTGAAAGCATCCACGATTCGACCCTGTGGTGCCTGTGGTTGTGATTTCCGCCGTATGTCCTCTGAGATCGCCTGGCCGGGGGGTTCCTTATTCGGTGGACGACTAGCAGCATTAATACGTGCAATACTCCACGGGTTGGGCTTGTATTCCACAGTCTCGTGTCGTGAGGAGATATCGAGCTCTTGAATAAGTCTGGTGTCGTCGGAGGAAAGATTGACTTTAGAGTTAGTTTCGACCTCGGATTCAGGGTCGGAATCAGAATCAAATGCATCACGAGCTCGAGTACGGTGGTTGAACGACCACGGGTTGTGTTTGTGTGATGGGTTCATGCGAGCAATAATTGGAGGTCCATAAGTTATAATAGCGGAGCACTGGTAGTGGTCTGAGTGCAAGTACGAAATTCAATACAAAGTGTAGGCGGTTGTTTGGCAACACCCTCTGACCCAAATAACGTTTACTACCCGAAATGCCGCGCTATGCCCTGAACCACTGATCCAGTCAATCTACGCGCTCGAGCTGGTGACACAATGGTCTGCTCTCTTTTTCTTCCTTCCATTCCACTGACCGACCTCCATGTAGACAGTACAAGGCATAACAGCAACGACGAACACAAACATCACAGGTGCTACTCACAATTCTCCGCCCAGTATTATGCCACCAGAGCTCGAGCAGACGCTCGCTCTTCTATCATCACATCGTTCCGTCCTCGGATACCTGCTGCTCTCGCGTGGGGACCATGTTAGTATCATACGCCATTCAGGCGTTGTCTTCGAGGGAGAACAAGGGAAGAAGTATGCGAGCGTCATAGGCAAGATGGTTGAGAGCGTGCAGGCAGGCTTGGAGGAAGTGGGCGGGTCAGAAAATGATGGAGTGCGTGGCAACCATATTATATCTTTCGCTTTGCTTACATGTTGTTCTAGGACCAGATTCGCTTCATGAGAATACGGACCAAACGGCATGAAATCATGATTTCACCTGGTCGGTGAGGATCTGTGTTTGATGGACATATATACTAACTACGCATTGGCAGATGAAAGATATCTGCTCGCGGTATTACATGATCCCGCTTCGTGAATTTACCCTATCATATCTCTTACATCTTTGTGTTTATCTTATGACTGTATCGGTAGGATCTCTTGGTAATGCAGGCTTTTGAAACCGATATAATTATTCTCCACTCAGTGCACTGCTGTGATGGTGACAAAGTGCTACAGATCTTGGCTGACATCTATGTTGGCTGCGATCACCTAAAGGTGGCCACGGATGGCCTTGGGCTCATACCTATAAAGTTGTCGTTAGTCTCATCTCGAATAACCAAGCAAGAAGAATACGCACGGCTCCTCCAGGTACTTTATTTCCTCCGATGTGAGCTCAGTTTCCTCAGTGATACTATCCTGCAACCTCTGTACAGAGCTGATACCCACGATAGGGCTCGACACCTTTGATGCAACCCAGGCCAGCGCAATCTGACTCATCTTGCAATTCTTCTTCTTTGCAAGTTCTTCGACGCGGTTGATGATAGTTGCATCTGCACTGGACAACTTTTTCTCCCAAGTAGTACCCTTGACAGAATTGACACGCGTCGTCTCTGTGCCAACGGGACGGGCGAGCGCACCGGAAGCTAGAGGAGCCCAAGGGATGACACCGATACCGTTGTGTTTGCAATAAGCGAGCATCTCTCGTTCCTAAACGTAATGTCAAACTGGAGAGCAAACATTGTGACTTTTAGGAACACACCTCCTCGCGGTAGAGTAACGAGTACTCATCCTGCATGCTAACAAATGTTGTCCAACCATTGCGAGCGGCCACCTCATTCAACATGGCAAACTGCCAGCAGCGCATGGAACTAGCACCGATATAACGGACTTTACCGCTCTGGACGAGGTCGTGAAGTGCTTTCATAGTCTCCTCAGGGGTGACTGAAGGGTCGAAGCGGTGGATCTGCAAGAGATCGATGTATGGGGTCGAGAGACGAGCGAGAGACGCATCGACAGCGTTGAATATTGCAGCGCGAGACAGGCCAGATTGGTTGACATACTCAGGCAGCTTTTGAAGATTGGGCATGAAGAACGTCGGGAGTGAAAGATCATCATTTGCGACAAGGGCATAGCACTTGGTGGCGATTACGATCTGGGGTCGAGGAATGTTGTACTATGGAGTTCATACATCAAGATATGATCGATGAATGTAAATTTAGGACATCGGTAAGGCACACCTTTTTGATGAACTTGGCGATGATGCGTTCTGACTCGCCGTTTGAGTACATATTGGCGGTGTCGATAGTGTTGACACCAAGGTCCCAAGCAGCCTTCATTATCTCGATAGAGGGCTCCTCCCCAAGGACCCAGGGCTATAAGAACCTCTTAGGATGCTAATGAGCGAATCAGGAAACAATCACGCACAGCCCATTTCGGGGTACCGAAGCTCATCGCACCAATCTATGAAGAATAAATATTAATGAATGGTGAGTGCTGCACGCTAGCAACAAATGCTTTATGACTCACAATTGGCACAGAGACTTTGAGACCAGACTTTCCAAGGGAGCGATACTGAACTTTAGACATTGCGTTGATGATGAAGATGGGTTTGCTGGCATCTGCTACTAGTAAAACCCCTGTATTTAAACGAATTCTTCCCCGATTCCCACGTTAATCAGGGCGGTCGAACTACACTACTTGGTGTGTGACCTTTTGCTCTGGACAGCTGGATGCCCATTGCTTTGGAAAACCTCCCATTGTTTCCTACCTCACATTTGGGTTTTAAATCGTATTTGGTGACTTGTCCGCCGGTCCGGCCCGGTCGTCGCGTGATCTTCGCAGTTTCGCAAAAATCGAATTCTGATCTCACCTCGCCAGCTTGCGTTCGATGTGAACATTCTTGTTTTTACTCATCGACGCAGCGGATATCTATCATCTGCGCATTAGCAAACGCTGGCACAAGCCACAACCAAAATTCCCACCCTGGCGAAAGATCTGTCCTTCGTGCCAGTATTAAGCATAATGCACCTTAGAACATTTCACCTGTGCCGTTCACCTCAAGTTTTGTCTGACGAACCTAGCCCCGTGCCACTACCTTCGTTAGATTCACAAGTCAGTTGTTAACTCTCAGCGTACTATCTCTCCTACTCATTGGCAGTTCTACGCCTAGTATCATACCGGCAGAGCTCGAGCAGACGCTCGTCCTTCTATCATCACATTGTTCCGTCCCCGGATACCTGCTGCTCTCGTGCTGAGACCATGTTAGTATCATACGTCATTCAGGCGTCGTCTTCGAGGGAGAACAAGGGAAGAAGTACGCGAGCGTCATGGGCAAGATGGTTGAAAGCGTGCAGGCAGGTTTGGAGGAAGTGAGTGGGTCAGAAAATGATGGAGTGCATAGTAACTATATTATATATTTTGCTTTTCTGGCATGTTCTGGGACAAGATTCGCTTCGGACCAAACGTCATGAAATCATGATTTTACCTCGTCAGTGAGGATCTGCATTTGATGGACATCTATACTACTAACTACGCATTGGCAGATGAAAGATATCTACTCACGGTGTTGTATCGGTAGGATCTCTTGGTAATGCAGGCTTTTGAAACCGATATAATTATTCTCCACTCAGTGCATTGCGGTGATGGTAGTAATACAAAGTGCTAGCTGACATCTAGGTTGCGATTACCTAAAGGTGACCACGGGTGGCCTTGGGCTCATACCTATACAGTTGTCGTCAGTCTCATCTCGAATAACCAAGCAAGCAGAATACGCACGGCTCCTCCAGGTACTTTATTTCTTCCGGCGTGAGCTCAATTTCCTCAATGATACTCTCCTGTAATCTCTGTACAGAGCTGATACCCACGATAGGACTCGATACCTTTGATGCAACCCAGGCCAGCGCAATCTGACTCATCTTGCAGTTCTTCTTCTTCGCAAGTTCTTCGACGCGGTTGATGATAGTCACATCTGTACTGCTCAACTTTTTCTCCCGAGTAGTTCCCTTGGTAGAATTAAGACGCGTCGTATCTGTACCAACGGGACGGGCGAGCACACCAGAAGCTAGAGGAGCCCAAGGGATGACACCGATACCGTTGTGTTTGCAATAAGCAAGCATCTCTCGTTCCTAAACGTAATATAAAACTGGTGAGCAAACGTTGTGACTTATAAGAACACACCTCCTCGCGGTAGAGTAGCGAGTACTCATCCTGCATGCTGACGAACGTTGTCCAGCCATTGCGAGCGGCCACCTCATTCAACATGGCAAACTGCCAGCAGCGCATGGAACTAGCACCGATATAACGGACTTTACCGCTCTGGACGAGGTCGTGAAGTGCTTTCATAGTCTCCTCAGGGGTGACTGAAGGGTCGAAGCGATGGATCTGCAAGAGATCGATGTATGAGGTCTCGAGACGAGCAAGGGACGCGTCGACAGCGTTGAATATTGCAGCGCGAGACAGGCCAGATTGGTTAACGTACTCGGGTAGCTTTTTGAGACTGGGTATGAGGTGCCTTTGGTGGGTGGCAAGATCATTGACGACGAGACCATTACACTTGGTGGCGATTATGATCTGAGGGCGAGGAATTTTGTACTATGGAGTTCATACATCAAGATATGATCGATGAATGACATCGTAAGCCACACCTTTTTGATGAACTTGGCGATGAGGCGCTCTGACTCGCCGTTCGAGTAAATATTGGCAGTGTCAATAGTGTTGACACCAAGGTCCCAAGCAGCCTTCATTATTTCGATAGAGGGTTCCTCGTCAAGGACCCAGGGCTGCAAGAGGTTGAGGATGTATTGAACGAATCACTGGCAGGAAACAACCACGTACAGCCCATTTCGGGGTACCGAAGCTCATCGCACCAATCTATGAAGAATGAATATTAATGAATGGTGAGTGCTGCGCGCTAGAAACAATGTTTTGTAACTCACAATTGGCACAGAGACTTTGAGACCAGACTTTCCAAGGGAACGATACTGAACTTTAGACATTGCGTTGATGATGAAGATGGGTTTGCTGGCATCTGGTACCAGCAAAACCCCTGTATTTACAAACGAATTCTTTCCCGACTCCCACGTTCATCAGAGCGGTTGAACTAAGGTGGGACCTTTTGCTCTGGATGCCCGTTGCTTGCTTCGGAAAACCTCCCAGATTGTTTCCTACCTCACTTGGGTTTTAGGTTGTGTTTTGTCCGCCGGTCCGGCCTGGTCGTCGCGTGATCTTCGCACCATTCCCGAATTCGAAATTCTGATCTCACTTCGCCAGCTTCAAGTTGTGTGGCCTGTCTTTCGTGCTGGGATTAAGCATAATGCACCTTAGAACATTTCACCCATGCCGCTCACTTCAAGTCTTGTCTGACAAACCTAGCCCCGTGCCACGATCTTTGTTAGATTCACAACTTAATTGCTAATATACTCTCAGCGTACTTTCTCTCCTACTAGTACTCATTGGAAATTCTACGCCTAGTATCATGTTGCTAGAGCTCGAGCAGACGCTCGCTCTTCTACCGTCACATTGTTCCATCATCGGATACCTGCTGCTTTCGCGTGGAGACAATGTCAGTATCATACGCCATTCAGGGGTTGTCTTCGGGGGAGGACAAGGGAGGAAGTATCGACCGTCATAGGCAAGATAGTTGAGAGCGCGCACGCAGGTTTGGAGGAAGTGAGTGGGTCAGAAAACGATGGAGTGCGTAGCAACTATATTATATCTCTCGCTTTGCTTACATGTTGTTCTGCAACCAGAATCACTTCGGATCAAACGTTATGAAATCATGATCTCACCCAGCGAATCTGCGTTTGATGCACATCTATACTAACCACGCATTGGCAGATTTATCTTAGTAATCCAGCCTTTTGAAACCAATATAATCATTCTCCACTGAGTGCATTGCGGTGATGGTGGTAATACAGTGCTACAAAATTTTTCTGACATCTAGGTTGGCCGCGATCACCTAAAGGTGACCACGGATGGCCACGGGCTCATACCTATGAAGGTGTCGTCAGTCTCATGTCGAATAACCAAACAAGTAGAATGAATACGCACGGCTCCTCCAGGTACTTTATCTCCTCCGCGGTGAGCTCAATTTCCTCGATGATACTCTCCTGCAACCTCTGCACAGAGCTGATACCCACGATAGGGCTCGATACCTTTGATGCAACCCAGGCCAGCGCAATCTGACTCATCTTGCAATTCTTTTTCTTCGCAAGCTCTTCGACGCGGTTGATGATAGTCACGTCTGCACTGCTGAATTTTTTCTCCCAAGCAGTTCCCTTGACAGAATTGACACGCGTCGTCTCTGTGCCAACGGGACGGGCGAGTACACCAGAAGCTAGAGGAGCCCAGGGGATGACACCGATACCGTTGTGTTTGCAATAAGCGAGCATCTCTCGTTCCTAAACGTAATGTCAAACTGGTGAGCAAACAATGTGATTTTTAGGAACACACCTCCTCGCGGTAGAGTAGCGAGTACTCATCCTGCATACTGACGAACGTTGTCCAGCCATTGCGAGCGGCCACGTCATTCAACATTGCAAACTGCCAGCAGCGCATGGAACTAGCACCGATATAACGGACTTTACCGCTCTGGACGAGGTCGTGAAGTGCTTTCATGGTTTCCTCAGGGGTGACTGAAGGGTCGAAGCGGTGGATCTGCAAGAGATCGATGTATGGGGTCTCGAGACGAGCGAAGAGACGCGTCGACAGCGTTGAAGATTGCAGCTCGAGACAGGCCAGATTGATTAACGTACTCGGGCCGCTTATTGAGATCGGGCATGAAGAATGCTTGGATGGAAGGATCATTGGCGACGAGACCATGGCACTTGGTGGCGATTATGATCTGGGGGCGAGGAATGTTGTACTATAGAGTTCATACGATACCATCAATAAATGTAAATTTAGGACATCGAAAGCCACACCTTTTTGATGAACTTGGCGATGAGGCGCTTCTGACTCGCCGTTTGAGTAAATGTTGGCGGTGTCGATAGTGTTGACACCAAGGTCCCAAGCAGCCTTCATGATTTCGACAGAGGGCTCCTCGTCGAGCACCCAGGACTGTAAGACGTTGAGGATGTGGTACACCGTGAACAGAACGGAAAACAATCACGTACACCCCATTTCGACGATCCGAAGCTCATCGCACCAAGCTATGAAGAATGAATGGTGAGTGCTATGCGCAAGCAACAATTTCCAACTTACGATTGGCACGGAGACTTTGAGACCAGACTTGCCGAGGGTGCGGTATTGAACTTTAGACATTGTGTTGATGAAGAAGATAAGCAGTTGATGATCTAACACCCCTGTATTTAAACGAGGCGCTAATACTTCCGGTTAACGTAGTACATAGGTTGCATGACTCAGCTTTGTAAGTAAGACGGTGCTTACGAGTGCCCGATGATATGGGTATCCAATACACTCTGATAGCTCAATTATGTCAATTACAGTAGCACTAGTACTGATCAACGAGTCATGATAGCACCGCGACATTAATGGCAACTCCCGCTAGAGACAGCCTGAGAGCCCAGCATGTTCTCCGCACGTGACTAGCCACTCCCATATGCATGAACCTCCAACTTCAGGTGAGAACCTACAAGATGAATATTGCTGGCATCGAGGGCCGAAATACGGAGTTGTCCAATGCAGGTTCAATAGCTGCAATTAATGGGTTTTTGTCTTAGTTCTTCTATCACCGCAGGTACCAGTGATTCCGTTTGCGATAGTTTTATTTCGAATATGTTGGTTTGCTGATGGCAGCTCCCCAGATTGGTCCCGCAGCAACATGTGTATCAAGGCTCACAGGAACACAAAGGATTGTTTTTAACATCTAAACCTTGTATCCGCTCGGATGTTCAGCGATACTAACTGGTGTGAAACCGCAGCTCAGGGTTGTAGCCGCCCAAATTTAGCATACCCCTAAAGCGTGGAAAATTCCTACGGGAGGGGGCCTCATTTCCCGAGCAAGTACTTCTTGATTCAATTTGGATGACATGATGAAAGATCATCATCAGCTGGTTGATGTAGATTGGAATGAAGTACTTGGTGTGGCGATACGACCCACAACTGGCTTGACAACGAGGGCAGCAGCCAGCACAACATGCATTACCTAATAATTAATATACAATAGCACACCGACACCACACAACGTGGCCGTCACCGACTTGTCTTTCAATTGTTCAAAAGTTCGTTCGTTCACATCCTCCCGGAGAGCTCATCTGGCCGCAATATTTCTTCCAAAGATTGAAATTTACTGGATCCATATATTAATTCTTGTTTTATCTTTTGCTTCTCACCTAATGTGAGTAACTTTTTGTATTGACCTGTTTACCAGCGTTCAATTCCTTGCTTGACGACACTTTGCACGTCCTGCACGACTCAGTTTACCCAGAATTTGTGTATACCTCTAAACCTCGCCCGTGCGCAATCGCTTTCATAGTCATCGCTGTTTCTCACTTCGACCGCGATGACTCAATTTGGCGATTTCCAAACACTTTGCTCCCAGGTCCCGTCATACACCTGGTGTAATCTCTTTTATCGCCAGGTCTGTATTATTTCATATCTCATAAACATTCGCTCACCTCATCCCCTCGTTAGTTACAACACAATGATCCATCCGTTTTGGCTGGTCTATCTCAAAACACTGCCTCCGCCCCGGTTGGTGTTAATCCAGAGTGTGGGATACCAAAAGTAAATACCGACGGCTCTCTGGGCAACATCGCCAATATCATTGCTTGCGGTCTCAGTTTCTTCGTTGTCTGTGCTTTGATATACTTCACTGGAAGGCGCAAAGCAGCAGTCGGTCAGTCTTCTTACTTCCCCCAAACCGACTTTTTCCGTCTTCAACCATATCCTTCCCTACACCCTTCCCGTTCTCGTCAACTAATCCTCTTATATCACAGGCCGTGTAGAACTGCGGATATTCTTCATCCTGTACCTCTTAACTCTTCCCTTCCAGTTAATCACGACTGGCTCCTTCATTACCCAGGGCTCAACTGCCTTGGTTGTGCTTACTGCCCTCCAGGCTGGTCTTGTTGCTACATTATTCTGGACGTTGCTGGCCAATGCCATTGTAGCAACGCAAATCGTGGAAGATGGCACCCTGAGCTCAATAGTAGTGCGTCCTTACTCCATTCTCCAACGTACAGCCAGCTCACCCCCAGCCAGCCCCTCGGCATATTATCTCTCGCATTCTTCGCTGCTACAACTTATATATCCTTGGACGTCGGATTCACTATCACACATGCACTTGGAACATCAAATCCACCCCAATCTATCAACAGTATACCACTTTTTGTCCTCACTAGTATCTGGCCAGGAGTGTAAGTCGCGCGACTTCAATGCTACTTATTTATGCTTACTCTTTCGGGTCATCGTTTTAGCGCTGCTTTAGTCTATTTCGGAATCATGCTGTACATTGTCCTCGGCATTCTGAACGAAATCCGACCGGTGTGGTACTATGTCATCGCAGCCATTCTCTTCGTGCTTAGCCAGCTCGACTACTTCTTACTCAGCAAAATTATATGTCGAGTACGTAATGAATCAAGGATAATACGTTGAACTCCACTGATCGGTCGCTACCTGCAGGGCTCATCAATGAAAGTTGACGGCTCGTTCATCGCCACAATACTAGAGACTGCATGCGTAGTCACTCTCTACTTTGCATGGCGAGGAATCACAGAAGGTAACGTCATCTGTCCTCTATTTCAACACTGCTCATCCACGTTACAGAGGACTGGGATAACGATCTCTACTACCAATCATGATATACACGAGTGCACTAATGTTGTTGTGTTTGTGATTTTCCCTCTTTATACACGCGATACATGTTACTCTTCAGTTTACACGCCTCTCCTTGCGTCCTGCCTATGTATGGTCACCTATTTCTACGCGGAGTTAGCGCTGGGCTAGTCGTGAGGCGCTTTGGGGGCAAGTTCTGGTTAAAAGAGGCATTCCAGTGCCTCGTTGGTGCTTGGACTTGTATTTCAGTGGGGTGGATACCCGAATATTGTTGTGCTGTAATATCACCATGATATATAACATTGATGATAAGGCTGTTGTTTACGGTATCATACATATCTAAACGCGGTGAGTTGAAACCTGTGCGAGACGCCGTATCTCAATAGTACGAATGCAAAGCGCCTGTGAGGCGTAAAATATGCGCGATCCAATTTAATAAGGAACGTTTACAGCGAGCGTGTAGCAACTGCTCGGCAGCGCGATACTTAAAAAAGGAAGTGCAATACTTAAAAGGAGGGGGAACCACAAATAGTGTATACAATACATCGAACTCAGGCCAGAGAAGCGCCAAGAAGGACACGGAAGACCCTCACGTCTCCTCGACGACTCGTTGGGTGATAAACGGAGTTATTTCAATGGAAACCCAGCTGTCGTCAGTCGGCTCTCTTGCCAAGCGACAAGATTTCTTGGACTTGAGGCTACGTGAAGGCGATGACAGGGTGGAGGTAGGGCTAGCAGAAATCGGGCTTGTCGAACTTGAACTGCTGCTATACGATATTGGAGAAACTGGAGTTGAACCGTTGCTAGGGCGACGTTTTTTCAAGCGTCGTCGGGGACTACTTGGGGGAGTGGTGAGGTTAAAAGTCGGCTGGTACTTGTCCGCTATCCAGAGCGGGTGCGGTATACGACTCTCAGAAGCTTTTTGTTCCGCACGCGGGACATCGACATAGGCAGAAGTCGATGTAGTCGTAACGGACCAGTGTGATTTCTGCATCAGCAGTGAGATGTGGGAAGCAGCGTGGCACGACGACAAACGTACCAATTCTTTTTGTTTTGTAATGACTGGTGTGTTTTCGAAGAAACCCTCATCTGACACATGATCTGACTCCGATGAGGTGTCAGCCTGCGCCTTGTACGAGAGTTCTGTATCGAGCTTATCAAAAGATGGGTACCGGCGTGTCGGCCGCACGATAGGGTCTCGCGAGTATACGTCTAGTCCGTCCAGCGTCGAGGATGCCACCGTATTGGAGTGTTTATGTTGCTTGTAAAACTTCGGATTCCGTGGGATACGATGGAGGAAGGCTTTGAACGAGTCTTGCAATGTTCCAATGCTAGCTGCGATATTCTCTTCCGATGTATACCCGTCGTGATCAGCAGTGACGGCTTGAGAAAAACCATCGTCCGAAGCGTCAGGAGGAGTAATAGCTCCTGAGGAACTCTCGTATTCGTCGCTTGAGTCAAGTAGGCGTGTTCCGGAAAATACCACCATCCCATCCTCAGGGTCCCATACCGCTGCGAAGGTCAATGCTGACTTTGGTGATTCGACAGGGGACCATCGGCTGCCACTGTCCGAAGAGGTACTGGCGCTACCGAAGTCGAGCGAGATGGATAACTGCGGTATAAACGACGGAGAAGGTCAGACCGACTGTAGGCGGACTTAAAGGGGTTACTCGATCCTACCTTGTTTGGAACACTTGAGCTGGGACTGCTTTGCATGGAACTGCTGTCCATCTAGACTGCTAGTGAAATTTCTATGGCAGTGTTAAAGAGTGAGCTAGAACGAAAGGGGTTGTCGCAATAAAGTGTAGTCTACAGCGTGTGGTAGAAAGAGAGTCAGTCGGTCGCCATGCTTTCAGGCACGACATGGACGCACCTAAGGTCGGTGGCTAAATTGCTGTATGCCTGCACACGCGTGGTTACGATGACCGAGAGGAAGGAATGTAAGTGAGGGCGGAGGTAAGGAATGCATACTTTATAGATGATCGACTGAAAGTAATCTTGACGCCCTCTTTACCCCGTGCATCAATAGAAGACTTGCACACTTGGTTACTTCCCTCATCCTGTGAGAATATTAAAACGTGCAAGTGATTCGTCGAGGCCCCTTCCACATCCGAAGATTGACCCCATTTTTGGTTCCACGTAAACGAAGGTTGTTTCACTTTCCATAGAAGGGCACCTGCCCTTTCTTGTAATCACAGTTCGGGTCATTGTGTCAGTCTCTAGAGGGATTGACTTGGCTAACCCTTCCGAGTTAGTCTCCCTCAGGCAAACCATATCAAAGAAAGATAGTATTCGCAGACCTCCGATTACCCACAACGATCCATCCCTGAATCCTTTGCGACCATATCCGAACTCAAGAAGGGTAGTAAAGGTCAAATGGCGCGGGTGAAAAGCGAATCAATGTCCGTACCGGCAGTCCGCGCACCAGACGCGTGTAAATCATATGAGCACCCGGAAGCGTCACAGTGACTCGCAGAGTGCCCTGCAATTCGCGGACATTGGAGGGCGTGCTTTTGTCGGATGGAATGGGTAGAATCCGGGCTTCTTTGCTATGATCGGCGACTACAAGTGCATCCTCCCACAGGAAAATTTTCTGCATATCAATACATTAGCAGGTGCGAGGTTACATGCTGCCGGGAACGTGGTATTTAAAGATAGTATAAGCTTCGGATCACCGCGCTGCATACGAAAATTTTCAGTCGCCTAGTAGGGATCGGGCCGCTGACAAGACATGAGGCAGAAGGTCGCCGGGACCGATGGGAGGATCGCAGTGATGAAACGTGACTAGAGACGTTACGGTTCCTCCAATGAAACCGGGATTACGCGCCTCAAAGAATGTGTTTGAGGGAGACTTGCGCAGCGGGTGCACATTTCACGGTCACGGTGCGGTTACTACTGGTCGAACCAGGTCGAACCGTGAGTCAGTGGCGAAGCTTAAGCGAGTCATGAATAGTCTGAAGTCATGGGCCCTTAGGCTTGAGAAAAAGAGAGTAGAACGTACATGATCAAGTGAGAGCGGAACATGAAAAGGCACAGGCGATTTCTAAATTCTATAACTAAACGATCGACCGAAAATCCGAGTTCCCCTCCGCTCTCATGATCGTTAATCTGGGGAACCAGCGAGCTTTTTTCTGGACAACGTCAATTATAGGCCACTGACATGACATGGGGTGGGAGCTTGAGTCAAGGAGACTGCTTTAAGCAATCTATGATTCGCACTTGGTATTCGAAATACAGTCAAGACGTGAGCTCGAAAATTGTACAATGGGTAAGCGGACATCCAGGACAACCCTTGTTTTGATTCCTGTAAGATGATAGGCATATTATAGTAATGAGTGTGAGACAGCGATAAAGGGTCGCGTATGGTGATAGTAGTCGAGGACGTTGCATACATGACAATTACCTCAGTATTAACTCCCTTCAAACTAGATACTAACTGAACGCAATAATAATCACTGGACACGTCCCTCGTCCATGTGAGCCAGATCCTGCTGAGCGCTCAACAATACTTCCTAGGAATTCCATCAGTCAACCTCGCGCGTTGCTACAATATCACTTACCGTCACAAGCGCTTGTCGCGCCTCGTCCTTAATCTCCTTCCACCTTCCCTCATAGGTAGACAGTAGTTGCTCATACTCATGTTTCCGAGCCAATGATCCAGTCCTAATGAGAGATTGCAGAACAAAGATGCCTGCAACCCACTCCACTTCGTCTGTCTCCCAAACCGCATCGCGCGCCATCAGCTCCGACAGTGATTCGGCCGTGCCGGCGTAGTCGCCACGGAAACTCAACAAGCCAAGTTCTAGCGCTGCGCCATGAATTTGTGCCCATTGGATGTAATCTTTGCGCTTTTGGCGGTCTGCGGCAATGCGCTCCATTTCATCGCTCATCGTGGTCCCGCTTGCCGGAGCAAGGACTGGGTACCATATAGACGATTTACGAATGGCCATCTGCAGTGCGCGGGGGCCGGCAACTGGACCAGAGACACCTGCATGCACGAGCGTGGCCGGGAAATATCCGCATGCTTCGGTGAAACGACGGAGGATAGTCACGATCGTATCGTGATTTGAAGCAGTCCGTGAGGCTGTTGGGGCGTTGAGAGATGAAGTGACGGCCGCAAAAAGAGCGTCGATTATGGGATTTAATGGAGTCGGCGAGGGGTGTGAAAGGACATAACTCTGAATGAGCGATGAGAGCGTCGGAACATCTATTCCTCGTGTAAAGAACGCGTCTCTCAAAGCGTTGGGGCTAGCATTCAGAGCAAGTGTGGCCGCAGAAGGCACCGTTACGTTAGTCTGGAAACTGAACTGTATATGACCAGTAGGCTGAGGTGGAGGTACATGTTGAGATTGCTGCTGTTGTTGTGATGACGAGCTGGCACTTTGGGCCGCTATGTCGCTTTGGGCGGCGTACGACACAGTAGTTGGAGTCTCAAGATTCGGGCTCCATGTTAAGCTATTGTGACCAGGAGACCCAGAGACTATAATGGAGATCTAAGGATCAGGAGAGTGGTACTGATTTGAGATCCAAACCTTTCTCAGCTGGCTTCTTGGATCTCGTTCTTCCCTCGAGCTTTCGTCTTGCTCGGCCCACGGTATTCTTGTACCAATTGTATATTTGCTAGGGTCAATACCTCCATCAATACATTTTCGCTTCCTCAATTAAGCATCGGCGGTAGCAGCCCTCACCTCCCGAAACCTTGGTTCTGCCTCGTCGATGCCCTGGAGGTCCTCTGGCATGCCGAAACGGACAAGAAACTCATTGGCGCGGTCCAACGCGAACTTCTTGGCGTCGCCTCTCACATGTCCGCGAGTGCGTGTCTCGAAGCCGCTTATGTGACTTCGCAGAAAGATGAGCTGTTCGTCGGTATAAGCCTTGGGCAACCTGGGTTTGCTCACCCTGGGATCGCTGGCCATGGTATCGTGAGGCTGACACAAGGTTCGCTCTCGTTTCTCATCCTTCTTCGGCAATACCCGAGGGATCGTTCCCGATGGGCCTAAATTTATCACCGTGCGGAGCTAGAGCGGACTCTTTAATCATTTGTGGTTTCGGATCACCTTAGGTTCAAGGTCAAGGTCAAAGGAGTGCCATATAGTCATGCAATGGTTCTATGTAGGTAAGTAAGTAGCATTAGTCGAGACGTAATATATATGTAGCATCGTCCAGTGAGGTATGCAGTTTAACTTTTGGAGAGCGTGGGTTTGCGGCAAATTGCGAGGTACATGGGCGTGAAGAGCTTCAAAAGGATCATCATGTGAGCCCCTCGTTTAGATCTACAGAAAGGTGCTCCAACTTACCTTTGTCTGGCCACCTTTCACAAGCGCATTAGCAGCAACCTTGAGGGATTCGCCAACATCATAAGTGCCTTTGGGCAAAAGATTAAGCATCTCCATGAATTTGATTGCGGTGTGTGAAACGAGCATGCCGCTCCAGCTCATTCGCCAGACGGTAAAGTAATCCCAGGCAGTCTGGGCCTTCGAGATATCGCCTTCAAGTGGGTAATACCATGGAACTTCGTCAGGGCGTTCAGCCAGATCCTCTTCATGTTCAATCGTGAAGCCGACGTTGACCATGGCTTCGCGGGCTTTCTTCAAGTGACGCATCTCTGGGATACCATTGCCAAACTCAATAGCATGCGCAAGTTCCTTATGTGCAGGAATTGATGGATCCCAAGTGTCAGTCATGCACCACTCATAGACGCCGAACTGTAAACCAATGCTCAATATATTGAACTTTGAAGGAAACGACTGACATACCACTCCTCCAGGCTTCAGAACCTTCATTATTTCCCCGTACACTCCTTTCCCACGTAGGTGCATGGACAGTGGCTTCAATGGCGTACACTGATCTCGATGTCTTTGAGTTCAATAATCTCTCACGAGACTGCGAAAGCACCCACCAGCATCGAATGAGTTCTCGCCAAACTGTTCCGACAGCTTCATAAAATCACCCTTGGCGAAACTTACTTGATCCTCAAGACCAGCCCTCTTAGTGTACTTCCGAGCACGCTGAATCTGAAAATCGTTGTTGTTCAAGCCAACGATGTTGACGTCGGAAAACCGAGCTATCTCGCGTGCGGGACCACCGACACCGCATCCAACATCCAGTACGCGCATACCGGGGCGAAGCGACATTTGGGCTGCGAGGTAGTGCTCATGACGGGCCAAGGATGCTGCGAAAGCCTCTCCTTTGTAGAATCGCGAGAAGTGGAAGGACTGTGCCCAGCCATACTCATACAGCTCCGTCGCCCCGTCGTAGTAACCTGTGTCTTCTGTCACTAAAGAACCGGTCGAAGAAGTCATGAGGTAATACCATTTACAACGTCGGTGTAGCTCTCAACACGGTTTTGATTGTCCACCTCACCCTCCTTGCCAAGATCCTTTTGCCAGAACTTGGTATAGTTCTCGACGCGTTTTTCTTGACGTCCGTCAGCATACTGAGTGGAAGCCATGCTGTCTGCAGGATAACATAGCATAAGCAACAAATTCAGCCTCCACAACAATAAGAGGAGAGATACTGGAGTAAAACTCACTGGGCTAGACTGTAATGTAGGATAAAATTATGAGGAAACGGAACCAACCTTGCAGGGTTTGCGATTTGATCAATCTCCCCTAGGTAGACTTTTAATTTATAGACGAAGAAAGGTAGCCGTTCCTTGATGTGATCCACTGACAAAATTATGAACCCGACGGAAAGAAATCAGGTCATTTTGTGCGGACCTGAATCACGTGGACCGGCTCTGGCTAAGTATCTTGCGTATATATAAGCGTAAATCAATAGATTGATAAAATGATATTCACTTTCAAAATCAACTAAAGGTTAGTTTCTCCTAGTCAGACTATTAGGAGGAAGACAGACATTCCTTCTAATTGAACGTAGTCAACGCTCACATCTGTGCCAGATGTGGGAAATCTCAACTGTCAGGGTGAGTCGCCTCCAAATTGCAACAATTCTCGGACATTGAAGGCCATGCCCTTGTCGCATCGGCTTGGGTGCTTCTCGACCATCACAGGGGACTGCATGTAGTATGCGTAACCATCAGGTTACTGTAGTATGAAGGAGAACGTAGCGTTTGAAGTTGAGTTGTAGACTAAAACGTTTCGGATCACCTTTTTGTATGGCTTCGAGTGTTTAGAATCGTCAGGTGAACCGACGAGACTCGGAGTATCGCAAGGAAGTTATTGTGTGCCCTAGAAGGCGCTGTCAAAGACAAGGAGGCGAAAGATTCTGCAATGAGAAGTTGAAGATAGTATAACTCTGTGAGAACATTCTGCTCTGGTACCGGATCTTGTCGTCCGAGCGGATGACGTTCCATTTTATGAATATGGAACTTCATCATCTACAATGTTGAATATTATGATCGGTCAAGGGGAAGTGGCGATGCTGTTGGGAAGCTCACTGCCGCAGCTCTAAACCAAATATTAAGCGCAAGAGTCTATGGCCTATGTGTATCACAGATACCCGTTTCCTGAGAACAAATCATAAAGAGTCAGCTAAAGACGGTGAAGCGGCAGCATTTCTGTAATAAAAGAATTGCACATTCTGATTGCGTGCAGCATCGTATGGTGAGGTTGTAGCTGCGTCACTCAGGCTCGAGGGACTCTGGAGATTCAACACTGCAGCATTTACTAGTAGAGCAGTTCGGTCTTTGGAGCTAAAGACTAAAAAGTAGTTTGAGGAACATGAAACGGAGTATTTCCGAACGGGGGAACGTGACACAGCTTTCAAGGTCAAACCGTCACTGCTCTGACGGACATCCTTTAAACCACGTCATCTCTCCATTCTACACCTTAATACTAGCTAGCTAGGAACCGCATATCTTTCAGACTGAACGTGGTATGCGATGAGCTCGGCAGGTGGACTTTCTCGCAGGCGGGTGGCTGGAGCTTCGTCGTCCTCAGCCTCGGATGACACCCCAAGTCCTAGCTGGACGCCAAATGGTCCCAACTCTAATGGGACAGGTCTAACGCACGCAGGCTCAGCTTTTGAAGGCGGAAGCAAAGTTGCCTGTGATCCTCGCGACCTCGATCAAGTCCAGGAGGACAGTCGCTATGGTGGAAGAATGCCTCGGCTGACAATCATGGAAGAAGTGCTCCTCCTTGGTCTCAAGGACAAACATGTATGTCTGGAACCTCTCTTATATACCTCACACCCTTCCTTTTCTGTGCGCTGTTCTTTTGTACCATCTGCCATTTCTCCCAGGCTACCCTGCCTCCGCAGTATGGCATGGTATATCACAATCGAAGGCGCCTCTCTGCATGAGCTGGATGATATTCATGCACATGTGTCCTCATTTGCCACGCCCTGACGTCAGCTCTTTGCAGGGCTACCTCTCCTTTTGGAACGACAGCATATCCTATGCACTTAGAGGGTGTATTCTCATCGAGCTCGCCCTTCGCCGCCGCATAGCTCTAGTCAAGGATTCAAATCAACGGCGGAGTCCGCTTGCAGACAGGCTGGTTGAGGTTATTGACGACAAACAGACTGGTGAAACTATCCTTGATGAAACGTTGAAGATGATGAAGGGGCAGGAGACGGACAGAATGTCAATAAATGGCTGGGTTGATCTTTTAAGTGGTGCGTCTATAATTTTATAAGCATTCTATGCTATTATTGCCGCATTGCCCATTGCGAAGCTGACTTTGTCTACAGGAGAGACGTGGAATGTCATGAAAATTGGATACCAACTTAAGCAAGTTCGCGAACGTCTAGCGAAAGGATTGGTGGATAAGGGTGTTCTGCGTACTGAGAAGCGTAATTTCTTGCTGTTCGATATGGCCACACACCCAGTCGCGGACGTACGAACGAAGGAAAGCATTGTCACACGAGCGGTATCGCTTCTCACTGCGACCACATCTACAGTGCCACCGAGCGCTTTGGACAAAGAAGGAACTCAATGCAGGGTCACACGTGCTGTTTGCTTAGTATGCGCAGCATATGCAGCGAGTGTATTGGACAATGCGTTTGGCAGATTGACATATGAAGACAGGGAAGCTGCGTTTCAGAGATGTGACGAGGTACTGGCGGAGTTTGCATGTTGGCCGTTCGGGTCTACCTCGGCGACAGGGACTGGGGGCGGGAGAAAGAGAGATGCCGTGAAGATTGGGATGGGAAATACTCCTAGCGGGCGAGAGAGTGTGCTGGGACTTGTGCAAGAGGTGAAGCGGGAGATGACTGGAGAGGAAGACCTTTCGTTTCAACTGATTGCAGGAGTTCTCGAAGTTCTCTCAAAATTAGATTCACTGTTGTGAGATGAATGCATAATTTTTTTTTATAGGCGCTTGTCCATATATACCAAGTAGCTACCGTGACTATGCAGCTGACCAGTAGTATTGATATTTATACCTTTTGGACCACATGTTTTGTTACTTGGCGTGATATACTTGGGTTTAAATTCTCAACGAGGAGGATTAGCCATGCTGACACATGCATGGGTTTCTTTGACAACACTCTCAGGAATGCGATCATTTTCGATCACATACGCTGTGCTTAATTGCTGTGCTCTTTCAGTTTTTCTTGAAAGGCCCTTTCACAACAAAAGTCTCTCACCAGAACTCCAATCCAATTCAACTTTAATCCCTGGGACCTATCTTATCACAATTTACAACAAGATTACTTAATGGGCTACACCATTATTTAGTTCAAATCATGTTTCAATGCCTCGGACTTGCACACACTTGATCGTTTTTCCCGCTACCAATTCACTTGGCCTGATTTTTGCCTAAAAGCTCATCACGACCCGTCCCTGATCAACTTTTACGAGAAGTTACTCCGTCACCCACAGATTTATTGGTCATAAAGCGAGGGTCGTTATCGCTCAAATCCTTCATTCTCACTTCTTCATACCCATAATCGTCCTCTAGCACCGGTCCTCCCGGCCATTGACTCAGATGGCTTTCAGTGTGGTCTTCCATCATGATGCCACAGATCCGTTAGCGGTTATCAGCGCACCACCCCCGGACGAATCTTCACACGAGCGAGCCGCGAGGGAAGAACGAGAGGCCGAGGCTCAAAGAATAAGTAATCTCATTGACGACGAAATTCGCGCTGAACGGGCGATACGAAAGAAAGAAGAGGGTATAGTCAAGATCCTACTCTTGGGTCAGAGCGAAAGTGGTGTGTATATTCAATTTCTAACCTTTCCCCTCCGTCTTAGCCTTTACAACAGGTAAATCAACAACCTTGAAGAGTAGGTTACGTTGCCTTCTAATTCCGTCATCATTGAATGAGCATCGCAGATTTCCGTATGCGATTCGCCCGAGATAGATGGATAGAGGAACGAGCGTCATGGCGAGCGGTTATACTGTTAAATCTCGTTCGGTCTGCAAACACCATCCTTGATGCGCTATCGCAGGAGATGGACGATCTTGACCCAGACGAACTCGATGACGCGTTCAGGTTCGACGATTACTATCGTCAATATAAAGTTCGCCTCAGTCCGCTCCAAGCAGTCGAGAGTAATCTGAAACGCTTACTCGGCGCCACGGAAGACATCCAACTACGAAAACGAAATTCTCCGACAACAATCGCACCTTGTGGCTCACCGGAATTCTTTGTTCGTTCGCGGACTTGGCGCAACTTTATTCAAACAACCCGAGATACCGAGTCCCCGCGACATTCCTGCCAGCAAGATCTTTCCACTTTACTCGACAGCACAGACGTGATCGCGAATGGCAAGGATGACATCAAGGCCCTATGGAGGGATAGTGATATACAAGCCATGCTATGGAGACGGAAGACCCGGCTCGAGGATTCTGCTGGCTTGTCAGCCTATTCATATTCCTTTCTTGCCTTATTTCTCTGAATCCATTTACCCGCAGCTTTTTAGACTCCATCGACCGATTATCGGTACGAGATTATGAGCCAACTGATGACGACGTCCTCCGGGCTCGATTGCGCACGCTTGACATCCAGGAACACGACCTGATAGTTGATGACAGTGAGTAAAGCGTGAGATTTTCCCCCTTTGTTCTGAATCCATTTTTCTAGAGACCGATACTCCGAAATGGAAGATTTTCGATGTTGGCGGCTCGCGCACACAAGTCCGTGTTTCGCCGATTTTCCAATTCATGCTCACCACCGATGATGTCTGCTAGCGTCACGCTTGGCTACCGTATTTTGATCAAGTCAATGCGGTCATATTCCTCGCACCAATCTCGTGTTTTGACGAGCGACTTCTTGAAGACCCTCGTGTCAACCGTTTGGAGGACTCCTTCATACTCTGGAAGGCGATATGCTCCTCCAAGCTTCTCTCACGGACGATCCTCATCCTTTTTCTAAACAAGATGGACATTCTCGAGGAGAAAATCAGAAACGGCGTAACGGTGAAGCGTTATCTCCCCAGCTATGGCGACCGGCCGAATGAGACGAATGATGTTGTCAAATGTATATATTTCTTGCTGTGTCGCGAACTTTCAGCGTGATTAAACGACTTGCCTCTAGACCTTCGACAAAAGTTCAAGGACACGGTGAGGTATTGCTCTCCGGAGCCGCGGGTATTTCATATATACCCGACATCCGTCATCGTTGGTTCTTCCCCTTGTTCCAGGCCGAAAGTCCTGTTAATCTTCATTTGCTTGATAGGATACGGACAGTATGTCTGTGACACTAATATCTGGTGCGTGCTTCTGTATTCTCCTGTGGTTTACGCAGCCTGTTGAAATGAAGGAACAATCTGACAGTGCGGGACGGGATCTTGCGCGAATACCTGAAGCGGGCGGATTTGTTCTAAGCAGCGGATCACGGAGCGATAGAAACATTTGTAATAACAGATCACATGCGAAACTTCGGCGAAACCTGATGAAGATACGACAGTTGACGATATAGATACGACAAGAGTAATGAGTGCACGAATACCCCCTTGCTTGCTGAATCATGACTTGTGAATACCATATCGTAATCTATAGGGTCCCAGGACATAATACAATCAGTAAACTTCTCACATGACCACACGCTCAACTTGTCTATCAAGCTACAACGGTTTCCATCCCTCGCCCGTTGGCCATTTGAGGTTGTCTGTTTCCTTCAGAAAGTCACGATGTATTCCAGAGTTCTTCATCCGCTCCAGGTCTTCCCCTGAGCTCGGCTCGTCGTCATTAGGAGAGTCCGTGTACGGATCACGATCAACATGAGCACCATCGTCGTCATCCTGATGGGTATCCGTCATCAGCCCCTGCTCGCCCTCTTCCATCCACCTCGCTGGAGCATGCGAATGGTGAACGAAACCCCCGCCGACTGATACCTGCCTCAGCTTTGTACCGTGCCGCATCCAGTTTTGGTTGGGCTTTGAGTTGAAGATTTGAGATAGTTTTCTGGATGTGGGACATTGGTGAGGTGTCGGTGGTGTCGCGGTCTCTCGTTAAGGAGATATGGCGAGAGAGGCCTTGGGATGAGGACGTTCGTGTGTGAGAGGGAAATGCGGATGCGGATGCGGGGAGCTCCGTTGTGCTTGACGCTGCAATGACCTGTATGCTCTCGGGACGCTTGCGCCGAGGAGGGGGAAGTGGGGGCGTTGCAGTGTGGCGCAGTGACTTGGACCGCGTAGGACGTATGAAGGAAGACGTGAAGGACTCTGTTGTGTCGTTTGTGGGTCTGCGATCAGGGTGAGTTGGCGGCGCGGGGAGATGGGACGAGACGTCCGGTGTCGTAATTAAGAGGGAGTTTCCGGGAAGGGTTGGTTCTCTGGTGGGAAGTGGTGGGCGGGAAAGGGTGGGCGTATGTGAGGACTGGGTGTTTAAGCTAGCACTCGCCACTTGGTCGATGGACGGCAGGGAACTCGATGTTGATGATGGAGAGCTGGGTGTTCGTCGACGGGGGAGCGGAGGTGCAGGGCACGTGTCTTCAGATCCCGACGAACGACTCTCGAGTCCTTTGCGGAACTGCTTCGTGGGACTTAAGCTGCGCGGCCTGCTGCTCGCTGACGAACCGGACGACGTCGTCTTGAGCACTTGTAGAACACGCTCACGATCCAGCTGTTCTTCAACACGCTTCAAGTTCTGAGCATGCTTGCTAGCCTCCAGTGACTGCTTCATCAAGGGAGTCATGATATGGCTACTGCGAGGAGCATCGAATGGTGCCAGACCAGGTGCGCCTCGGGACTGGGCTAATGATGTGCGACGTTGTTGGGAAACCAAGGGTGCTGGTTTTCGAGGAGGAAGGGGTGGTGTCTTGCCATCGTTACGCTTCTCGGGGGATTTCTGAGCAGGGTCTGTCCCATTGACTTTGTCGCGTACCAAGAACGGATTATGGCTGATCTTCTGTTGCAAACGGGAAGGTATGACGGGAGGGGTGTCAGATTGATCGGGAACGGATGATAATGGGTGTTGTGTTTCAGACTCGAGTGATTGGCGAAAGGGATTTGTGTCTGGAGAAGAAGAGTTTGAGGACGTGGCGTCTTGTTTGGGTCGGTCGGGATGGACTGGCGGAGCATTGAGTTGGAGTTTTGAGGGAGAAGTTGATCTTGATCTTGAGCGTTCGAGAACTTCGGGGTTTAGGTGGACTGGAGTGCATGAATTCTGGTCAGTGCTGACTGGAGGATAAGGTGTTACACACCTTGGACAAACGCGAGAGTTCTATCAACGCGTTTACCTGACGCGGCATGAAGGACAAGCCTGAATGCAGCAAAAAACTGGCCACCAGTGAGACAATCTGTGTGGAGCAAGTTTGGGTAGAAGAGTTTCAGGATCTGGGCGAGACGCATACGGTTAGGACATATAAAGAAGGCATAGAAATGGCCGAACCTTGTCAATATCCGTAGTTGGTAGATTAGGATATCTGCCTCGTAGCCATGCTCGGACTTCGCGGACGCCAACGGACATGGCTTCAAAGTGAGCATCATTGTGGACGGTGTTTGGGTCGGGTGAAACAGCGAGATCGTTGAGAGCTGAAGTAAATAAGTTGTATTCGAGATCATTGAGGGCAGATACATGAAGAACTAGTGGTCGCATTGCAAGCAGGAGGAACTTTGCATGAGTAAAGCGCGCGTAAGGCTAAGTAGTAAGCAACGCCATCTGCGCTAAAGACCACGCTAATGATGCACGTGTTTTGTGACCACTACCATCATGTCAACTGAGCGTGAAGATCTTCCGCCGCCATACAGCCCTACTACAGCACCGCCCATTTGGGAACCTCACTTTATAGATCTATCCCAACATTCATCTCTTGTTATTCGCAAGCCCTTGGATCCTCCACCCGCCTGCTTCTCCACTCCGTCGCCTCCAAGAGTGAAATCTAATGATTTCCCTCCATTCAGAATCCCCTGCGCTGGAAACAACCTCGCAGATGGTTTCCGCATTCTTTATCCCTCGGGTCTACTTGATAAACATGGCATTCAACAGGCAGACTGGACCCGCTTCCTGGAGGATCTTGGAATCTCTGCTCGTCTTGCGGGTCAGGGACTCAGCGCAGTGGGTTCTCGCGTTCCCATAACACCATTCCCCGTCCGTGGTATATTCGGCACAAGAGCAACTGGGACCGTATATGACTCTCAGTTCACGAGAAGCCCTAGGGACGAGGTGCAGACACTCATTACCGTTTGGAATCAGTCTGCGTTTGAACGACGCAAATTGCATGTCACCCTGCAAATCAAAGGAGGAGTGGATAACAGGGCCCCGTACGAGCTTCTTGTCGAGTCTCTCTGAAATGCTTATGATAATCTCTGCACATACCACCAGAAATTCTTTATATTCGAGATTCACATCAGGTGTAGCACACGTTTGTAAATCCATGTCCGTTCGTGTCGACAGCTAAACATCCTCGCATGATTTTATTTGATTCACGCTACTTTACGAATAAATTGTCTTTAGAACTCTGGCGATATGCAGCAGCGCTACTTGTGGTTGCTGAATCTACCAGTACGTTTGATACGCCGACTCACTCATCTGAGTTCAGTCAGTGAAAGCACAAGAGCGGTTGCACAACGTTAAGTCGTCCTTGTATGATTTGCTTCCAAGTTCGCGATGGTGAAAAGGTGGAGAGCTTCAGCCTACAATTAGCCTAGACCAGCACAGCGAAGAATCCGACAGTTCGAAAGTTCGGATGTGCGCATAGCCTGAGGACAGATACAAGTGCGAATTCGCTAAACATGTCTACCAGTCTACCGGCCACGACCTGAAAACAATGGCGAGTGAGCATCTGAAGAAGATATAGGAAACAGCTCAACCTATATTGGGCCAACAGTTCTTGTTTGTTGACAACAATGCACATGCATGTGCGAAGTAGCGTAACCCTTGCATATTTGGGAGAGTCAGAGTCAAGGGACTTGCTGGGATGGTGACGGATATAGATGAAGGTTAATGCGGGATGATGTCCGCCGAGTTCAAGTACGAGAAGTAGAACCTACTACAGGAACGCCGTCGCTCAGTGTCGATGGAAATCTCTCGCATCGACCATGCTCACCTTGAGAAGATTCTCATTTCCTTGGGAATCTCATCGACGTCGTGCCTGGGAACCTACAAGCGCGTCCATGCCCTAACATGCAATGGTCGAGTATAGTCAAGGACCGTTTCTGTATGGCCATTTGACCAGTCCGAATGAGTGTTCTGAGCTCGGGGCCCCGGGCTTCAAGCAAAATGGATCGGTGTACCGGGTAGGATACTGGGCTCACAGAATCTCGTCCGAGAGGAATTGGACCAAAATGACCACCGCAGGGGTCGAACCTGCAATCTCCTGATTCCTTCGTTATCGTAGTCAGACGCGATGCCATTTCGCCAGGCGGCCGTGCTGTTGTTATCGTTCCTGTTGGAAATGACACTCCGGTTTCTTAAAAGACCGCCGGTGTTGGCAAATTGTTCCAGCGAGGGCAAAGAAGACGCCCTGCTCAGGCAAAGACAACCTAAATGTCAGTCTAAAACTATAAAAGATAAACACTCAGTTTCAGGTATCACCCCTTGCGCAATAGTCAACCCGTTTGGTATGTTTTAGAAACCACGAGGACAGGTGGTGCACTGTGGTGAGTGATGACCCTACGACAACCCTATAAGTACACAGATTGTAAGTAGTCGGGACCGATGTAGGCAACCGATCGCTCCGGTATGTTCGGAAACTCAACGTTCAACCGCAATCAAACGCCTGTTACTTATCAATGACCACCCAGTGAATTTCTGTTCCGGGCGAGAAACAATTGTGAGAGGGCGACTTGGTTCAAATCCCGGTGGGAAAGTCAACTTGGGTTTTTGCGCTAGAATGAAGCCAGCGATTTGCGCCGGATCCCAAGGACTTCGTGTGATCTTTCTGGGAGCAGGGCTGTTTATGGGGGTGATGATCTGGTGCAGTTCATGCGTGGCGAAGAGGCGAATGACGACGGAGACGGAGATGGTGTGAGACGGAAAGGAGGTCAGTAATTTGGCCGTGGCACTAGCAGAAAAAGACCAGATTGTGCCCGCCGAGATCGTGCGGAGGTATCTTACTGGCGAACCTCAGCCGAGTGCGCGGTGGGTGGGGAGAGCTCGGTCTCCACTCTCTTCTGGAGATGGGTCATGCTCGCCACTTGTGGCAGCTATACCTTTGTTCCAGTTTGACAAGGTTGACGAAGAGGGAGATGGTGCTGGGGAGGCAAAGGGGGAACTTGAGGTTATGTTTTACCCGGAGTTCCATGCGACAGTTTTCCATACCAGGAGAGGCGGAGCATTTTGGATATCCTAGGGCGCCACAGCGGGGGTTTCGCCGACATTTTACCATTTTGCCACTAGTGAAATCACATTCGAAATGCAATCTAGAGCGCTCCGCATCTAGAATCCTGCTTAGGTATCTACATAAAATGACCAAACCCCCAATTGATTATGGAGGTGTATCGTAGTAGATGCCGACAAGCTATATGACGGGATTTGTATTCATTTCAATGCGACGTTTACCCCGTGAGTGTCTGGTTCCGTTCCGTGCTGTGGGGAATGCTGGTCTGTCCATGCCATCGTCTCCCCGCTAAACAATACCATGAGGCTAGACGGCTAAAACTAAATATAAGCAAGGTACATGTATGACTAAGCTTGATGGAAGTTGCTAGGTAGGATCAGCCACTGATATATGATGTTGATACTGGCATCACCACTACCACTTCTAGTTATCCTCGGCAGTACAATGATTCATGTATCTCCATCACACTGACATTGCTAGTTATCTAGTGCATATCATTCTCACAGTAGATCCTGAAATAGCAACCAGTATATCGCAGGACAATCGACGAACTGTCAAACGGAAGATGGAGGCCCTGACTACGGGACACGTGGGGATGTCCATACCCAAGTATTTCAGAGAGGCTAGAGCTCAAGCGCTCATCCATGAGCATATGGTGTGTAGGATCTCACGATTGATATTGCTAATTTGGACATTTTCTGACCACATGCTCGATATTTGTTGAACCGATTTGCGCACGCCAAGAGCCGAAGCGGCCTTCATTCAATCCCTTAAGAAAGGCCCAAGGCTAGCATCTCTACCCCCGACGTGTCCGCCCTTCTCCACGTAGTACCGTATCTTTTTCAATCGCTACAATGCCTGGGGGACCTGGAGGATCAGGGACTGGTGTCAACACTGGTTCATTATTCTGGGCGATTATCATGTCCGCTTTCGCAGGTACTGTTGTTCTCCTATACTCCCAAGTCCTTACACTAATCTATACTCTTGGCATTCAGCTTTTGGTGGTATTCTTTTCGGGTTCGCTTTCATGAACTTGTTGCTCGTCGTTTCGTCATTGACATTACTTCACATTCAATAGATATGATACTGGTACCATTGGAGGTGTCATTGCTATGCCCAACTGGTTGGAAACATTCGGTGTATATGACCCCAGTGTCGCGACCGCGGGTGACCTCGGTTATTACCTTCCTACAGCACATAAAAGTCTCGTCGTACGTAAATGGTACTTTCTAACGCAACTTTGACCGATTGTTCTGACAGGTGTCAATCCTTTCCGCGGGAACTTTCTTTGGAGCTCTACTTGCGTTTCCTATGGCGGACATTGTCGGGCGAAAGTGGGGCATCGTCGCTTCTTGTGGTGTCTTCTGCCTTGGAGTGGGCTTACAGCTGGACACGCACTGGACCACTTTCGTGGTTGGACGTGGTATGTTCAAATCAGATTTTCTTGGATTTGCTTTTCTTTCTTACGCGTGAATAACATCAGTCATTGCCGGCTTCGGTGTGGTATGTTCTAAATACTAATATTTTCCTTTTCATTCGTAACTTACGATGGATGCCATTAGGGGCTGGTCTCATGTTTGATTCCTATGTATCAGTCCGAGGTGAGTGTTCATCCTGCAAAAATAACTTAGCCTGACGGTCTTCAAACGTCATGTAGTGTGCACCGAAAAGCTTGCGTGGAATGATTGTCGGGCTTTATCAACTTGCGAGTAAGTGTTTATTCTGTATCATAATCGTATTCTCCTTATTTCTCTATCTTTAGTTACTATCGGGGCATTGCTTGCCGCGATCGTCCTAAATGCCACAAAAAATGAACTGAGCTATACTGCTTGGAGGGTATGTTGAGTATCTCGAGCAAGTCATGCTATGGGGCTTACTCGTAATTTCTCAAGACTCCCATCGCAGTACAATTCGCATGGGCCGCTATTCTTAGTGGTGGCATTGTAAGCCCACAGCTCCTTTGTCAGGACTTCTGCTGTACCAATCCGGTTTTCTTCTAGGCCCTTCTTCCTGAAAGTCCGCGGTTCCTCATGCACAAAGGCCGCGAGGATGAAGCCAGAAGAGCATTGGCCCGTTTCATGACCATGCCCCCCGAATCTCCTGAAGTTGAACTCGAACTCGATGAGATTGCGACCGCTCTTGCAGCCGATCGCGCAATCGGGCAAGGGACGTATATGGGTTGGTAATTTGATACCTTCCTGTAGACTCGTGCTAAGAGGCTGCTAGATTGTTTCAGGAACAATGAATCGAAAAACGGTCTCCGAACATGGACTGGTATTTGGTTACAAGGGGTAGGTTCTCCTTTGTTATCCTTACTCGTACTCTTTACCCACATACCTCTTTAATAGTGGCAACAACTGACTGGAATCAACTTCATCTGTACGTGCCATTGTCCAACTTCGATATTCTCTCTAACCTTCATTCTGCTCCTACTTTAGTCTACTACGGCACTGTCAGTCCATTCAATTTCGCGTGCTTATTATCGGTGACCTGAACTATTTCCGCAGACATTCTTTGAATCAGCCGGAATCACCAACGCCTTCATCATCACGTGAGTTCTTACCTGGAGCTCACATTTATATTACCGACATCTTTCTTAGTATCATTGCCGACGTCGTAAACACCGTAATGACCATCGTCGGTGTTCAACTGATCGACAGAGTGGGCCGTCGGCGCCTGCTGCTCATTGGTGCTATTGGCATGTGTTTTTGCGAATTCATCGTCGCAATCGTGAGTAGCCTGCCATCCACTGGAGGCCATTTTAATCACTTCACCCATGATAGGTCGGAGTAACAGCAGGACGGACAGACACAGCTGCTGTAAACATACCCGCGCAGCGTGTCTTAATCGCTTTCGTTTGCTTGTAAGGAATTTACCACTAAATTCCTGTCAGGTCACTCATTTATTTTCTCTCTTGCCTTCTCTTAGTTATATTGCATTTTATGCTATCTCATGGGGTCCAGTTGTATGGGTTGTCACCGGAGAAATCTTCGTAAGTCATCTATAACCACGTCACCTACACTAGTTCCAATATTTTCTTGGTCTCTAGCCTCTCAATATCCGTGCAAAGGCCATGTCACTCAGCGTGGCTAGCAACTGGCTTTGGAACTTCGGTATCGGTAAGATGGCGTTTTCCCTTTCACTCTTCTCCTCTAATTACGAAAATACAACTGTAGGATACGCAACACCTTACCTTGTCGACCCTTCCACCACTGGTGTCAACGGCGTTGCAACCGCTAACCTGGGTGTTAAGGTGTTCTTCATCTGGGGTTCGACTTGTCTCGGGTGCTTCATCTTCACGTGAGCTCTACCCTTCTGACCGCCTCCATTGCATTATTGATCCGGCCATCGCCCCTTTCTATTTATGCAGCTATTTCTTCATCCCCGAAGTGAAAGGACTTTCTCTCGAACAGATTGATCTTTTGTACCGCGAGTCTTCCGGTATGTTTATTATTACCTTTGATCCAGTCCGAGCAGTGCCTGACCGTTTATTTAAGTTCTCAAATCCGATAGCTACCGCAGACAGATGCTGGAAGTGGGCGAGACGTACGTCCAGAAGAAGAAGGTATGCAATAGAGGACTCGTGTTTTGGTCTATGGTGTTTAACACTTACCCTTTCCCTCACAGGGCGATGGTTACGTCGAGGAGAAAGGACAGGTCTGAGATATATATTGAACATGTAGTATTTTACCCAGGTCGTAATAATTATTTCACTACTTTCATTGTCTGTGTCAGATGAGAACTGGCGCGTGAGCTGACTGATTAATACAATTGTTACGCTAAATACGAGGCTTGAGATTGGTTCATCGTACCATATTAGATATCAACTTGTCCCTATCACTACTCGGCGGCTCGCGGTTCCTCGCGGTATACCATGTACCTACTAGAAAACCGTGGATTTGGGTGACGCACTCCGTACTTTTCCACATAGCACCCATACCCGCACCATCCCACAGACCCCAAGAATTCTCATCGGATGTTTTCAGCTGGTGTATACCCCAATACAAAAACTTCAAGGGGTTAAAATTTCTCGCTCCACCAGTAAGACCTGCAAAAAGAAGGAAAACTGGCGTAAATTGGAAAATGTGTTGAAGCATAAAAGTTACATAGCCACCGACTTTTCCCGAGCATCCAAGCACTTAGCTGGTCGTGTAAATTCCCCATGGCCACGGTCCCGCCCTTTTCTTCCCTCCACTTGTGGGGCGACCTGGGGCGACCAAGTCTAGCACTAGCCAGGTCCAGGCACAAGATCGTCATTTGAAATCACAATTTCAATAAAACGGACTCCGTTACTTATCAATGACCACCTAGTGAATTTCTGTTCCGGGCGAGGAACAATTGTGATCCCAAGAGAGTGACTTGGTTGAAATCCCGGTGGGAAAGTCGACTTGCGTCTTGTATGACTCTTCGCAGCACAGTGCGATTATCCTAATGGCCGGATCTATTTGGCAATGCAAATGGGGGTACCAGTAGGAATTCGTCGCTAGGGCAAAGATAAATTCGAGATAGCACAAGTCGCGATCACCGCGACTTGTGCTATCTCGAATTTACATAATGACGTGTCAAAAACTCCAGTGTTAAAAACTCGGGAGTTTTTCACGGAGCCCTATCGCGATCACGATGGAAGAAGCAGTCAGGACCATCACCGGTGGGTGTTGCGCAGTCAGGACAGACTGCGGTAAGGATAGCAGGGGAGAAATTCGTCAAAACCATGTTTGAATCATCAACGACATCGATGGAGGCTAAGACTTCTCGGGAACTGTGAGCAGTGCGAAGGGCAGCATGACGTAAACGGGGAGGCATGCTGCTCCTCATGCAGATGATAAGCTTCTCGATGTATACATGTTGTTTAGTGGGGCTGCAGCTCACACTGATACTACTCAATAGTACAAGGATGTCACCTGCTGTGTTGTGTTAGTAGAACAAACATCGCTGAGGTAGTCCACTAGCCAGTCGAAGTCTTCTGGCGAGTGGGAATTGTCTTTCCACGAGGTTTGATGCTGCCACAACCAGGTAGGGTCTGAAGGTGATACGGGATGCGAAGATACGGGGCGCAAGGATATTACGTCGAACTTGAAGCGCTGTACTTTTCGTAGTGCTGCCGATGAATCACGATCATTGTATTGACATGACCTTATTCGTAAGAAAATCTTCCAGCGTACGCCCAGGTTCCACATTTTCGGAGGTGGAAGTAGATTACGTCAAACACCCGACAGATGACGTTGGCATGCCATGCTTGGCGGATAGCACTGTCGAGATCGCCTCCATCTGCTGCCCAGAGTACTTTCTGGAACTGCGTCCAAAGACACTCAGCAAGTTGGGGCAGAGCAGAGCTACATAATCTCTTCGCTAAGCATAGAAGAAAATCCATCAACAGCACCTTTTATCAACCCGAACGATGTCCTTGTCAAACTGAACCCCAACCATGACGCAAGCAAGAACAGTGCAATTCGCTATTATTTGAGGCGACGGAGAGAAAGGAGAGCATAGGAGTTTTCATATCACTTATATGGTCAAAACTGAAATAGGTTTCAAACTTGTGAAAAAAGTTCTTTTCATGGGCTGGTACATATCATGGAGGGTACTTCCAGGAATGATATGAGCCAACAATTAAAGAAATCGGCGGTTGGGCTGTGGAGATATGGCCAAAATACTGACATTTTGGCCCCACCACCATATGTCACCAATATTGATCTCCAGGTGGTCCAGGATCATCACCAATCGATTCCTATCTATTGGAGTCGAGCATCTATGGTGACCATAGATGTTCCTGGAGGGAACATCTTAATTTGGTTAGTAAAGGGAACAAAGGAACACCAAGACTAATATTCTGTGGGAAAAGAGGGAACACTATGTCTTTATTTGGTTAAGACAGTGGGAACACAGGAACATCATGTGTCATTATCTGTGGGAAAGAGGGAACACTATGTCTTTATTTGGTTAGGACAGTGGGAACACTGTGGGAAAGAGGGAACACAGGAACATTTATTGGGAACACTCCGTGGGAAGAGGGAACATAGGAACATCATTTGTCATAATCTATGGGAAAGAGGGAACACATTCTTTCTCTGACCTTTAACTCACCACTTGTATTTTCGCATTTTTCACAACCTAGGTGCCTTTAATTCATTATACCCTTGCTTTCATATCATTATAGCATATCTTCACAACATATATGAACCCATCCCAGCCCTTATTTGACCTCCTAGAGCGCCCTATATCAATTCCTGTACTTATATGGTCATTTCAGAAATAGGTTTCAAACTTGTGAAAAAAGTTCTTTTCATGGGCTGGTACATATCATGGAGGGTACTTCCAGGAATGATATGAGCCAACAATTAAAGAAATCGGCGGTTGGGTTGTGGAGATATGGCCAAAATACTGACGTTTTGGCCCCACCACCATATGTCACCAATATTGATCTCCAGGTGGTCCAGGATCATCACCAATCGATTCCTACACCTAAAAAACCCTAGGACAGGCCTTTACAGTATCGGTCTTAAGTTAAATTCAAGCACAGCAAAATATAGGAGGTAGGAGGGGGGAGGAGGACCTTGTATATCTCAAGAACGCGATTTTTTCTGGGAAATCTGGCTCGACCATCATGTTCAGATGGATCAAGAACCCCCAGGAAAAATGCTTTTGGAGCACTGGCAAGTCATGGGAAGTCTGTAAAAATCGATCTTTGTGGGGGGTATGAGGCAAACTGACATATTTCAATTCAAACAGGCTAGAAATAATCTGGGACCATCTCCAATCGATTCCTGTGATCATAAAACACTAGGAACATCCTTTGATATATCAGTATTCACATAATATGAAGATATATGAGATAGGAGGGGGAGGGGGACCTTGCATATCTCAAGAACATGATTTTTTCTGGCAAATCTGGCTTGACCATCATGTTCAGAGGGTTCAAAAACCCTCAGGAAAAATGCTTTTGGAGCACCAGCAAGTCATGGGAAGTCTGTAAAAATCGATCTTTGCAGGGGGGTATGAGGCAAACTGACATATTTCACTTCAGACAGGCTGGGAATGCTCCAGTACCATCTCAAATCACTTTCTGTGATCATAAAACACTAGGAACATCCTTTGATATATCATTATGTACATAATATCAATATATATGAGATAGGAGGGAGGAGGGGGACCTTGCATATCTCAAGAACCTGATTTTTTCTGGCAAATCTGGCTTGACCATCATGTTCAGAGGGATCAAGAACCCCCAGGAAGAATACTCTTGAAGGACTGACAAGTAATGGGAAGCCTATAAAAATCGATCTTTGTGGGGAGGTATCAGGCCAACTGACACATCACAATTCACATGGGCCCAGATGACTCTGAGACCATCTCCAATCAATTAATATGATCCAAAAACATTAGAAACATTCTTTTATACATCAGTATTGACATGGAATCCTGTCTCTGGGCACAGTAGGTAGTAGCCAGGGGGAGGGGATAGCATCACTCTGGAATATGATTTTTTCGGACCAAACCAGTGTTCCCATCAGATTCAGATGACTCAATAACCCCAGAAACAAGTTCTATTTGAAGCCGAGCAAGTCAAGTGAAAGCTCAAAAAATGAATCATTGGGTGAGGCAGCATCACAGGGGTGACACTGCTTACATAAGCAAAAGCGGTCAACTTGACCATAGGTGAGCAACTTTACAACAACATGACTTTGACATATCAAATTATTGTTCCTACTGGTCCATGTCTTCATAAATAAGCCTGAGATCAAGTCATGCAAGTCTTAGGGAGGTATCAGGCTGACTGACACATCACAATTTCACATGGGCCCAAATGACTCTGAGACCATCTTCAATCAATCAATATGATCGCAAAACACTGGGAACATCAGTATTGACATGGATTCATGCCTCTGGGCACAGTAGATAGAGGGAGACAGTAGCATAACTCTGCAATATGTGAATTTCCAAGTGACAGGCTGTATTTAGAAATGCTTATATAAGCAAAAATGCGGTCAACTTGAACCAAAAATTTTCTCTTTCTGTCTTCCTTCTTCTTCACCCACTCTAAACTGTTTTTTTTTTTCACTTTGTGGGTCTGGGGGACTTTTGCTGGTTGTCACTCCTTTTTGGGAGTCTACTGTTGATAATGGTGCCAGCATTTGTCACTTTTTGTTTCACTTTGTGGGTCTGGGGCCCTTTGTTGCTGGTTGTCACTCCTTATGGGAGTCTACTGTTGATAATGGTGCCAGCATTTTTGGGTCTGGGGACTTTTGCTGGTTGTCACTCCTTTATGGGAGTCTACCATTGATAATGGTGCCAGCAATTTTCGCTTCCTATGACTTTGTGGGTCTGGGGGCTTTGACTGGTTGTACTGCCAGCCATTTTTCGTTTTTTTTTTTCATTTCGTGGGTCTGGGGGGACTTTTGTTGGTTGTCACTCCTCTATGGGAGTCTACCGTTGATAATGGTGCCAGCATGTTTGGGTCTGGGGGCTTTTGTGCTGGTTGTTACTCCACCAGCATTTTTCACTTTTTTCACTTGGTGGGTGTGGGAGCCTTTGACTGGTTGTAGTGCCAGTTATTTTTCGCTTTTTGAACTTTGCGTCTCTGAGGGCTTTTTTGTTGGTTGTCACTCCTTTATGGGAGTCTATGTGTGAAAGATATCTGGTGAGTCCAAAGGGGATGCAACCAAAGGACTAACAATCTATACGGCTTTTGCGTACGGATAGCGGATGAAGACGGGTACAGAAAGTGACGGACACGGAAAGCGACGGAGAGTGTGAGGTATCGAGGTCTTGATGTAACGAGCTACCGGTAATGATCCATGTAACGGAAAGTGCGAGCAGAACGAGCGGTGAGAAATGCGGGTTATGCGCAAAGATCCATGATAGCAGAAACACTAAGGGGACTTAGACACGCAAACTTAGACACTGAATCCAAGGGAGTGAAAGGAAGTGATATTCACAGAGACAAGCACAACTATTTATCGTGAGTCGTACAAACTCGGAATCCTCAAAGTGGCGACAGTAAGTACAGGTGAGTCCGTAGCGTAAGTATGTAATAAAGCACAGGCGGCCTCATGTATGGGAACGCACATGTAATATGGCCTGCAAGTGATCAGAGACAACAAAAGAAGACAAATAGCACACCAATGGGGATGGATGGACATGGGTAGGATGAAGGCCAAGTGCATGCAGCATATATCTGACACGGATAGTGGATCCGGTAGGTGTCCATACAGACGGCTATAGACCGATTGTGAGGATGTTTGGCACACCGCACCAACCGCCATGCCTCACGCATCGTACACGCAGGCGCTGTGAAAGAGTAATAGCAACTAGGCTGTTATAAACTAGCGCTACTTATCCAAATAGGCGCGAGTGTAATCTTCGACCCAAGAGGACTGCTATTGAAGCAACTCCCTACTAATAAACAAGGGAAGCGATAGCGCAAAGGGCTTCAAACCTATAGTAACCTAAGACCAAAAACTAATGAGTAGCGCTGTAGCAATCAGCTGCAAGTGAGTTCCGACAGAGAAACGTGCGTATAAGTGACAGGCGCTATGCAAGTTGTTTTATGCGATAGCACTATGCGACGTCCAACTAGCGACAGCGAGAAGAAATCAAAGGGAGTGAGAGTGGAAAGTAAGATAAGACAGTGCAAGTGAAATGCCTGGTAGCGACTAGATTATTTGGGTAGCAAGGTCTTGGTTCCTTCCCCTTGGCTATTATCAATATTATAAATAATTTTCGCTTCTCAGAGCATTTGCTATTCATGTCACTCTATGTATTGTAAATGTGAATTATAAATTTATATATGATTATGTCTGAGGTAGAATCAGTGCTGTGTAATCCTATGCCCTTATCGCCTGACCGGTACTTATCTCTGACTCACTCAACCCTATGCCCTTACTGCCTGACCAGGACTTATCTCTGACTCACTCTCCCCTTTGCTCTTACCACTAATTTGGCAGTCCCGCCCTCGATCACTTCCTACCTATATATACTAGTAGGGTATCGCCTGTATTCTCTAACTTGAATCTACTTGGTTCTACCTGCCTATCTGCTTGAAGCCCTAAGCAAGCTTCTCCTTCTCGTCGCTTGACAGTCTTGCTAGCTGAGAAGCACGATTAGAGACATGCCATCCTAATTGTCGATAACTTCATTGTCAAGACAGAGTTCGCAACGCCCATGATCACACCAGGCTAACTTTGATCATGAAAAAGTCCATCACCATCAAGCCCTCATTAACAGGTTATATCTCCAAGGGTATTGCCCTCTGTGAGAAAGCCAGCTTCAAGAGACAACAATGGCATTTACACTTATGTTTCCCATGACAGTATGTCCTGCTGGAAAATATCTGCTGCTCTGTTAAGAAGGTGATGATTTGAACATACCTCCTTACCCTTAGCCAATGCCTCCAATATATCCTCTGTTGTGAGTTTGGGACGCCCTAGAGAGTCGCTGCCCTGCTTCTAGCATGGGAACAATAAATCCACCAAGATATGCTATGGCAACTCACAACAGCAATCTGGTTTTCATATCCCATGCCCAAGCGTCCACATCATACCCTGAGTCCAGTGCTCCTTGCCTCTTTGTCCCCTCATGACAAGATGTGAGGTTTCGAGTAAAAGACATGTATCTATGCTCCAGAAGCTATCTAGTGAGCTGCAGAATCTAGGACTACGGAATGCTGACAAATAGCCCAAAGAATTGGAAACAACCCTTCTTCTGATTGGTAAGCTCTATCCAGATTATGATTGATGATTCGGATTCCGTCGATGATAGATGGATGCATGTGTCTAGTGGTAATGGATGATGTGCACATTGAAACCCCCACATGGGACTACATGCTGTTACATATCCTACTAAGCGGAAGGATAAATGATGGTTCTGATGCGATGTGGCATTTCAAATTCCCATTTTAATTCCGGGTGGACGGCCCAGATGTTAACTATGACTATACTCATATGCCTGCTAGTCATCATACCAAGTCAACAACCCCTTACCAATGATGTGGAGTGGTCATTGTAGTCCAACAATATCATGTCCAAATTTAGAAATTAGTGACGTAACAGTCAAGGAAGGCAGGGAGGCAGTTATTTGTGTTGCTCCACTATCAAACATGCCCATCTACATGACTTCTAGTTAGCATCACTATCGCTCCCCTTGCTTTTAGTAGGGAGTTGCTTCAATAGCAGTCCTCCTGGGGTGATTACTATACTCATGCATCATTTGATAAATAGTGCTAGTTGCTAACTGCCTGGTACCTATTTCTCTTTCACACTGGCGCTACTGGTTGGAAGCGGAGCATGAGGGTACAATCACTGGGCTGGTTAGTGAGAAGTAGCGCTGAGTGGTCACCATTGCAAGCGAGTGGACTGAACTAGCTCATATGCCTGCTAGTCATCATACCGAGTCAGCAAGCCCTTACAAATGATGTAGAGTAGTCTTTCTAGCCTAAAAATATCATGTTCGAATTTAGAAATATGTGACACAACAGTCAAGAAAGGCAGGGGAGCGGTTATTTGTTTCGCTCCAAAATTAAACAAAGGCGGTGAGTTTATAAAATGGAATTTGGGCTATTGGTTTGGAAATAGCTGTAATTTGTATAACTTGGCTGTTTAGAACAATATAATGTCAGCCATGATAACCTTACATGAGCAATATATTTTTCACGCTGTGCTCGTTGTTTTAAACAACCACAATGTCATCGGACTGCCAGCTCCATCTGGTCATTTGTGTGCTTGGAATCCAAGTCCCATAAAGCAGCGAGATGATCACATTGGATGATGGATATTGGAGTGTCCTTGCTGCAGCTTACAATGTGATTCCATCATGCAATATCTGCTGCTAATTGATTGAGATGTGTGTTCACATATTATCTTTCTGTCTTACCCGATGTGTTTAATAAAATTGCCAATTTCTGTTATAAATGCAAGATATTGTGAGTCCATGAATGAAATACATAATGATTTTTTGCATGCTTCTGACAGGGAGTGAGACATCTGACCCTCACAGAAGAGCATGTACATCACACCCCCTATTTCTAGTGACATGTGGTTCAACAATGCCAGTACTCTGGTATTGACCATGTGTCTTCACACGTTATTTTGATCAATGTGTATTTTGCATGGAGGAGATTGGGTGAGGAAATGTCTGTATTCCGCAAATTCATGACACTAGAATGGGTGAGGAGAGGTTAGAAATTAATGAGAGAACATTCTTGCATGCGTACCCACACTAGTGAACGATCTTCGTGTAGTGTTAAATATGTATTCTGATATGCATTCGAAGGATGGTGGAATTATTGGGGTTGTTCTTGTATTCGTCAGACCGCATGGACACATCACCCTCATCATTCTAATTCTCTTTGGTGATGTCTGGTTGTGCAATGGGAGCATCTGCCATTCAGTTGTCTTTGCCATGGTACTCCTTCCCTAGAAGCTCATCGAGGGGGAGTTCAATTGTCGGACAAAAAATGCTGACGCAATTCGTGCAGCCATCACTGATTCCTTCGCTATAGGTTATGTGATTTGATAGGTGGGGGTGGGGCAGAGGAGATGAGCTGTGCCAATTGTGTTGTTTATATTAGGCCATGACTTTTTATAAGACGAGTAATTGGTTGCCATTCATTGACAGTAGACACTTATCCAGCGATAAATAGCTGTGGCATTGGAACAATGCCACAGCTACAACGTTAACGAAGTTGAAGTGCTCGAGGGAAATGCTGTTAATTTTGACGAGTTGGATCGGGTTGAACAAGGAATAATATCACAGGTAATTCTAGATGAGGTTGAGGTGGTTAATTACAATGGCGATGGTGGCGGATGGGATGAGGTAAAATATTGATGTCATCGTTAGGAATGTTGTATACATAGTCTGCATAGCGCCTAGAGTTTTGCCACCCTGGCAAAACAACCGGTATTTCCAGTTTTTCCGGTTATAACAGGCAGAACTAAATCCAAATAGTTCTGCCCCCCACACTAGGGATAAGTGATAATTTGTTTTTTCATTGTTTGCCATACAGATAGCAATCAATTGATTCGATAATAATCGTCTGATACTATCAATGATGGCTGTAAACATTCCCCTCGAGCTTGTCATGAAGATCTTCACTCTCGCCACTCATAGACGAGAGGAAGCAGCATCCTGGATTTGTGTTTCCAAAAGGACCTACATCTTGTGAGCGTTCGATGCCATGTTCAATCCTTTCCCTCTCTCTACTTATCCTGTACATACAGATTTGAAAGATTATTGTATAATAAGGTCGTCTTCAATGATGAAGACCATGCATTCAGATTCTTGGAATGCTACCGCCTTCGGAAAACGCATATCGATCCTCCTCCATCAACTACAGCGATGGTTCTCGGCTATGATATCACGTACACTACCCTAGTCGAGATATTGTCACTCTGCAAAGATATCACCAACCTTTCCATAGCATCCATCGACGAGGACTTCATTCCTGACCTCACAAATCTGCATCACGTACTGGAACCCATCCACCTCACGGTGCTCTGTTTACACATCAGATTATCGCTCACTCACTCTTCCATGGTGATGGCAAACACGTTCGCTACATTGACGCATCTTGAGATAGAAGATAAGGAAATGCTTCGCCCTGTTGACATGAACGCCTTCCCCAAGTTGACCCACCTGGCGCTATGGTTCGTCTTCATCAACGCAGGAGGGGACTTCCCTGGCGTTGTGAAGCGTCTTCTCCAACATGCAACCCTGCAAGTCCTTGTATTCCGTGTCGATGGTCACAGCGAATGTGCAACGTTCCTGGAATCCCGTGGAATCGTGGATCGTCGCATTATCATCGGACCTTCACGAAGGTTTGTATGGGATGATTTTGGACATGGTGACATGTTACTCTGGAAACTCGCTGACGACAGGGCCAACATGCCTGCCCCAAACCACAGTAAGTACATCTAGTTCAATTTGACATATTAGTTTCAAGTGACAAAATCACATAGAAAAGCACCGCTGCTTCTCTAACAGCACGTTTGAAAATAGATTCAGTGATTATAAGGGGCTTCCTCGAGTTCCTGAACGCGATGTGGACCGTGGGTTCCGACTGTATTATGGACCTGGGGATTCGTCGGATTGAGCTGTGTGATCCAGTTTGATGCGCAATGGTTCCAGGGACGAGGAGACAGAGGTGGATTCTAATGATGAGGACATAGAAGAGGATTCCCTCGATGAGGACGTAGAGGAGGATTCTCCCACCGAGGACAAAGACGAGCAGAGTTGTCCAGGAGTATATTTGACGCTGTTGGCTCTCTTGTGTACAATACATCAGTTTTGATACCTAATATTCAAACACGTATGACAGCTCACAAATGCAACTACCGATTGGCGGAAAAACATGATGTGAGATGGAATAAACTTATAGCGGTCAGAGGAAGTCGTGTGATCAAGTGCACCGAGAGTGTAGTTGCCAGTCAATGATCCCGGCAAGAACGAAGAAACTGCTTCTCCCTCAGGATGAATGAACGATATTACCGCAGCCATCAAGCCATTGATGGCGAAATACATTGCGAGTGACCTTCTTTGTATTAGGCCATGACTTTTATAAGACGAGTCATTTGTAGCAGAGGAAGAAATGCCGTTGTGACTGGATGCAGGGTGAGAAGAACCATGGTTAGTTCCAGAGGATTCATCATGTCTCTTGCGCTTGGAATCCCCTCGTAATCCAGCGAGCAACTGGCCAAGATCAGGCGCCTACCTCACTATGAGATGAGATTGGCAGAAACTGACATGTCATTATTTTGCCTCAAAGTATGGTCAATATGTATTTAATCATGATACGGCGATGACCTGTTATATAGGCGCAACAAAGGCAAAGCCACCAAGCGTTTTTGGTCTTCATTTGTATAACGTGGTTGTTTAGAACAATATAATGTCAGCAATGATAACATTAATTGAGTGCCATAATTATCACACCGCGCTCTTTCTTTCAAACCATCAACATGTCATCAGACCATCAGCCCAAAAAGCAGCAAGACTATCACACGGAAGGATGGGCATCGGAGTGTCCTTCCTGCGGCTTACAATGACTCAAATCACAATCTGTGCAATGAGGTCGATATCCCGCTCATCCGATTCATGACAAAATTCCCAGCATCTACTTGCAGCAATACCATTGATGTGCAGTTCATGCCTGGTGCAGCACGTCACACTCCTCATTTTGAGCTGACAGTCGGGCAATCTCTCTGTATGAATAAATGTGTCATGTTCCATGAAGTGCCATACAATCCAGTGGAGCAAGTAGTGACGTGTCAATACCTCGATGCCATATTTGTGATCTCACCAAATTGCCCAGTTGATATCCACGGTACGTGTTTATGCGCGTCATTCCATTTGAAATTATTGATGAATATGATAGATGTTAGGAAGCGATGCAATGATCATGTGAACACAACCATTACGGGCACGATTGGTTCATTTTTCACATCGATGAACGATCCCACGAAGATTCAATGCATCCTTGATATACCTCTCGCACATGTCAGCATGCCATATGGTATCATGTACGTCCGATATTTTCTGATTATCGTCGCACATTGCTGATGGTCAGTTTAAGGCAACTCGATCATGGTCTCATGCATGGTTGGAATCAAACTACTCGCTCAATTCCGATCAGGTCCAAGGTCCATGCTAAATATTTCACTGCCAAGGGATGGGGTTACTGCATCATGCTGGATTTCTAACCCATCCTCGTCATGAGGCTGATGGGATGTTAACCTGGATGAGGATGGAGGCTGGTCTCAAATTTTAGGTCATATTCCGGTTAAAAAGCAGAGGCACATATCGCATTCATCTACAGGAGCTTGCCGCAAAACTTGCCAAATACACAGCACACACCCAATGGCTCCAGAACAACTGCGACGGAGAGCCAATCACTCTCCGGCCAGGAGATATGTTGTAAGTACATGAAGTGCTGAAATTTCGATCGCTAATGTTCCATGGAATCAGGATAATTCCTCCTGGAATGGTGTACGCCGTGTACACGCCAATCGCATCATTTGCTACTGGAGGACATTTCTATCATTATTCTTGAATGCACCTCACGCATCTTTCCCGGTACATTGACGCCGAAGTCGGAGATTCTCCTGCTCATGAAGCTCTTAATCATTCCATAGAGACCCTGCGTCGCATCGTTATAATGATTCCATATCTTTCCCCAAGAATAGGTCAGTACCAATGTGCTCTATAGAACGATCCGGCTGATCATGCCAGTAGTGTTTCCAAAAGATCACTCCTGAGTCTTTACATCATGGTAACGAAGGGACGACAGTATCGTTCAAAGGATGGCAGTCCACAGTATGTGGATGAGACCGGGACAGCACAAGCAAGCGCTGATCTCAGCGATGTCATAATTCGGCGTTTTGGAATATCGAATTAGTAAGATTGCAGAGGAGATTGTATACTTTGGCAATCAGCACAACCCAGGTCTTGCCATAGACCGTGCGGATATACTTCACACGTTGAAAGATTCGCTATGGTTATAGGATTAGGCTCCCCTGTAAATAATGCGTCTGCCGTTGTACTTTGGCTCTCATCGTGAAGTCTTCGCGGTGATTTTTCCATAATTTTCTGACTCACTTGTGTGGAGCATGGTAATCATAATATAGAACTGCACCAAAAATCCATACCCAAATGCCAGGATAATATCCTGGCTACTGATGATAGCATTAAGTAATAGAAGGTGCACAGGCACACGAGATGTCATAGAACCAGGATCAGTGCCATCGCACTGTGTCCTCTTACAATTTGAGTAAGTTTGAGGTTTTCTCTTATTTCGTGATGGTACATAGCTGTTGTCACCAACTGTCATAGCAGCACGCATAGAGGTACGTCGAATCACCGCCTATCAATATTATATAGGATTAGGGTTAGTGTTAGGGTATTTCCCAATGCTGCAGAGTGTTCTGACAGCTGTCGCTCTGCATCAATTTTTGTTTGCTGGTTACTTACACCGTCTGCATCACCCTCGATGTCTGTCTGGTATGCTGAGCATAATTGTTGCACCATCTAGATTCAATGTATGACAGCAAGATTTTTCTCGTGTTCAGAGTCTTAAAAGGCCTTTAAAATCCTTGATGTCACTTGTAAATTTCCCAACTCTATGCTCACACACTGTTTCACGCCAGGCTTAACAGATTTCTTTGTTTTTTTTCCATACCCAAAGAGTCCGTACTAATACAATGTGCTCTTGGCGTTTCCTTATTTTAATTTTGTGTAGCTGTTGTGTTATGAAAAACTGGTCAGACTATTTGCAACTCTGAACTGGAGACAGTGTTGTTATTATTGCTGTGGCGTGAGAATGTCACGTGATGTGAAGTTCATATGTTGCGCTTAGCAAATTTTCCCTCTTTCTTTCTTACCATTACCTTCACAGGTGGTTTCTCGCCTTTTTGGGCGTTCACTGTCGATGATGGTGGCCACCTTCCTCTTCCTTGTTCCACTCCTACCACGCATGCAACCCTTGGACTGTGGCAGATGGTTTCTCGCCTCTATGGGCGTTCACTTTCGATGATAGTGGCCATCTTCCTGTCCTTGGGCCATGCTGGTAGCTTCTTTCATTCTACTTGGTTGACTGGTGGTTTCTCGCCTCTATGGGCGTTCACTTTCGATGATCGTGGCCATCTTCTTCTTCCTTGTTCCATTCCTACCATGCATGCAACCCTTGGCTGTGGCGGATGGTTTCTCGCCTCTATGGGCGTTCACTTTCGATGATAGTGGCCATCTTCCTGTCCTTGGGCCATGCTGGTAGCTTCTTTCATTCTACTTGGTTGACTGGTGGTTTCTCGCCTCTATGGGCGTTCACTTTCGATGATCGTGGCCATCTTCTTCTTCCTTGTTCCATTCCTACCATGCATGCAACCCTTGGGCTGTGGCGGATGGTTTCTCGCCTCTATGGGCGTTCACTTTCGATGATAGTGGCCATCTTCCTGTCCTTGGGCCATGCTGGTAGCTTCTTTCATTCTACTTGGTTGACTGGTGGTTTCTCGCCTCTATGGGCGTTCACTTTCGATGATCGTGGCCATCTTCTTCTTCCTTGTTCCATTCCTACCATGCATGCAACCCTTGGGCTGTGGCGGATGGTTTCTCGCCTCTATGGGCGTTCACTTTCGATGATAGTGGCCATCTTCCTGTCCTTGGGCCATGCTGGTAGCTTCTTTCATTCTACTTGGTTGACTGGTGGTTTCTCGCCTCTATGGGCGTTCACTTTCGATGATCGTGGCCATCTTCCTCTTCCTTGTTCCACTCCTACCATGCATGCAACCCTTGGACTGTGGCGGATGGTTTCTCGCCTCTATGGGCGTTCACTTTCGATGATAGTGGCCATCTTCCTGTCCTTGGGCCATGCTGGTAGCTTCTTTCATTCTACTTGGTTGACTGGTAGTCTCTCGCCTCTATGGGTGTTCACTATTGATTATTGTGGCCACATTTCTTCATCGTCCCATCCCCCATATATTTTGTCTTAAGAGTTAGCCTGTGTCAGTGTGAGATGATTCGTGTAGGACACATGTGATTGAAATAAATTGGTGCTTGAAATATAACATGTTCAATTGTGTCTGGATTCATCATTAGGGCGTGTATAATTCTGATAGCATGTATCTCTGCCCGTGAGTATGTCACGAGCACGAACACTGGTCTTGGACATACAATACAGGATTACCTCTGTTGAGGCCTAAAGTGATTAAATCATGTGGGTGATTCAGATGTCGCCGGATTGACTACCAGATTCCTTAGTGTTGTTCATAGTGCCTGAATGGTATAAGGACGATATTCGGGCGCAAATGAACGAGTAGTGCATTGTCTGAATGCAAAAGTGGATGGTGATTGAAAATGCTGGGCAACACTCAGCTCGATGGCCTTGGAGCAGATACCTGTAACCTGCCCCATGATTATGAATGTTCGCGGTGAAACTTGTGAATGACACTCCAGGCGTGAAAACGTGACTGACAAATTATAATGTGAGAGGTGAATGTATGTAATTAATGATAACGTGAACGATGCATTGCAGGTACATACCTCAATAGAGCCACTACGTAATACTCGGATCCGTGACCTCGTGAGCGGGAAATATGAAGCGAAAAAACCATGATAGTGTAATAGCAACTTATGTCAATGGCTGCCGTCAGATATACTTGCAACAACGATAAGGCACCATCATGCACAGTGCGGCGAAACGTGTATTTCTTTCTAGATAAGTCGAACAATGATATAAATTGTAGTGTGTACATGAATTGCCCGTTGTCACACTATTTGATCAGGAACAAGGTGCCGCTGAAACATTCTCATCTATCAGCAGTGATGTTTTCCGCACTTCCACTGGAGATCCAGCAGTATATTTTAGCTCTTTCTACTCATGAGAAACATTCTGCTGCAAGAAATATGAGGGCGTCAATGAAGACATATCCGTGGTTATTATTTCATGCTATAATACGCAGAACGCCTAAAGTAACACATTTCATAACACTTTGACTGTTGCCAAAGTCTGATATGCTGGCAGTTACTAGGGCTGTTGTAACTGATACTTGACCGAACCTACCTAGTTCGCGAGGCGCTTGCTCCACCTGGCCACAAATAAAACACGTGTGCATTGTAATTTAGCGAACTGTGAGCCGCGCCCATGCCATGCATGCCAGTATGGAAATATGGCATCATGCACGTGTCGTGCGACATGTGTTGCCTTATTGTGGATATATAATAGTGGTGGTTAGATGATTCTGGTATTCCCGATCAGCCATGTTCGCTCAACTTCCACTGGAAATTCAGGAAATAATATTGGCTCTTGCGAGTCGCTGGAGACGATATGCGGCTTCAAACTTGACGGTCTCGCGCCAGACACATCCCTGGTGAGCAGCCAAATTGACAATGCACAAAAAGGGTTGAACTCAGCGACTATTACAACAGGATGGAACGAATGTTATATAAAAGCATCGTTCTCCGTGGTGACAATAGGGTCAAACGATTCCTTGCCTGTATTTTGTGTCGTCCAATGCACATGGACTTTGCACAAAGATCAATAAAATCTCTGTGTGTCTTCGGCAATGTGTCAGAATCTACATTAATCGACCTCCTGGGGCTTTGCAAAGGGATCACATGCCTTTCCCTCGCAGTTTATACAGATGCGTTCTGTGATGATCCTTCATTGCTGCTGCGCGCCCTAGATGTACTACCACTAAAGTCATTGGTGATATCCATGGAGGTCAATTGCACATCTGCAATCAACACATCGAGCGTGTTCCAGAGTCTCACTCATCTCGATATTGCCGATCAATTGTTGCTGGACGAATCACAAACAGGCTTAGAAGATCTTCATTCGTTGAGTCACCTGTTTGTGATTCTTATAACCAAGAAGTCAATCGCGGAGTCTGTGAAGCGCCTTCTCAGTAATGTACAGCTGCGAGTGCTTGGGTTACGAGTCATGGAGCCACACAAAGAGGTAATATCATGGCTGAACAAATATAGCATGAACGATCCTCGAGTCGTGCTGTTGCCGAAGGAATGGACATGCTGGGCCAAGCTAGGCCAGGGAAGCATGTTGGTCTGGGAGTTAGTCGATGAAATATTACAATCGCCACAACCGAAGGAAGGTATGTCGTTCCATTAAAATAATTGATGCGACAAACGCTGAGAAATTAATGCGGAAGGGCATCGCTGTTTGTTAATCCACACGATAAGAAATAGATACGCAGAATATAACGACATCAAGAGGGGAAGGGGATTTGACCCAATGTCGTGCTCCCAGGCACTCCCAAAGAAGCAAATGCGATGGTGCGCTCCCAAACATGCTCGATGATGGCACATAAATATGACTACAGATAGGCACAACGGATGATGTGACTTTGAACCATGTGATAGACGTTGATCCTCTACTCTGGGTGATGTAGCCATAACTATGTGCCATACAGTGTTACTTCTATTAGGTTGACGAGCATAATAAATACGATGTATATTCTGAGCTAATCGACATCCATTTCATCATCTCTCTCCACTGATTCTCCTATGTCCATAGGAAATGGCCTTGATTTCCGAGGACGTGGGGGAGGGGGAACCCTCTTGTTTCTCTTGGCCATCGTCATCTTCTTCTGAATCTCCCGACGCTTTTGCCTCGCTGTCTTTCTCCGGACATTGCCATCCGTGTCGAATGGCTGTGAGTCCATCAGGTCAGCTGCAAATATGCGCCTGCCCTTGATCAACTTCATGGCACGACGTGCTCTTGGGGCTTTCCTTTGACTCTCTGCCCCCCTTCCAACACAGTCGATCCTGTAAAATGCAGGATTTGTTGTGAATAATATGGCATCGTTCCTCTGTATCCACACTCTCTGACTGCTTGCAGGAAGACAGTGCAAGTCTGAAAATACTTCGTGTAACCCTTTCTTGAGCAATTTCTGCTGATCCTCCGCCATTGCCTTCATTATCTTGTGAAACTCCGCGATGTATCCATCTCCCTCCCAAAGCGTAGACCACTGAGTGTTGTTTTTATGGGAGGCATCAGGGTCAGGAAAGAATAGCGAGCACCTGTCCGCAAATGTTCTCGACTTTGGACCCATGCGACCTGGAGTTACACCTGTACTGTCATGCAGCCCAGCATTGCACGCTTCGAAGGCAACTGCACTGAGCGTATCATCGATGCTTGTTATCGTCCAGCACTTCATGGCCTCCTGGAGCGAGTTTGGGTGGGGTTGGATGCCTTTGAATACTTCGGGTGTCAGCATAAGCCACATCTGCCTCGTGAACATGACGATCAAACGTCCGACAGAGAGTTGAGTGTTGGATAACCTGGACGACCACATCCATGGTCTCATAATCATTGCAGGTGAGTTTGCAAGGGCTGCCTTAAGTCGGGTCCATGTCGGTGTCCGACCAATGGGATAGTCCTCCAGCTCTGACTCAGAACTTCGCCATGCATGCATCCTTCCTACTGCTCTATCCCTCTGAGCCTTTGCATTGACGCCCATCAGGGCCAGGACATTCACGTCATCGATTTGCTGGACCTCCTCCAGGCAGGTATCGCTGTCCAAATCGAATTCCTGTAAGAAAAACATCCCTGCTGTCTCGAGGACATTTCTATATTCAAGGAGGGCGAGGGATTCGCGGACGTGAAAGTCATAGACGATAGGGGTTGATGTAGTTGAGCGAAGCATGTGGTTTAGCAAGCCAGTAAGAATCCCGAGATTTGGAGGATTCTTTTTGACGATGGATATCTGGGTCCTCTGAATCTCCCGCACCCGCCGCCTGATAAGCTCGAACCAGATTTTGGATGGGACCCACAGGATTGGATCTGACTGCAGGTATTCTCTAGCCTACATGTAAATTATCGCCAGAGATATTCAGCTCGCATTCCAATCATACATGAAATGCAGATTACCGACCTTGCTTTCCATATTATCCAGCATTATTCTGGCTGCATGTCCACTGACCCTATACTCGTCCCTAACACCATATGTTTTATCCTTGCAACCATCGACAACCTTTGCGATTTCGAAGCATTCAGCCATGTAAGATGGGGACAGCTTGTATGCATCACTGTCAGATGCGAAATTCGCTTGGTTGTTGTTCGTCCGTATTGACTCATAGTAGAGGTTGTAGGTGCTCCTGAATGCGATGTGGGTTTGTTGAGATCTCTCCTGCTGCATCTCGGCCTGCATTGCCCCATATCTAGAGAGCGTGTTGTGATGATGTATTTCACCCCTCTTGTAGCCTCCTGCTCCAAATGATGCCTCCAACGCGTCTAATCTCCACACTCCTACCACTGGAACATCTGGGGAGTGAGGCGTAAATGAGATCCCCACGTCCACCAGCAGCTCGCCATGCCTCCTGTTCATCATGTATGGCCAGTCAAGGTCGGACAGATTTCGACGCAGTGCCTCTTCCGGCCCTTCGAAACGCCCTCGCTGACCATCCTTGGTAAGGAGCTTGATTCCCTTTCCTTCTAGAATAAAGAAAGACGACCCATACATGCTCAGCTCGCCCTCTCCATCGCGTATGCGAGCTTCCATGCGCTCCTGCACATCCATGAAGTCATCATTCGACAGTGGTATTGTCTTTGGAGCGCCCCATCCAGCCTTTCGTCCATCACCACCTCTAGCCTTGTATCGTGCCTCCTCCAATGTGTGCTTAAGGTAAGGCGCCCAACTAACATCAGTGCAGTCACCTATGGATGGAAGTAGCACTCTATCCCAAAAGATGTCCAAAGTTTCCTTTGGCATCAGCGTGATTCTTCGCCCATTTACTGGGTGTTGATGTATCATCCTAGGAAATGCGATATATAGATTGAGTGTCGATGAAGCCGAGGATATGCGCCCAATACCGGTATGAGGGATGGCAGACATCGGAAATCGTTTTGACAACCATTCTGTCCTACCACCGGGCGCACTGGCATCTGCTTCTGACTGTGGAATTGTGATGTCGACATATGTGTGATTGTGCTTGAATATGCCAGGTTTCGTTTGAAATGACGGAGTGAGATAGATCCCCACGGACCCCATGCATCGGAACTCCTTCGTGGTCCAAATGATACTGTCTATGTCTAAAGAAATCTCTATTTCGTCTTCTGAAAATCTAACGGAATCTCGTTCAAGGTCGACATACAAGGACGTGCCATCGCCATAACGATGACTGGTGCAGCCACGAACAAAGGCGTTGTGTCCGAACCTACATTGATGATGGAGTGGGGGATCATGTTGGGCAGAGTCGATCAGTTCAGATGCAGCCAGAATTTCTACATCTGCGACGTGCGTTTGACGTGCTCCCCCATCTGACCCTAGTCGAGCCAGACTATATGCGCCTGTTACGCGGTCTGGAACCTGACTTGAAGGATCATGGGAGTCGGTTGTGCCAATGGGCATGACATGGTCCATGGTGGCTATGGGGTCGCATTGATAGAATATATGGAATGAGCTAGGGGTGATGCGGTAGCCATGATCAACCCAGTGCACCCAAGCAGTGGAGATCTGGATTCCTCCCGCCTGGAATGTCATCGCCTGATTGATTTCCCTGGGAGTTACTAACATCTCGATCGTTGGTCCACCTTCATAATCGTCGAACGTGCGGTCATCGGGAATCCACCTCCGACCTGCATATGCAGCCAGAGAGCGCGGTGCAATGGGACGTGGAAATCGTTTGTTGCTTCCAAGATGCCAATCTTTCACTCTCCTACGAGATGCTGAGGCGGATACAGAGCGTTGTGAGTCGGTGGTATCCTGGACATCAGGTTGCGTGTCCGGCTCGACTTGAATGTGCGTGCCAACCGCACGAGGGACTATATCATTCCGATTTCGAGATCCAGTCAGTTGCTTGATTGCTTTGAAAAGCTTCGCGAGGTTCTTCTTTCTACCCGTAGGCAGGGTCGTACCCATGGAATCCTCTTCATCACTCCGTTCAGCGTCACAACCATCCTCCTGATCGACTGGGGTTCGAACTCCATTCTTGCCATTGTGTGAGGGGTGATCCATCTCCTGATTTACCACGGGACGTTGACATATTGAGCAGGTTGCGCTAACAACGGTCAATTTCCGCAGGAGCTTTAGGCATTCAGCCTGGTGCCGCCCATTCTGAATCGCATTGATGATATCTTCGCCTGGCAGCTCGTCCTCTCGCCATTCCTCTCGTGCGACATCAAGGAGCATGAGATAGTCGCTACAACAGAGCCTGACACGACCAGCAATCAGACCCAAGATCTGGATGCGCAGCTTGTGGCCGCACTGAACTTGAAACACTGGCAAGTTACCGTGCTCATCTAATCCAGCGCTGAGGCATTGCTCGAGCACGGAGCAAGCAATTGGACCGCAATCTACTCCATTTTGCTCCCAATCCATTGATATCACAGACACATCAGCGACATCCCCTGTGCCCCAGCCATGAAGGGCACCAATTCTCCTCCAATAATCCGGTCCTCTCCACTCGTTCCAGTCGTCTGGATCTAGTCCGTCGATGTCCATCGCGTCGTTGGATATATGGCGACCCAGGACATGGGCCTTTTGTCGCTGATAGTCAAAAATCACTGTAAAGAAATGATCGGAGTGGTGGACTACGAATCCAACAGGGACAATAGGACATATGCCATCAGGAGGTATAAAAGAGCTCCTCCGGAAGAGCTCCACTTCCTCATCCTCCATCTCGGCCGCCATTGCTGTATGCATATTCATGTATCTCATGCGTGATCTGCCAAGCAGCTCATACCACACATGGGACAAATAAAAGTCTGCTACTGTGGCCTCAAGCCACTCATTCAACCCGAGACTTGCCCAAGTGTCTAAAACAGATGTCCAAACACCCGGTCTGGCCATTGCACGAGCTGTGATTGGGGCGAATAAAATAAGTGTTTTATCCTATGTAAAATTTATGATGAACTCACAAGCGATTTCCTCGACTGTCAGTTCAGGTATCGTAGGTGGTGAGGCTTCACGCGAAGGCGATTGACCGATGGCCTCTGGTGGTGGAGATAACCTATACTCATCATCAGGTATTCTGCTGCGAGAGTGTGTTGGACTCCCTGATGAAAGATGTTACAACACATGCACGGCAGTAAAAACGTGTAAGATGCTTACGATGGGTGTTCGATTGAAATTCACTTAAATGTGATTCATGAACGACTGCCCGTTTGGACGCTGCATATTCGATATCGTTGACATGTAGATTCAATCAGTATTTCGAATATCACTGACCGGTCTCTCTGGCACGCACAACGCGCCTTTTCGGACGTCCCCTGAGTCGCCTATTACTTGATCGACCATTTCTTGGTTCATCCTCCTCTATGCATAGGTCATTGTCATTGTCACGCTCGCAGTGACCCACATATTCATGCTTGTCGTCCTGGACGGGTTTGCTTGTAGCACGGATGATGCACCTAGAATTACGATTCCGCAGCTCCTTGGATGATGATATCTTATCCGTTGATACCATTACCTCTTGACGTTGTCCTACACCAATGGTCAAGTAAATACGGATAGAGGTCAATTATAGAAGCTCACGATGTGTAGTCGCTTTTCGTGCTGGTCGTCCACGTGGACGGCGTTGTTTATGTACCTTTGAATTATCCGTCTGTTTTGGTATGCCCCTGACATCTCTTTTCTTTGACTGTGCCCTCACATCATCATCGCTATTTGAGTTATCGTCTTCTAGTGGGCTCCAATCCAGGATGCCAGATAACATGATCTGCTGCAAGACGTCAGCTGTATGCGACTCTTCATCATCAGCCATCTTCCATTGCTCATCCTCCTCGTCTATTGTGCTCGCGAGGTGTAGATCAGTCAGGCTATCACGAAGCACATCGACGTCTTGTGACACACTCTCTGGGACCGGACTGATTGTAGCACGGATGACTCGTGCATTTGTATGCTTGATGTTCTGAGCTGGTCCATCAGGTGGGAGTATGGGTACCAACTTTACACCTGCATAAGAGTCTCAATTTGATATGTAAACAGGGGATCAGTTGATGTACTCACGACGTTGAACAACTCTCTTTCGTGGCCTGCCTCGCTTTGGCTTTTGTTTTGCGATCTCATCCTTCCCCTGGTCCAAAATATGACATCGTTCTATGCCTGCAGATGGTGCTCCAATATTGCCAGTAGGCTTTAATGCGTCCTCATACGCACTCTTGACAGCTTGATTAACATTAGTCTCTGGGATGATTGAACCCTCCGTATCCCAATCCAGGATCTTCAATTCAAATATTTGCTGGAGAAGGTCGACAGACTCGTCGTCGTCCATTAGACGCTGTGTGCTGTTGTGTGAGTGGTGGACACTGTTGCAAATATTATTATATGATGTTCAGCCCGAAATTCCCCATAACGTCCATGTGCATGGGCCGCAATGAAGCGAATTGTTCCTCGATGTAATAACTAGGCGATCGCGTATTCTATATACAATTCCTGTCGATTTACTGACCCCATCCTGCCATTTCCTCTGCATTATTCGGCCATCTTAAGGTTTCGGTTTAATTGAATGGAGAATTGACTTTCAATGAGCTGAAGTCCGATTTCATCATTTATGTGATGTAACACTGCATAGAATGTCGTAAGGGCAACCCTTGTCTTATTTTCTTGATCCGTTCACCAGATTATTACATCTTTAGAGGACGTACAATAGCTCCCGCTGCAAGGTACCTATTGGTTTTTAAAAAGTGCTCGACCATCTTGCTAGCACTTGCTGTTCCACCCCAACTATTATGTCCCACCGACCATCAATTTCCAGCTGTGCATCCCGCACAGGGGGAAGGAGAACACTAACCCCTATGCGCCATAGTCATCCCAAGCTTCAGCGATTGAGGCGATGCACGTCTTTAGAATGTACGCTGAATCTTTTCCCACTGGTGGTCTTTTAATTTCTGATTTATGATCGCATACCTTGTTTTGACAGGGGTCCACACTACTAACGACAACTCTGATGATATTGATGATAACCGGATGGTCATTCGAGTAGGGGAAGAGTACGAATTGGTCTGTATACTGGAGGGTGATCCTGAAGTACTTTGTGCAGTCTCGCAATATTTCCCCTCGATGAAAGAGCAGTGCCAATGCAAGATGGTAGTCTACCAGCGATTTCTTATTGGTTATGGCAAGGTAGCCGACATCTACCTGAAGACTGGGCGACAAGTACAGGCAAGTACATTCGTTATTTGACTAGACCTCATTTATTTTACACCTTACTTGAAGGACGTGTGGCTCGAAATGCAGTGGTATTACAGAAAGGTGGATTTGGAAGATGAGGATGTCGAGTACGTTTGTATATTTACCATCAATCACTGAAATAATATTTTGACAAATGCGTTCATTTAGTCTTGCGAGATGTGTGGGTGAATATGAGCTTGTTCTCAGTAATCACACGTCTGTAGTAGATATACGTTGCGTCGAGGGTACGTTCTTCGAGATTCACGGACTATTGATGGATTACATTTACATACTTGTAGATCATGCGACCATCTTGCCATACAATGAAGGTGATCTCGAGCAGCCACAGATACCTATAAGGACACTGTACAATCGATGGACCATTGACGTCGAGTTCTCAAAGCATAGGAATGTTGTTTATATGGAAGGGGTGAACGTTAGCGTACGCCTCTCTCTCTGTCCCTCTTTTCACCTCTTTGCTTTGATCTCAAGCTGACGACAGCTACAGAACTCTCAGAATGCGTCAAAGTGCGGATGCAATAAATGTGATCCCGTGTTCTCTTCACCAACAAACCTGCAGCGATACTGCAGGAAGTGTCAGCGGTGGTTTAATGAGACATGTGTTGCAACTCATTGTCGTCAGATAAGAAGCAATGTGAAGGCAGGCCTGCCATCCAATTTTCGTGATATCGACTTTGACCCACAGTTCATGTCACTATTGACCATGCCAATTCGACGAGGAGGATCATGTGGAATAGTTGGGAATGGATCGCTCATAGTACAGGCAATCGCGCTGATCGAGCAGGCGAGGACCCTTGGACGACTACCTGATGGATGGAAGGACATTATGCAGAAAGCAGTTCTGCCAGCAACGGATGAGATCATTCCCAGATACTAATGCTTGACTTGTACAAGGCAGTGATCTAGCAATATTTACCGTTCATTACTTAATTTCATTTCTTACACTATGATTCTCGTCTCAGATCAAGTCATTACATTTGTGGAATGAATTTATATCGCGGTGGCCCATGTGATTAATCCCATGTTCGATCGAAAGCTGAATTTGTCTCTGGCATCGCAATGGGGTTAGAGCCCTTGTATCCGACCCTAATATGACACACCATTTAGTCAATAAGATGTTGGCTAGTGCAATACAAGGAATATCGGTTCCGAGTTCAGCGGAATCGAATATATGATGGTCTGTTGGTCTAGCCCACTCGTTAACATATTCCCCCCATGAATCCATCATGTCACTTTCGTCAATGGAGCTCAGCCGATGCGCAGCAGTTGTTGAAAGTGAAAGGGACCATCCAAGACGTCGATGGAGAGTGTTCATTCAAACTCACTGGGCAGTCACACAAGGGATGCAAAATTGCTCCCCACTATCGTTTACCCCTTTACGCCCTCAACACAAGAAGTTCGGCATATACAGAACGGTCGTGCAACACCTACAGGACGCACGCAGTGAAGAGGCTGCTCGCCACCGAAATACGTATCTTTCAGTCATGCGATATTTGAATGACGTACGGATTGCATTCCTGGACGATGCTGGTGTATGTTCAGATGCACTACGAACAGACTTTAGATCTGGCACTAGACTATTACCTATGGTTAGACCACACAGGCTCTGGCTTTCACGACGAGTGTCGCACGACCTTGGCCACCGCTCATGGAGTTACCTTTGAAGGCTTAAAGAATGGGCAGTGTCCAGATATACTGGTGTGTTCGTGCGTGCTGTATCAGGTTTAAGTATATTCGCTCCTGATAATATGAGCCAGTTGATTGGACGTCCTATCACAAGAAAAAATGCAACGAGCAAGATTTTTGCGGAGCATTACAGGGATCTGGTGGAGGGGAAGATATCCAGTCTCTACTCAATATGGTTTGATGCCTGTATTGATGCAGCCAGCGACCAAATGAGTCCACCTGAGTCGGGCCATTCAGTTGCTGATTGATGAGATGATGCTTGTTGATTGGTACGTATCTCATACAACACATCTTATATATATATATATATATAATATGACTTCAAGCAGCCGACGTCGAACCCTATCCCAAATTTTCCACTGCCCTTGGATAAGAAATGTCGTAGAATGGCCCTCAGGACTCTTCATGGCGATGCACGTCAAATCTTCATCGGTGGCTTTGGACGATTGTTAGCAAGTCATGTGTGTGATGCGATTTCGAGAAATTCAAGGCCTCGATTATAATGAGTCCTTGGAGAACATGATTGCTAATGGATTGCTCCTGACAGCACGCAGTACAGAAGAGTTCTTGGAGATATTCGGTATGATAGAGATGATATCGACATGCCAGAGTTAAGGGTGGACCGTAGTCCAATGGCAAGATTTTTCATTGCTGGTCGCGCGCTCTACACAGGCCTGGGCCAAGGAATGCGTGGTCGACTACGACCCAACGTTGGGTCTATGGATCCAATTGTCAAAGAGTCATGGGTTTCCTCAGGACAATCGATGAATGAGTTGAGTGTTGATATAAAGTGGAGGATAGGTAATACTGGAACCACCGCAGGACGTGATATGCAACTTGAACCAGCAATGTGATCAATGCTGGCGTGCAATGCGAGTGCATTGACGAACACACAGGCCAACCATCTAGCAGTCGTGCAATGTCCGATTGTGGTGTACAAACACACACTCGTATACAAGATGATCCCGCCATGGACGACTCCGTCGTTGGTTCACCTCAGCCCGTTCTTCATGTTCCTGGCCCTTACCAACCCACTCATGTAGCCCCCATAGATACAGAGTGCGGTTATTCAAGTTCACAGCACCATGAAGAAGACTTCAATGAATGTCATATTGTATGCGTGCGTGTCAATCCCCTGTCTGGCATCGGCAGAATGATTGATCTATCGCGACAGGATGATACTGGATACTTTTTGTCGCCAGAAAATCGCAGCGATCATTCTGGTGACATATCCAACAATGTGTCAGCTCATCTGGAAGCATCGATTACTACAAATGCAGATGTCTCTCATACATCGAGCTCATCTCATGATTCAAGTCTAATAATGGACTTCAATCCATTGCATGAATGGCATCAGGTTCACGGCCGCGACACAGCATTGGATATCAGTGATACGACTATCACCTCCTTTGAAGTCGAGATTGCGTCAGGCGAAGCAATCTCGCACAACCACAACCCCTGCAGTCACCCTACAAAGACAGGGCCCATTGAAGCGTGGACGGCCAGTCGTATTCGCTACACAACGGCCAGTACTTAAAGGGAAGGCAAATGCATCCTCTCACCCGGTGGAATCTCTAAAGTACACCATTCAAGACATGGTTCGCGAGTCTCAAATGGGTGCTCAATCTGTCATGCCTTTTGTACGTCATTGAAATATGTACTTGAGTTGGACTGATGTCACTGCATAGATGACGTCCTTTCTCATGGACCCACACGGGCTGAATTTCTTCCGATTAACGATTAAAACCAATCACGATATGTGGTTGGCTATCGTTCGACATCTGGCAATCCTCCGTCGCAGTGAACGCTTGTCACAGGCTATGAGTACCAAGGCAGCATCACTAATGTCAATTGACATATGGCTCAAGGATATTGCGATTGAGTGCGAAGCACTTAACAGTCAGACCGCAGACACAGTGCTTTCCCCATTTGTAGGCAGACCTTCTGTCCAAGATGGTGCTATGCTAAGTTTTGGATGAGCAGGCGCATTATGTAATTGTTCGACTCTCAACCGACGCCTTATCGGACAAGGAATCAGTGCGTTCAATGTTGCACGGAATTTGGGTGAACATCTTGATTCGCTAGTTTATCATTTTCTCAAGCTAACGATGATATGGTATACCCCACAGACACAGGACAACGTAAAATATGTGACTACAGTGATTCGATATCTCCTACGAGTGTTTCAGTCGCATGCAACTGACATATACACCCCTGGACTTCGAATGCTAGCATTTGTGATGAAGGAAAAGACAGGCGCCGAGACAGCTAGCACAGATTGATGTACGTAGTGACACAGTGCCTATCAATGCTTTCCGCAATGATTCAGATTACACTCCACACGATTGGTATTACATCGGTTCGAATGACTACTTTTTCATGTAGTAAGAGCCAAATGAGATAGTGGTCAACGATGCGCGAGACGTATACGACTGAGTGAGGAACGCGTAAGTGAACTGTAGAAGCAAGACCTGGGTTGACAAAACATCCATGACACAAAGTATGATACGCAGAATATATATGCATCGAAATGCGATCAAGATATGATGCCGATTTCCCGTTCTTGCTCGGAGGTGAGTGGCCACTCGTACCATACGCTCCATAGTTCTGAGACTGAGCCGCGTGTATCCAGCTTGGACATGGAATGGCCTTCTCCACGGTTTTTGCACTCCAAACATGCATACTTTATTTTTGTGGTCAACCAGTGCTTCCCATAAAACTGCTTTCCATGACGAGTGAAGCTCATGTTGTATGCAGGGGCTTGGCAGTCTGGATTCAAACATCGGTATATGTCTAGCCCCCAAGGCCTCCTGTCCTTGAGATTGGAGTATGCCAGGACTCTCGTATAAACCACGCGTAGTCGCACGTTATTTTGCCCGACGTGCGTCTCAGAGAAGGAGAGAAATACTGGTGATTGGTTGAGGGCGTGTCTGTCTTCCCCAAACGATTCCTCCAGTGCGTCCCAGAACTTCATGTCATATATGTAAACGTTTTCGATGAACCGATTCAACGCAGGGACCACGACCGAATCCATCGTTGATACGCCTGCAAATGTCAGGATGAAATCAAAGATGTCACTGATGTCTTGCATGTTTGAATCTAACGTTGGACGATTGCATGAAGACATTACCCACCTTTCGACAATGCGCCTTAACAACATAGCACTTTCGGCCACCCTTCCCGTGGATCCACAGGCACAAATGACGAGCCCGCGAACGCATGGCCCAACCCCTGAATCGTTGTTGATAGCACCAATGGCTTGTGTTGCGACCTTCAAGTTGTCATCGCCAATGTAGTTCGATAGAAGCTACATTTCAAATTTATACGATACTCGGTCATTGCCAGATAT